CATGACGTTCTGGGAATTACGCTGGATTCTGGTAACAGTGTTATTCAGTGGACTATACAACATAATTCTATTTTCTCTCTCTCTCCCCACCCCCACCCCCACCCCCTTTACAATTCTCTCTCTCTATTTATCCTTCCTTCTACCTCATCATTTTCCTCATCCCGTCTTTCCCTTTTCCTCCTTTCGTTTATCTATCAGATTCTCCCTCTCCATCCTTATCATTCCTCTATATCTGCTATATTTTTCTTTTTTTTGCCTCTTGTCTCATCAGTTTTTAGGTTACGTTGTATGCAGTTATGACAATTTAATTATCGATACATAAAATCAATATAAAAAAAAAACACAACTGCAAGCAGTTATTATACTCAAAGGTACTCTATACGGATTTTACCAGCCAATAGAATTTTTCTTGAGTTAAAGCAATTTCTCGTGCTCACGAATCCGCTAAAAAGAAATACGAAAGATATTATGCACACATGCAATGATATAGATCAAAAGTACGATTTGCATTTATACTCCTTTTTATTTTATCAGAACTTAATACCATTCAATTACAACAGCCTTTTTATGATGCCTTTGCTTCGTTAGTATGCGAAGACAATGATCTTAGAAGTGTTCGTGAACATCTAACGAGTTAACACTGAATTACACGAATAACAACTCATTACACCGTGCTGGACGATTAGNGTGGCCATGAGTGCATTTTCTCACAGAATTGATACCAACTTTGCAATTATTTTTTGTTAATTATTATTTTATTAATTATTATTTACCTTTGCGATTATTATTTATTTATTTATTTATTTTTTGCACCTCAAATCCCAGGGGGGGCAACTGCCCCCCTGCCCCCCTGGAGGCTACGGCCCTGATTAGCTTTCATCACATCTGCACCTGAAGAATCTGCAGCGGTTGTTGGCACAGTCACGGCTCCTTATACACCTTTCTTGACATTCCCTCTTCGTCTGACATCGAGAACTTTTTAGCAATGGTACATATGCACAATATGGACCTGATGGACATGAATTGACAGCGCATGAACCGCAGCGGAACCCGGTACAAGTGCCACTTTCACATACCTGGTGAGGATTAAAAAGGTCAATTTACTCTTTTAGAACGATATGTAAAAAGGGACAGTACCTCATTTCTATTTGCCACTGCGGTGCTGCAGCAGTTAACAATACCTTGTTGGGACTCATTGTGAACCTGTAAAACCTTTCGATAAAGATTCATAAAATATGCCATCTGTATTGTTAAACATGTAAATAGTTTACAGTTGTGAAGTGTGAAAGAAATAAAGAAATGAACAATGGATTAGAGAACCAAACACGTTTTGTATACATGATGAGGTGCCGAGCAGTAGACCGCAATTTTTCTCACCAGTTTTGGTTCGGACGTGGGATAATTATTTTTTTAATTCCCTGTACTTTTTATTGTTATATAAAAGACTAACGCAAAACGTAACAATACTTCAACAAAACTATCTATTTACGCATGCTTTATCTTTACTCCACAATGTTTACATAACATGCAATGAACCATCCATTCTTATTCGCTATTGGTATCACAGGATAATTCTGCCAAAGATAAATCAAGTTAAAGTCGAGATTATATTCGTATTTACCAAATTACATGCGACAAAAGTCCGATTCTCTTGTTGAGAGCGACACCGGCGGCACATTCCGCTTTCAACCGAGTATAGGAGCTAATAACAAACGCAGGCAAGGCGCCCAATCCACGACGATGAATCCCCAGTAGAAATAACATGAAAATGAATCTTAAGTTAAAGTTAGTTTTAAATCGTATTCGTTTGCTCTGTTGATTATATGACGAGTCTATGGCCCCATTCAGAATGGATGATCCGAGTACGTACTGATCCGCCGACTAAATATGGCCGACCACAGTTCAAAAGCGATGCCGCGGATTCCTGATGGTCTCCCCGCCTCCGCCGCCGCTGCAGGCCCTAGCATTTAAACCTCAGAGCAGAGATCTAATCCGTTTAAAGGCGCGTGTGGAGTCGGGCATCTCTTCAAACATTCCGCAACCTGTAATTTTTTAAAGTCAATAGTTGCATAAAATGTAAACAAAAGTGAATTTACTTAATGCACATATGACTTATCAAAAGATGAAAAATGTTTACATTCATTTAAAGTATCAGGTATCAGGTATGGTTCCCATCTCCTTTCCGAATATTATGTGCTCACTTGCGTATTTTCGTCCGGTGATCGTTCTCTCTCTCTTCCTGACAAGATTTATGGTGTCAAACATACGTACTGCGACGAGGTCATGTCAATCAACTCAGTTAGTCTACAAAACACTCCCCACTTCTTATCCAATCATGGCTGTCAATTACTAACATCACACAAAATATATACAACAAAACGTGCAATAAAAACTTTTCTGTAGACAAAGCGTTTTATGATAGCCTAAAACAGACTTTTACTAATGAAGATGAATAATGTTTACATTTATTTAAAGTATCAGGTATCAGAACATATCTAGAAAAGACTTCCATTCCCTGTTTGTCCAGTTCCTATCTCCTTTCCGGATACTTTGTGCTCGCTTGCGTATTTTCGTTCGGTGATCGTTCTCTCTCTTCCTGACAAGATTCATGGTGTCAAACGCCTCATTATTTTTTCATTTTGCAACCTCCATCATTTATTTATTTATTCTCCACTATTTATGTGCTCTCTTCTGGATGTCTCCCTGGTGACTGGTTCTTCTCTTTTGCATCCTCCACCATACGTCACGGTGGTATTGACTTTATCTTACTAATTACGTGAGGTAAGAACAAAACTTAATGTTCCTTCTTATTCTTTATTGTCACTTCTTAACTACCTTATTTACATTTTCTTCCTCTCTCTTTAGCCTCTTACATTACTGTCCCCCGTTAACATTATATATACGACGAGGTCATGTCAATCAACTCAGTCTACAAAATTACTAACATTACACAAAATAAATACAACAAAACGTACAAAAAACTTTTTGAAGGTAAAGCGTTTTATGACACAACAGACTTTTACTAATGTTATGAATAATATATGTACACAAGGGGAATGGATTGGATATACAAAGATAGATACGTCAGGTACAATTGTACAATTGATCCCTATCTACTAGATACAAGAAGAGTCGTGCAATGGATTCGAAACACAAGAGAATCATCAGCGAGACCTACATGTTGTNACAGTGGAACAATTTCACACATAAGAATGTGTCTGTGAAAATTGCTAGGCGTCGGTTACATGCTCAGAGAGTGTACAGCAGGGTAGCAAGACTGAAACCTCTTATATCGTTGCAAAACAGGCAACGTAGAGTAAACTAGGGTCAACAGGATCTGGAAATGGACAGATCATGACAATTGGTCCTATATATTTATTCTGATGAGTGTCGCTTTGGTCTGACCTCTGATGACAGACGGGTACTATGCTGGCAAACTGCTGGTAAAGCATTTGAACCACATGCACTGAATTTTCGAACCCGGAGCAGCATATTCATCATGGTGTGGGGCTGCATCAGCATCCGTGGCTTGGGCGCATTGATAGTGGTTAATGGAAACATGAATCACTAGAAATATATCGATATTTTGGAGTCAGGCTTGCTACCATCTAATACTAACATGTTTGGTGACAGGAATTATCCATTTGTTCACCAGGATGACAATGCTCCTTGTCACAGGCCCAGAGCAGTTGATGATTGGTTTGACCAACAGGACATTCGCCGGGTGATGTGGCCTGCCCAGAGTCCGGGTGCAAACATAATAGAAAATGTGTGGAATGATATGTCAAAACTTTTGACAAATGCCCGTCTAACCAGCAGAGAAACTCTGTTATATTCAGTGTTCCATGCTTGGGCCAGCATAAGCCCTGAACGCATCAAACAATTATATGAAACCTTGCTTCGTAGACTGGCACCTATTATTAAGTCATGTGGCTATGCCACTAAGTACTAATTTTGGACTTGAAACTGCATATTTTGGTAGAATGTATATTTTGTTCTCATTTTGTGATTTTTTGTGAAATTTGATGTTAATAAAATGATACCAGGAGCATATCATTCCACAGTCATTTATCTCCCCCATAGTATTGGCTCGGTAGGGGTGACACTTCTTTTGTCCAGTGTGTGTATATTAAAATATACAAAGCAAACAATCTATCCAGCTATCTCAATGATAAAAATGTATAATGAGAAAAAAGCAATAGGAAGATAAAAGTCACAAGAGATTGAAAAATCCAATATGGCGGCATTCCATGAGGCATACTGAAATCCAACTGATACTTTCAACATTTTAATATCTATTTATTATGAATGGGATAAGCAAACTTTATGAAATTTGGTAGGCTGATGCAGAGAAGTATAAATATAATTTTCATGGAAGCAAAATAAATGTATGAGTTAAAAAACCCACGATACTAAACACATTTATTTAAATTTGCTTGGAAATTTCCATTGATTCCTATGTAAATTTGATAAAAATCGATGTTCAAGCAGCCCTGGCTCAAAAACAAGCATGGTGTGGTACATATTTTTTGGTAAATTTCTTTGAGGTCTACCAAGATCTATAACATATCCACATTAAATTAAAATCGCTAGGGCAGAATTTTTTATTTTTGCATTTTTCAGCAAAATTAAGGGCATTTTGGCAAAATCCCCATATAACGCAATGTAATAAACGTAGCGTTTTTCGGGACGCCACCTCTCGAAAACGAACGTGGTGACCCCCAATTTTTTTTCATATTTTTTACTCATATGGTAAGAAGATTTTGTCTTACAATTTTAATCAAAATCGCTAGGGCAGAAATATGAAATCTGAAATATGAGAGAGCGTCCTTAATAGTCCCCTTGGTTGTGGAGTATGCTTATCCACATTCATAATGTGTAATACGTATCAATGATATGAAAAAAATGTTGTGCAAGACCATAAAAAATTATATATATGCACCAGAAATTGATTTAAATTAAGATGAATGGATAATCTCTGTTTTTAATTTCAGTTTGGCCTATTTTGTGACAGTTCCTTGCTAATAAATATGGTAAACGTGGTCTATCTAGCAGGAGTGGCCGTGGGGGCAACTGTCGGTGGTTTAGCAGCAGACTAGTAAGCATGGCATTTAGTTATCTATCTTACTTCATATAGGATGTCAATATTCAATAGAATAAGCTATATCGTTTTGGATCAGACAGTTTTGGTTTGCCTTAATAATCATAGGACATAAATTTGGAGGCCATTCAGACCAGAAGATCAGAGTATCTACTAAACCACGGATCAAATATAACGGGACTTACATGGAAGGAGAGCCGACTAATCCACATCCACACGCGCCGTCCTTGTAGGGCGCCTCAGATCCGTGGTTTAATCTGTTTAATGACGCTTGTTCCTTGCCCAGTGCGCTTGCGCACCAGTTAAGGTTATGGCTTCTTTGCAACCCCACAAACGCAATTTGTGCAAAATTATTTGTAAATGATAACTTTTGCTGACTCGTCACATTATAATTTTTAGGATGACGAGTCTTATTGAATATTTGATATTTATATTTCACCCGAAGATTTAACGTTTGGAGTTTGGAGATAACTTCTAGCTTAAAGATATTATCACCCTTTGCCCATAACATACATTTGTTTGGGTAATAAATAAATCTTCAGTGGTCGAGACTAAATTTAGCAATATTTACACATATGTTGTGTTATGTAATTGCGATTTTGGGGTAAAAACTGAAAAATCGCTTTCTCAGATTTCTCTTTTACCTGAGCACCCATGATCACCGTTTCAACGCCGATATAATGACACCATTTAGTACTCCAAAACCCTGCTAGCGATTTTTCTTTAAAGTCTTAGTTCAGATTTTATCGTTGATAAAGCAAAATAATGCCTTTGTTTAATGAAAATCCGTAATTACTGATTAACACCAAAAACTAACCATCTGTTCCTTGGCCCACTTCTGACAGTTCCAGTAATGTTGCTAACAGACAGACAGACAGACAAACTAACAGAACCAAAAACATTACCTCCTTGACGGAGGTAAAAAACTCATTTTCGGTATCTGGATGATAATAAAGGGTAACAATATCCTTAATCGTATCCTGTTCGTGAAAATGGGGTTATGTAGTGACGCCCCTTGATATAAAAAGCAACATGTGGCACAATGGAGACTACCCCTCTAGCGGGAGAATGGAGCATGTGTAGAATGCGCATATGCGTAAATAAGCTCTGGAGATTGTTGTCGCCATAAAATGTCGTTTGACTACACCAAACTTTTTTTACTTCTTTTATAAAAGAACTTGTTTCAAAACAGACATTTTACAAATTATGCTTAACTTTCTTATTTAAAGGTTTGTTTATTTCCTTATTGGTTTAAATTACACCCAAAAAGAGGTATGCTTCACTTAATTGTTTTCACAGAATTTCTTTAAGATTGTTCATTTGCTTTGGTAGAATAACTAAACACCATAATAGGGATACTTTTTCCAATTTTAATTTTTCCCTTAACAGTATTGGTCGCAAGTGGGTATCTTTCATCGCATGTTTGGTACATGGGGTTGGAGGATTGGGAGCCGCTTTGTCACCTAATTACGGGGCTTATGTTGCATTCCGTTTCTTCGTAGGCAGCTGTCACGGCATTCTTAACAATTCAGTCGTGGTTCTGAGTAAGTAGTCACGAGAAAAAAAACACACGCCCACACACACACACACACAGTTTTTTTCACTTTTAGATAAATTTATGTAGAAATCTTTTTAACGTTGGATTAAGTGTACTACAGACCTGACATTTAATGTGGAACATATTTTCCACATCATTTTTAATCAGTTTTTTCCTAATTTGCTGCCCGATGAAAGAAAATAAGGATTAAAGTGTGTCTTAATAACTTTTAATAATATATTTGATGTCATTGTGACATTAGTTCATTTACTGGATTTGCCAGTGAAGCAAACAAAAATACATGGCCTATTCTAAGGGCGTATTCCCATAGATTTTAGATCGATATATCCCCGTGGGGAGTCTCACTAGATTACTGTCAGATAATCCGGCTTAAATGTCCGTCCCGGCTGTAAGGGGATAATTAACTTTCGTGCCCGCTCGGCTGACAGCTATTTAGCGTGAACCCCCAGCGAGTTAGGTCGATCTAGTTTAGATCGATCTAATCTCTGGGAATGGGGTCTAATATAACAACTATACAATAGTCATTAAACACGATATTTTGGATCACCATGTTTTCCAAATTATCATCTGTAAAAGAGTTACACGCCCCGTAAAAGGCCTTCATGTCGGTGTCTAGTCACAGCAATGGTCATGGTCGCTGTTACGCCTGACCTCATCTGGTTGCTACCATAGCTCTCAAGCGACAAGGCATTCATTGAGGTGGGTTTTTTAGAGTTTAATCTTGAATAACATTCTAGGCACCGGTCAAAATATTTGATGACCAAGGTAGCTGGCCATTTCCTTGGTTCTGTAAGTTATCTGCTTTTAAAAGTATTCTGTGTGAACCGACAATCTCTTCGTGCAACCTAATATTGTTCCTAAGGTACCCCTTATCATATGATAACCAAGTTCTTCTCAGACTATATGATGTGGTTCAGGTTTTCATCAATGACTACCATTAGTGTTTTGGCACCAATGTGGTATCTGCTCCAAATACTGACGCTGTCAATGACACTAGTCACACGCTTCGACGTAGGTTTCTTCAGGATGTCTGTAAACTCTGTTTCGGCTATTTGATCGGTACTGGTGAAATCTAACATCATTGAAGAAAGCCACGCGGTTTCAGTGTTCTATCCAGAAATGATCATGGTCCCCAATTTAAAGAGAAACAGAAGACGATGTTTTGCTGTTTACAGTGGCTATTTCATAGGGCGTCTGGTATTCGTACTTGTTACAACCAGTTTGGTGTTGGCTAAAGGCCTTGAAAACGCATTCTTGTGGCTATTTGCCCTCATTCTGAACTGACTGGGTGAGATTTATTTAGTTGTAGCAGCATATCCGGAAGGACAACGAGTCCTGTACCCTAGTGGTAAGATTTCGGTACATTGGGTGTGGACGCTGTGTAGGTTCATCAAGTTAATCATAACTCTTTAAAACTATGCCCACCGAACCATTCTGGCACAGATTAACAAATTTTAAAACACTGCTTAACATACTTTACGCACTTCAAAACTGACTGCAAATTCTTCTATGCAGTAGTTGCCGACGTATGGATACTTTTTTACAGAACCATGCTTCGCCAAAGCCAAGCTTTGACCAGCCCAACTAAATCACTGCATACTACATAATGCGGCAGTGCAACAGACGTGGTAGTCCGTTAATTGGTAGCGACAAACCTGACAACACACTTCTCCATTCAAATATCTTATATGAGATCTGAGATTTTAATTAAGAATGTATTTTACCTACGAATGCCTTTGAAACTGAAATATTTCATATTAAATGTCATGTCTGTATGTCTATATATAACAAGTGGTTATGTGTATGGAACGACAGATATGTAGCATGCACGGCTGTGTTATTGGCCCCAACCTTTATTCCCTTGCCGTGCGAAATAATTTAAAAGATTTACTGTTTGGATTTTCCCCATTCTGTAATTTCAATTCAAATGCCATTAATAAAATAGCATAACACATTTGCAGGCATGGAATTTGTGTCACCAAGGAGACGCATGGTATCCGTGTGCACATTAGCTATGTCCTGGGGAATAGGCATGGTGCTTACAACTCCTGTGTCTTATCTTATACGGGACTGGAGATATCTACAGTTGACTGTGGCCTTGCCACCATTCTTATACCTAGGATTCTGGCGGTAGGTTCTTTTTCTCTCTTGCTCTAGGAACTTTTTTATGCTAGTATAAAACACGAGCATGCATTAGTATTTTCATGTAAAATGTATTAAAACGCTAGCATGTGTACATGCATCCATGCATTGTATTGGATGGTGTATATTTATGTTGTGTGTATTAAGGAAGTATTCTTACTTCCAGGCTAATCCCGGAGTCACCTCGTTGGCTGTTATCTCGGGGTAGATACGCAGAAGCTGAGGACATAGTGAGATGGGCGGCTAGAGTGAATAAAAGGGCAATTCCAGAGGTCGGCCAGTTATTCGATGAACACTCTTTAAAAATGACCCCTTCTTTAAGTCCTCTTAAAATTCTCCACGCACCAAGACTTATGGCGAGGACAGCAGTGATAATTTGCGGCTGGTATGAGACAATTTAGCACTTTTTGAATAGAACAAAGGGTAAATTATTGACGGTTTAAAAATAGGAATCACATTTTTTCAGGGAAACAAAATTAGTGTGGATCTTAGAGATTTTGGATCGCTCACATATACGTTACCTTTAAATGATTTTTGTCAAACACGCGATATGATGTGCTACAACAACACCTACATGTACCACATACACAGTGACATTTCACTCTACTTGGTTGATTAAAGACATATTTCGGAGAATACATATTTGTGATTTATGATGCTAACGCAATGTTATATTTTAGGATTACAGTTGCAATTTCATGGTATGGTCTTACACTAAATCAGGGTTCACTAGATGGAGATATCTTTATCAATGCTCTTGTCCTGTCTGTAATCGACATCATAGCTGACACGTCAATGTTCATCATCAACAAATTTGGAAGAAGAAAAACATACTGTGTCGGCATGATGATCTCTGCTGTGTCCATGTTGACTACAATACCGGTTCACTTCTTTGCAGACAGAGGTATGATTTAAACATGGTTTTGCACGAAATCTAAAATTAAACATACTGGGACTTTGGATTCGTGTGAAAACAAAGGGTTCGGCCTAACATGATTTCACATGCCACATGAACTCATTTTTTGACGTCATTTGTAGATATGTGTGATGATGCTTCTGTATTTCCATTGGTTTTGATAAATAGTAATGCACACTATAGATCGTTCGTGTAGGACCTACCTGGATAAAAGAAAATAGTGACCTCCATGATTGTTAATGCGCTCTTTCCTTCAATGTTTCAGAAAGCCCTTCTACCAGTACCGTCTTTACAGCACTGTACACAATAGGGAAGTTGGGCGTCAGCAGTAACTTCGCCCTTCTTTTCATGTGGAATGGGGAGTTCTATCCAACAGCCTTACGGAACTTTGGACTAGGTTTAGGATGTACATTTGGCCGTGTTGCGGCTATTGTATCACCTATTGTTATGGTACGCTACCATTTTTCAGTATTGCAATTGTCAAATTACAAAAATTGTCATCAGGCTCCTTGTCTTAGCGAAATTCGAAATTATGTATCACAATAACGAAATTATGTATTATGTATCCACAAAATTATGTATCCACAAACCCCAAGCCCTACCCATATTCCCGTCCCCAAATCAATTCTTTATCAAATGTTTTATAGATTTATAGCGCTTAAATAATTTGAGGCTATATATTATTTGTCAACCAATTTGGGCGTTCAAATCAAGCCTTCTAATTTTGATAGGACCAATTCGGAGAACATCCCGTTCTCGGTAGAACTGTTCCTCTGATATTATTTGGCTGCATGGCGTTGTTCTGTGCTTTGAGTGGCCTATATCTCCCCGAAACTGCCCACAAACACCTGCCAGAGACATTGGAAGATGCTCAAACCTTTGGAGTTAAACAGTTTGTTATATACTTATCTTGCGACACCTACTTATCTCTTCCTCTCATGTCATACCTGTCAGCTGTCTCTTCTACTCTCGCTTTCTCTCTCCCTCTCTCTCTCTCTCTCTCTCTCTCTCTCTCATACACACACACGCACACACACACACACACACACAAACACATTCGCAAATGTACAAGTAGACACTCACTTCATTTTTGTCAAAACACAAGTTTGTTTCTATATATAACAGAAACGATTTGTACAATATTTCAAGTGTTTAGCTACTTCTCACACAGTTTGATAAGGTAGTAGCAGAATACTTTATAACAAAAATGTATCATTGTTGTTAATACCGGATAAATACATTTCAGGCGAAAAAGTGGCATCAACCAAAACTTAAACAAGAATGCCTCATCGACATTTTGAATGGTTTCTTAAGTGCAACGACTACAATTTCATGGATGTGGACTGATTTTTGTAGCAGTTTAGTATCTTTGGGTCAGCTGAGCCAGGCTCATTGTAGGCCTATATATCATTATATTTTTAAAATGTTATACTAATGAATGGTAGCAAATTAAAATTGCACGTAATAAAAAGAAAAAAGAAGAATGTCAAATTGCAAACATTTTCAACAATTGTTTCCATGGCACAGTACAGATTTTTTTCGTCGTGACATAAGCTTTAATACTGGATAAGACATTGAAACCCTCGGCTGCTTATATAACTTTATACAGAACTACTGAAACCAGAACACAGGACTGTCAGCTTGATTTAGGCCTCTTGATCGCATAAGACAACACATTAAAGCCACTTTTATGTCTCCTCCACCCCAGTGTACCACAAATTTTCATAGCCCATTATTATATAACCCCATTGTCAGCGAGATTCCCTACACTTGTATCTACCTGAAAAAGTGTAAATACTGAAAGGAAGATCATAGGCGTCTAAACTAAAACTAAAAGTAATTGAATCGGCGTGGCAGCTGCCCAAGTGGTATCCAACAAATTTCGGAGCACTTCGTCCGCCTATGATACCAGTTTTCATACGGAAAGACCCTTTTTGTGCAGTCGCCTCGACGGCTATCAGAGCAAACAAGTAACCTATGGGCAGAAGAAGGTTTGTCAACAGGAACTGCTATAATTAGTAGAAAAAATTACTAACCACATTCATGCAACGGTCGGCGGTTAGTCGATCGACCCTTGTTTGAAGTCGTACATAATGTTTCCTGTTGTAAACTGTCATTCACCTTTTGTAACGCTTCAGTAGATCAAATGAACTGTTGAAATTTTCTCATCAAAGGAAAAAAACGAATAAATTTGTTGAACAGAACATTTTTATTTAAAACAAAATATTTTAAATAAAAGTTGAAGGCTGGAGAAAATGTCTTGTTTAATCGTATTGTACGTGTTAACAGAATGAACTGAGCGCATAATGGGGTCAGGCAGTGACGCCCCCTGATATAAGTAGCAAATGTGTACATGTACCTCGTGCGTGAATAAGCTCTGGAAATTGCTGTCCCCATGAAATGCCGTTTGACTACGCCGATATCTATTTTAGCAGATCTCTAGTTACACCTGCACCATCCCTCTTTATCCAAGTTAATTGCAAATGAATTCCGCTGTTTTAGGAATCACATGGTGTTTGCAAGGATTGATATATCAACCAACTTACGTGGTTGTGTGAGTGCCATTACTATATACATAAATATAACACGGATCACCAAGTCATTGCCTATTTTGGGGGAACTCAGAGTCAAATACGAACATCGGTTTGATTTTTTTATTCACATATATACACTTTTTCATGTTGTCCACTTGAATGTGAACGCACATGAGTGGTATTGTTCTCTACAACAATCCCAATATTCATATTTAGCTCTTATGCTGTCAAAAGCACACAAGAAAACATTTTTAAAAAATCTACAGAAAGGCAGTCCTTTAGGGTGACGTCAAAAGAGATAAAGAGTGGGTGTTAAACAGATAATTAATTCACACAGTTAAAACTTTACGACAGTATAATGTTTGTTTTCGACCACTTGCACTTTATTGAAAGTCTTGTGGTACATTTATGATGTTTGTACACTTAAGAATGCGAAGTTTGGATTTTGTTCATGTGTATTGCCTAATGTTCCATAGCAGATTTAACACCTGAAAACAATATAATCCATATTGAATCACCTTGTACAAAATATATTAAATTGCTCTTTGGCTGTTTAAAAATTGCATAGGAAATAATCGGACACCAATCCAAGAGCTCATTTAACTCTCGTTTTTTATCTGATATGCGGGAGTGACATCGGAGGTACAACAGCTAGTGTCGAGCACTTCATTGCGGCTGTTACACCGACATACAAGGATTAAACAGCACGCAGACGGCTAGTGATGGAATTCGATGATGTGATCCGACGCGTTGGAGAGTTTGGGAGAACTCAGCTTCGAACGACAATATTTAGTGGTCTAGTGACAATGTCGACAGCCATGCAAATGATGGTAACAGTCTTTATGCAGCAATTACCGGCGCATAGGTAAAATAAGTGTCAAATGGCATTGGTTTTAGTTGAGCGCCTTCATATTCTTGAAAAACAAGTCGCTTGCTCTCTTGTCCAATAATCATAAATATACCTACTTAAAATCTGCGTTTACGTATGTTTTTCCCATGCACATGTTTTTTTTAATCTTTTGACGTTTTCCATGAAATTAATGCCTATAAAAATTCTGTTAGGGGAATAGAAGTGGGTATCGATGATGCGACGTATCACTCCGTGGGTGAAAATTTCTTCAGCTGTGCGATTCACACTGCTAGTGCTATCTGCAAAATTTGTTTACCCGAAATTGATCTTTGCGATAGGGTTTATCGATGCAGTTCATAGGTTACCTCCGGTGAGATTTTTGTCGCTTTAGACTTGGTGCTGCGTAACAAATATAAAACTACCGATAAAGTCATTATTTGTAGAAGCCAAATCTCAAATAATTCCCAAGCTGTCACAAATGCTGTTTTTGCTGATGTTAAAATCGGGCCCACGTGCTATGCCAACATAAAGGCAAATGGGGTGGGCTTCGTCTTGATAAGAAACGGTTGTTCACAAACATTTCTAATTGTCTTTGAAGCATTTCATGAATTTGTCATCGTTTACATATGTTTCGCAATAGTTCACTTTTCAAATAAGCATTGCAAACATAGCCAATGTTTAATTCAGGGCTTATAATGGGATTTGTAATATCTCAACAAACTATATGAAAAAGTGATTACGTCTAGGATGCGCATTTTATAACACTTATAATGTACGCCACTTAACAATTCATGTTTTCAGGTGTGCCATTCCAGACTTGGCAAACGATACATTTGAAATCCAGGGTACTTGGCACCAATATCTTATCAACGAAACCATTCCTGTAGACGAGAATGGGGAGTATGAGGGATGTCTGTGGCGTAGTGGAAATGATTTCGGAAATGGTAGTGTTTTGCCGTGCAAGGACTGGGTTTATGATACATCTGTATTCCCCAAAACGTTTCCTACGGAAGTGAGTAGCTCATCGGTTTATTATTGTTGCTAAGATGTGATTTTTGTGATACACTGTTTGTCACTGTTGGATCTGTAAAATAATTTGGGTACTAAATAACTAAAATCATGAAACCACCACCACACTTGTTATAACATATTTATATTTTGGATTAGAAATGATAGCAACATAATAACTGTTCCTATAACCATCTACAGGCCACATCTTTAGACCGTTAATATTGCCGTGGTACTTTTACTTTTCTTTTTGGCCTCGTTGATGTTTGACTTAGTCAGCCATTAGGAAAAACACTTTATTTTTTTAACAAATTGTGCCTGATGATTATACATAACAGTAAATTGTATGTTTTCGACCACTTGATTCTGCGAGTAAAGGCCTTGTCTATGTGGTTCAAATATGGCAAGTTCGATTGAATCACTGCATATTACACAATGTAGCAGTGCATGGTAGTCAGTTGATTGGTAACTTCACACCTGAATACACTAGAGATTGATTGAGCCAGAAATGCTTGTTGAACGAGAAATTGATTAAACTAAATTGAAATGAATGAATAATCTCTGTTTTTATTTTCAGTTCGGTCTATTTTGTGACAGCTCCTTGCTAATAAATATGGTCAACGTGGTCTATCTAGCAGGAGTGGCCGTGGGGGCCATTGTCGGTGGTTTAGCAGCAGACTAGTAAGCATGTCGTTTAGCAATTTGATTAAGTACATAAGTTGTCAATTTTAAATAAATTACGTCGTTTTTGGATCTTTTAGATCAGGCAGTTTATGCTTGCCTTAATACTCGCAGGATGTTTGTTCAAGTAAAATTGGAGACACAAAGTTATTATATCATCATTCTCTGCTCACATAAGCTTTTGGGCTCTTGTATCTCAAACTACAAGACGTTATCTCTTTAACGTGGTATTGTAGGCAATAACAAGTTATCAACTGTTCATTAGTACAGTGTATGTCATAAAAAGACTCGCAAATGTAAAATCAAAATAATTAAAGATTTTAAAGTATAATTTTTGGTGTTGAAAAGTTCCAATGCCAATGCAAAAAAATAAACAAATAAATAATAATAGGCTGTTGTATTACATATATTAAAATGAATGATGTCAATCCCCCACGCACTTCACAAAACATTTAATAAGAATTAATCAAATACTGTATATCAGTTAGCAATATTTCCATCTTGGTTGACCACAACAAATCGAAAACATATTTGCACAGATCTAACCGCCCTTGTGCATGCCAGTGTCATATACGGCTACTGTAGCCCACGGTAGACATAAAACTGTAGCCACAGACGTATTTTCCGAATATTGAGAACTCCGGTTATTTGTTTCTTTCATAATAGAAGTACATGTAGTTCCATAACAGTTACTTTCAAAATTATGCTCAACTTTCGTCTCTGCTGGTATTTTTATTTCCTTATTTGTATAAATTTCATCTAAAATGATATATTTATCATTTAATTGTATTCAGAGAATTTCTTTAAGATAAAAGGCACTTAGTACATTTGGTTTGGTGATATATCTAGACTCCATTATAGGGATATTATACGCTTTTCCATTTTTCAATTTTCTGTTTTCAGTATTGGGCGCAAGTGGGTATCCTTCATCGCATGTTTGGTACATGGAGTCGGAGGACTGGGAGCCGCTTTCTCACCTAACTACGGGGCTTATGTTGCATTCCGTTTCTTCGTAGGCAGCTGTCACGGCGTCCTTAACAATTCGGTCGTGGTTCTGTGTAAGTAGTCACGAGAAAAAAAACACGTCTGTGCATATATAACTTTGTTTTTCAATAACGTGTACATATACTTTTATCGCTTTTAGACACACTTATGAAAAAAATCTTTTTCTCGTTGAATTAATCGTACTATTTCACTAGTGGATATATGTATGTGACTATATGTAGCGTATGCAGCGTGCACTGTTTGCAGCGTATACTGCTCTGTTATTTGCCTCTGACCTTCATTCCCTTTGTCGTGTGGAAACTTTTTTCGATTCACTGCTTGGGTATTCCCCTTTCTGTAATTTTAAGTAAAATGTTAATGGTATAATAACTTGACGCATTTGCAGGCATTGAATTTGTATCACCTAGAAGACGCATGATATCGGTGTGCACAATGGGAGTATCCTGGGGTATAGGCATGCTGCTTACAACTCCTGTGGCTTATCTCATACGGGACTGGAGATACTTACAGTTGACTGTGGCCTTGCCACCGTTCTTATACCTAGGCTTCTGGTGGTAGGTTCTGTTTCTCTTTCACTTTAGGTATTGTGATTTTTGATGCCAGCATTGATAAAAATTAATTTGCAGCACACATACACAAACAAACGAGCCAACATTAGTGTTTTCATGTAAAATATGTAAATAAACACACAACATACATGTACGCACTGAAAGGTGTGTATTATAGTTGTCGAAATTTTATAAGAGGTATCCTAATTTCCAGGATTGTCCCAGAGTCACCTCGCTGGCTGTTATCTCGTGGTAGATACGCAGAAGCTGAGGACATAGTGCGATGGGCGGCAAGAGTGAATAAGAATCCGATTCAAGGGATCAGCCTGCTCTTCGATGAACATTCTTTGCAAAAGAAACCCTCTTTAAGTCCTCTTAAAATTTTCCACGCACCAAGACTTGTGACAAGGACAGTAGTGATAATTTGCGGCTGGTATGAGATCAATTTACACTTTTTGAATAGAACGGAGGGTACTTTATACTGACGGTTTAAACTGCATATAGAGGGAAACAGTCATTTTTTCAGGGAAGGAAAATCAGCCATTCGGTGTGGATCTTAGAGAATTGTTATCGGACACACATACGGCATAATTATTATTTTTTTTTTTATTTATTTATTTTTTTATTTTATTTTATTTTATTTTTTTTTTTTTGTCAAATAAGCGCCATACATGATCTGCCACAGCAAAACACTGACTTTTTCATTTCACTCTACTAGGTTGATTCAAGACATAATACAAATATTAAATACTTATTAGTTTTTGTTATATTTCAGGATTACAGTTGCAATTTCGTGGTATGGTCTTACACTAAATCAGGGTTCCCTAGATGGAGATATCTTTATCAATGCTTTTGTCCTTTCTGTAATTGACCTCATAGCCTACGCGTCGTTGTTCATTGTCAACAAATTAGGTAGAAGAAAAGCATACTGTGTCGCCATGATGATCTCTGCTTTGTCCATGTTGGCTACAATACCAGTTCATTTCTTAGCAGACAGAGGTATGATTTAAGCCTGGTTTTCCACAAAATCCAAAAATAAATTAGTAGTATTTGAGACTTTGGATTCGTCTTTAATCAAAGGGCTCGGTTTTACGTGAATTAACATGCGACATGAATGAGCTTTCAGTTGGGGGATGACAATTCCAACTTCTTGTACTACAGGCCCCCCCCCCCCCCGAAATTATGTAACTGGTCTAAAAAGACAATAGTATTTTCTTAGAATTTTAAAACCCCTCCAAACCCAATGTACATACCCTCTGAAGTTTCTTGAATTTACTATTATACAATATTATTCTGTTGGAAATGTTCTACTCAAAGAAAGGAAAGGTATTCCGATTCTTGGACATGCAGACATTGGCAACTTCTTTGCTGGTCTTAGTTTGATAGTGATTGCTTCCTGGCCTTATATATAAAGAACAAAGATATAACATCCATCATATTTTGTTATAATTTAAAGATATTCACCATTTGGTTGCTTTAGGTGAGGATAATTCGGATTCTTCTTTACAATTCACATCCAACAGAACTTGAGAGATGTTATCACTCCTTTGTTTTGACTAGTTAACTATTAGCACACAAGGTAACCAAACCCAATTTAAAATGTAACAATGACAGGTAGGGCATAAATATATATATATATATATATATATATATATATATATATATATATATGCAATCGTTTCCCTTTAAACTACCTTCACAACTTAAAATAAATTAATAATTAAACCCTTTGCTTTCTAGCTCATAACCCAAACAGTTAAGCGCTAGGAACTACCTACATAAAACCAAACAAGTATATAAGCTTTATGAATGTTAATGCGCTATTTCCTTCAATCTTTCAGAAAGTCCTTCAACCAGTGCCGTCTTTACAGCATTGTACACAATGGGGAAGTTGGGCGTCAGTAGTAACTTCTGCCTTCTTTTCATGTGGAATGGAGAGTTCTATCCAACAGCCTTACGAAATTTTGGACTAGGTTTAGGATGTACATTCGGCCGTGTTGCGGCAATCGTATCACCAATTGTTATGGTATGTTACTCTGTTTCAGTACTGCAACCGGTAAATTACAAAACTTATCATCAGGCCGCTTGTCTTAGCGGAATTTGAACCAATATATTACAATCTTTCGACCCTCAGACCCCTTTCCCTATCCATTTCCCGCCCAGACTGCAAGAACCATTCTCCATTCCTTAATCACCCAAATTCCTTTGATATTTCGTACATAACGAATTTTTTATCAGCTGTTTTATTGATTTATATCGATATTGTTCAAAGCAACAAGTTAATTATTTGAGTCTCTATATTGTTTGACAAGCAATTTTCGTCTTCAATAAGAACCAGTCGTTCATTTTTCGGCTTTAAGTTTTATCTGATTCACGTATTATACTTTATTCATATACAATAAGACTATCTACTGCATGGACATTTATAGCAAGCCTGCTCTTTTGGTAGGACCAATTCGGAGAACATCCCGTTCTTGGTAACACTGTTCCTCTGATACTGTTTGGGTGTATGGCATTGTTCTGTGCTTTGAGTGGTCTATATCTCCCTGAAACTGCCCACAAACACCTGCCAGAGACTTTGGAAGATGCTCAAAACTTTGGAGTTAAACGGTTTGTTATATACTAATCTGTTGATCGACACCTAATCTATATGCCTCTTTTCATTCCTGTCGGCTGTCTCCTCCTTTCTCTCACACTTCATCTCTCTCTCTCTCTCTCTCTCTCTCACACACACACACACACACACACACACACACACACACACGCACTGGCACATGCATAACTACACACTCACTTGTCAACATGTGATGTCAAAACAAAACTTTGTTACTTCATATAACACATAAGATTTGTCCAATATTCCAAATGATTTAGCTCCTTCTAATACAGTTTAATGGGTGATTGTAAAAGCAGAATTCTTCGTACCAAAATGTACCATTGTTGCTTAAAACGGATATATACTATAAATTTCAGGAGAAAAAGTGGCATCAACCAAAACTACGATGAGAATACCCCATCCACATTTGAAATGGCTTCTTAAGGACAACGACTACAGTTTCATGCACGTGGACTAATTTTTAGCAATTTTGTATGTTTGGGTCACCGAGCCTGATCCGCTGTAAGCCTAAATCATAATTTATAAAAAATGTGACAGGGATGAATGGTAGCATATTAAAACGTGCATTCTTTCGGATTTTCTGTAGTGATTACATGTACCTCATCTACTTTTAGACAAGTGTTAGCATATGGTTTTTAGACTGGAGATATGTTTGGTAGTGTTATTTTTTGCATTATTATACCTCTTGTAGAAAAGCAGACCTCTGATTGGCCAGTGACCATTTACTATTTCAAATAGTGCTTTAGTGTTTGGCAAAAAATGTACTGAAATTCTTTACAGCGTGGAAGACGACTATGACTGTACAAAATATTAAATTCCTCTGCTGCTGGTATCACTTTATACAGAATAATTCAAACCAGAACACAAGAACGAGATGTTGATTCTAGGCCTCTCGTAGAATTAAATAAAACCACGTGCTGCTGATGGCATAAGGTAGCACATTAAAGACATTTTACCAGAGCTCTTCGGTTACACCTTCAGCTTCTCAAGTTATTCGGTTCAATTGCAAATGGATTCTAGATTCTACTGTTTTTAAGGTGTGATATGAAGTTTGCACGAATTATCTCAACCAGCTTACGTGGATGTTTGATTATCTTTACTGTCTCTCTCTCTCTCTCTCTCTCTCTCTCTCTCTATATATATATATATATATATATATATATATATATATATATATACCACCCTATTTTGGAGGGAGTCAAATAGGAACATCGATTTGATCTTTTATTTATGGATGTTTTCATGTTGTCCACTTCAACGTGAGCGCACTGAGTGGTATTATGCTCTCCGTCGATATCAGTATTCACATTTAGCTCACATGCTATCAGAAGCATACAGTTTAACATAAAAGATGCACTGAAACGTAGTCATTTACGATGAATTCAAAAGAGAAAAGAGCGGGTGGAAAACCGACGCTTAATTCACACAGTGAAAGACTTTATGTTTGTTTCCAACCACTTGCATTTTATTGTAAGTCTTGCGGTTTATTTATAGTCTTCGAACACTCTATAAGATAGAATGCAAAGTTAAGAGTTTGTTCGTGTACTCTGTCTAATGTTCTACCAGTAGTAGGTTTAATATAAAAAGTTTGTTTAGTTATGAATCACCTTTTAAGAACTCTATTATAATGTGTTTAGCTGTTTAATAAAATTTCAACGGACGCCAATCTCTGAACTAATTTAAATTCCGTTCATTTTATCTGACATGCGTGAATGATGTCGGAAGTGCAACAAAGTGTTAAGCACTTTGTAGCAGTTGTCGTCAAAATAAAGGACCAATCAGTAGACAGGCCGCTAGTGATGGAATTTGATGATGTGATCCGACGCGTTGGAGAATTTGGCAGGATTCAGCTTCGGACGACAATATTTAGTGGTCTAGTGACAATGTCGACAGCCATGCAAATGATGGTAACAGTCTTTATGCAAGTGTTACCGGCCCATAGGTAAAACTAATTAATATAGGACATTGGTGATAGCTGTATCAGGGCACTGGGTCACATCGGGTCTTATTTACAGAATAGATGGGAAAAATTAACGTCCCATGGCCCTGAATCTTCCATTTCATTCTCTAGTTTTTAATATGGTTGTCTGCTATTAATTTAGTACAAAATATAAAAAAAATTGTTAAAGAAAAAATCACATGCCTTCTTGCCTAACGCTCATGAATGTATCTACCTTTAAATGGGCGTGGATGTACATGTACATGTATGTCCATCCCCTGCACATGGTTCTTTTGATCTATTGACTCATTTTAACGATACTGTCTATAAAATTAAAATGGTTAGAATTGGGCATAGATGATGTGACCTATCACACCTTGGGTGAAAATGTCTTCAGCCGTGCGATCCACAGTCCTATCTGTGGACTTTGTTTGACGATATGGCTGATCTATGCATTAAATAGGTTAAATCTGGTAAATGTTTTTAGTCGCTTTTGACATGTTTTAACATTTTAATGTTTTAACGTTAAAACGTTGTCACTTACAGTAACACATATCAAACTGCCGATCAAAATTGATACGGTGGAATAGCAGCGATTCTCACTTAGGTCATATAATCCGCAAGCTGTCATGAATGCTGTATGGTAATGTTAAAATCGTGCCCACCTGCAATGCAAACATAAAAGAGTCAGGGGGTGAGGTCTCGACTAGACACGTCACAGTCGGTTTCGAACATTTCAAAAAGTCTTGAAAACATTCATTTTGTCATCGTTAAAATTTCAATGACAATTAGTTCATTTTGCTATCCTCAGTGCAAACATAGCAAATAAAGCCAGTCATGAAATTCACAATATTGACTTATATTTGCTTTATCCCAACAAACTGTATAAAATGAATACGCCAATAATGTGCATGTTATAATACTTATCATGTGCGCCAGTAAACTGGTCATTTTTCAGATGCGCCATTCCAGACCTGGCAAATGACACCTTTGAAATCCAGGGTACCTGGCACCAATATCTTCTCAACCAAACCATTCCTGTAGACGAGAATGGGAAGTATGAGGGATGTCTGTGGCGTAGTGAAAATTATCCCAGAAACAGTAGCGTGTTGCCGTGCGAGGACTGGGTTTATGATACATCTGTATTCCCGAAAACATTTCCGACTGAAGTGAGTATTTTATCCGTTTATTGCTGTAATATATCTTGTAAAAAACTTTTTAGAAGTTGAATAAAAAACTTTGGAACATGGTTGGACTTGGTTGGACATGGTTTTCTGTATGGCTTTACTCATTACATTAGGGTTGACATTTTTTGGGGGATTATATATCACAGTGATAAAGACCATGCTTAACAATACATGTATATGCACCAGCTGTAGTAAAAATTCGTTGAATTGAAAATCCCTGTTTTTAATTTCAGTTTGGCCTATTTTGTGACAGTTCCTTGCTAATAAATATGGCCAACGTGGTCTATCTATCAGGAGTGGCCTTGGGGGCCATTGTCGGTGGTTTAGCAGCAGACTAGTAAGCATGAATTTTATAAATTTTATTTTGTACACTTAGTTCATTTTGGTACACATTCAATATTCAATCAAACTGACTACACTACCACTGTTTGGATATTTGATGTCATCAGACATCATGCTGATTAATTTTGCAGTAAAATCTGTGTCGTTCAAATGCACTTGAAAATGAAAAATTAGCATATCATCATTTTATGCTTACATATGAGCTAGAGCTCGTCTCAAACTACAAGGCGTTATCTCTTTAAACAGCATCGAATGTAAGGCGCATTCCCACCAGGACTGTAGTCCAGTCGCGGAAGTATAAGGAATATTATATTTCGATGAGCTTACGGTTCATCTTTTTTAATTTTAATTTTAGTCATTCAAAATGAGAAATTTAGATATTCATTCAGTTACCAGGTATGTTTTCGTTTTGCAGCATTGGTCGCAAGCCTGTATCTTTTATCGCCTGTTTGGTACATGGCGTAGGAGGATTGGGAGCTGCTTTCTCACCTAACTACGGGGCTTATGTTGCATTCCGTTTCTTTGTTGGCAGCTGCCACGGAATTCTTATCAATTCTGTCGTGGTTTTGTGTAAGTAACCACGTCAAAAATCGTGTCTATGCCAGTAACATTTGTTGTTCAATGACGCGTAGAGCCTACTGGCCACATCTTATTGCCACTTTCATGTATAGAGATTTTTTTTCACGTTTGAAAGCGTAAGTTGATATGCCAGTAAAATGTTATTTTAAACTATAGAGCGTACACGGTGTGTTAGCTGCGTCCAACCTTTAATCCCTTGCTGCGTGGAAACTTTTGTTCGATTCACTGTTAGGATATTCCCCATTCTGCAACAACAATTGAAATTCCAGTGATACAATAACATTACACTTCCCTTTGCAGGTATAGAATTTGTGTCACCAAGAAGACGCATGGTATCCGTGTGCACATTAGCTATGTCCTGGGGTGTAGGATTGGTGCTTACAACTCCTGTGGCTTACCTAATACGGGACTGGAGATATCTACAGTTGGCAGTGGCCTTGCCATCATTCTTATATCTAGGGCTCTGGTGGTAGGTTGTGTTTCTCTTTTGCTTTAGAAATTGTGTTTTTGGGTCTATCCATTGAAGATATGTAATTTGCAGCACACACAAAAAAGGCCGTGTATCGTGTTTGCATGTGAAAGTGCAATAATAAACACACAGTCACTGGTACACAGCCCTGCAAAGATGCAAGCATGAACGTATTGAATGGTATGTAATTAGAGTTTTATAAATTTCAAAAGAAGTACCTTTATTTACAGGATAATCCCGGAGTCACCTCGTTGGCTGTTATCTCGAGGTAGATACAAAGAAGCCGAGAGCATAGTCCGATGGGCGGCTAGAGTGAATAAAAGGGCGATTCCAGAAGTCGTTCAACTCTTGGATGAACGTTCATTGAAAACGACCCCCACTTTAAGTCCTCTAAAAATTGTCCACGCACCAAGACTAATGGCGAGGACGGCAGTTGCCGTATGTGGCTGGTATGTGTCCATTTTACTCCTTTTTGAATAGGTCCAAGTGTACTTTACCTGCGGAGACATGTGTAGGTGAAAATCGCCCAGTTTAATGTCAGGGAAGCGAAGTCAGCCTCTCGGTGTGGGTCTTATTGATCGTAGATACTTCAGATCGGTGACATATACGGTACCGTTAAATAATTTTGGAAAACACGTGCAATGATGTGCTTCAAGAGCTCTTACTAAATATACACTAACTCTTTTGTTTGGTTGATAAGACACGTAAAATTATTTTTCAGGATTACAGTAAGCATGTCGTGGTATGGTCTTACACTTAATCAAGGTTCCCTAGATGGAGACATATTCATCAATGCTCTTGTCCTGTCTGTTATCGACCTCATTGCTTACTCATTGTTGATATTCATCAACAAAATTGGTAGAAGAAAAGCATACTGTGCCGGCATGATGATCTCTGCTTTGTCCATGTTGGGTACAATTCCGGTTCATTTCTTTGCAGACAGAGGTAAGATTTAAACCTGGTTTTGTGCCAGTATCAAAATATATTAGTATTTTTAGTTACCGACAGATTCGATGGGTTTACAAGTCATATTCATGAGCGTCTTTTCATGCGTCATTTGGAATTACTGTATGTATGACACAATCTGTATGCTAACATAGATTTTAATAATTATGCTAATCAGATAAAAGATTGCTCGACTTATTGTGCATATAGGCAGTTGGTTATTTACATTCCAACTGCCTTCACACATCTTTTTTTTTTTAAGATTGGGTTTATTGTATGCGTACATGGACACGTCCTATTTAATAAGTGTTGTTTTTTTTACCCTAGATGAATGTTTAACCTAGATAAAATTGAATCGGTTGCCTTCACGAATGGAATGTTTTTTATCAATGTTTCAGAGAGTCCTTCGACCAGTGGCGTCTTTACGATTTTGTACACGATAGGGAAGCTGGGCCTTAGCGGTTGCTTCAGGCTTCTTATCGTGTGGAATGGGGAGTTCTATCCAACAGCTTTGCGAAATTTTGGACTAGGTTTAGGTTCTACATTTGGCCGTGTTGCGGCGATTGTTTCACCAATTGTAATGGTACGCTACCCTGTTTCAGTCTTGTAACCGTCAAATGATATAACTATGTAGTATTCTCCCCTAAAAAGTGTTACCCCACCGCATTTATGTACATTGTTACAAGAGTACTTACTGTTAATATTACGTAATAACTAGGCTACCGACCGAAGTGTAAAGTGGGAATGTGAGTAGTAGAACATTGAATAAGACTATTGAATATAACCGCTACACCAATTCTTTTAAATATTGGGGTCCTTAGTGAGGAGGATACATTTTTGACCATAATGTTGACAAAGGCTGAAGTTTTGATCCGCTAAATTGTAAAGTTTCATGAGATTTAGAACTCAACTTTAAAAAGAATGGGACAAATCATTTCCCGTCAGAAGGTGTTTGCACAATTACTGTCACGTTGAAAATGGCCAACAGGGGGATAGCCATGCAAACAAAAATGTTTTTACTATATTTTGCACTGTATGTAGAACGCTGTCTCTCCGCAAACATTACAGAAATTTTGACTCCACGTACAGACACTTCTGACTCAGCGACCCAACCATCTGGCAATTTGGCGATTCAAAACTCCCTCCTTTGTCAGCCAGCTGCTTGGTTAATTAAACTCTTATTATTTGAAATATAATCTGTATTTCAATGGTCACGGTAGTTAGGTCAATCTTCTTTTACTCGGATCCCCAATTTACACGAAGATCGGTTGTTATGCAATAGTTTTTATGCAACAATAGCTGTAATGCAATAATAAGATGGGTGACCTAGAAACTGTTAGAAATGCGATAGGGGTGACAATTTCGCTACGGGAGTATATATACATTATTTGACAGTTTTTAAAATTCATCAATTAAAACTAAGCTTTCATATATCCAAAAGCCCATTAAGTTTAATCATATTCAAGTATAAAATTTCATCTAATACGATAATTTGGTTCTTGGCCATTAAAAGGAAGATTTCTCATTTTGATAGGACCAACTAGGGGGACATCCAGTTCTTGGTAACACTGTCCCTCTGATATTGTTTGGCTGCATGGCATTGTTCTGTGCTTTGAGTGGTCTATATCTCCCTGAAACCGCCCACAAACACCTGCCAGAGACCTTGGAAGATGCTCAAAACTTTGGAGTTAAACGGTTTGTTATGCATAGCACTGTTTAAGATCTGTTGACGCCTCCTTATCTCACCCCTCATTTCATTCAAGTCAGCTGTCTTCTGCTGTCTGTCTTTCTCATTCGCGAGCACCCGTACACATATCCACTCATGTACAAAAGTTAAGTCACACTACTTAAAACTATTGATAAAATGTGATGGGTATTTCCAAAATACAGTAAAAGTACATGCACATGTACCTCCACGCTGAGCAGTACTAGCAGGCTATTTTGATTCTAAAGTTTTTAAACAATGCATTACTGCAAAACATAACGTAACATTGCTGTGGGAAAACGCATTAATGTTACATACGTGTCTCCATTTCAGGTTGGAGAAGAATTTCCACAAAAGCTCAAGGGATAATGCTCCACAGACACTTGAAATGGTTTCTTAGTTTCTACGACTATCCGGTATCACAATTTGACACATTGAACAATGCATTTTTTATCTATTGTTTGATATGCAGCATATTTACAAAGCATGACGTTACAGTCAATAAAGTGAAGATGTCCTTAGTTTTGAACTTAAAAGTCATATTTTCATTGTGCGAAAAAGCTGGTAGTCCTTGGAATGGAAGCTTGGATGGGGTCCCATATGATTCCGTGCGCCAGTTGAAGATTATAAACTTAATGTAGCTTAAACGACATCGTAAACTTCTGAGATCATGCCAAGATTTTAAAAAAAATTTAATACCGTGTCCAAAGTTAGCATGTTTGCGCATAGAGAGTTGAGAGAAAGAGCCTGTAATTTCATTTTGTTCCCATTATCTTCTTCGGGGGCCAGATATACATGAGCTTGGAACCCATGTTTGAAAATTGGAGTCATCTTAGGCATTTTTTAATTGCGAGGTAAAAAAAAGCACCATTTCCTTTCCGAACCACCACGACTCTTTGTGATGCCATTTAACGTATACTGTACATTTCTTTGGGTTTGCATTGTAATTTAAAAGGCAAATCTGTGGTTAAACAATTGCCATCAACGTCGTGTGAGCAGCAAGCATTAGCACACGGATTATAGTAAGGGGCGGAGTGTTTGACTATAAAAATAGCAAAATCCTGAGATGCATGTCCAGTGTATTTTATTATCAAAGGGTCATTTACAACACCTTTTCCATGACAAGAAAGAAAACTTAGTCTCTGCCCCATACCAAATGTGACCGACTGATCCGCTCAATTGCATTAAAAATACTTGATCTTGCAGCAAGATAATGTTAACGGGAGTGCTACTCCATTTGCATAAAGACAATTTACTGATGGCAGTTTCCTACCAGTAATTTTTCGCATCTTTCTTTTGCTCGCACACTGACATTATATTAAAGGCAAACATTGAAATGCACTGATAGTCGTCTCCGATAACCTTAAACTAGATAAGAGCAGGTCAGAAACTGCACCACTTCACATGGTGAGAAACTGAACTGGAGCAGAGCAATACATACACATGCAATTTCCCACTATCAATACTTGTCGTGATATACGTGCGTTATATCTGTACGAGGTGATTTTATTTTCATCAGCGATAACACTGCTTCTTTACAAATACTTTTAGGGTTTTTTTCTTTTTTTTTTGGGGGGGGGGGGCAGATACTTACATTTTAAGCGTATATAAGTAAATGTAGGAAATAAAAGAGACCCCATCGCTGGCCTTAGTTTGTGTTACTTACGTTTATCTTATCTGAAAAAGGTGAATGACCTCAGAGTTTTAGAATGCAAAGCAAGCACTTGCAGCTGTTACAAGTACATGCAAGGATTGATCACCAGTCAAACGGCTAATGATGGAATTCGATGAGGTGATCCGACGTGTCGGAGAGTTTGGAAGGATTCAGTTGCGGACGACAATATTCGGTGGCTTGGTGACGATGACAACAGCACTGCAAATGATGGTGACAGTCTTCATGCAGCAATCACCGGCACATAGGTAAAAATAAGTATTTTGATGACGTTACCAACTTTGTCTTACTTTTTATGCGAGGTAAAACTAGACAACTTCCATATTCCTTCAAATCCTTTATAATCAATTTCTAACTACGCTCTCTACAATTTATTCCTCTCCCTTCAACCTCTTACATCGTTCTCCCCCGTTTACATTACTTTCTGCGCTTAAGTACAACGAGGTCATGTCAATCAACTAAGGTTACACTACAAAACACTCTCCGCTCTTATTCACTCACTACATGAATTTATTTTCGTTTAACGAGTCAACGTAAATGTGTTAGAGAAGCAAGTCAGGTGAGGAAATGAGTTCATAGGGCGGGGAGTTTTAGATGCGCAGTTTGGGCATTAGGCAGTAGTATAAAAGGAACTGTGAGATGAGTACATTTCATTCGATACTGTTTCAGCTTGCTGCGTCGGGTCCAAGTAAATCGCAAATTTATACCAGACAAAAGAGTATTTTGAATAATACTGAAGTTGGTCAGAAAAGTAATATATCAGAGAAGGTACAAAAGGAACCAGTTGTGATAGGTCGGCGTATAAAAGGGTATTCTTTTGGTATTAGTAATGATCCATCGAGAATGCATAGAGCAGTGTTAAATGTATAAAATTAGTAATAAAGAAGAGATGATAGTTGTGACAAGAAAGTAGAAATTAGTAGTTTCTGATGTACAGGGAATTCTGGACATGTACACATTCGGTAATATATATAAGAATGCAACAGTTCAAATATGGAATAAAGGATGTTATTGAAATATATAAAAGGTGGTTAAAAATTTAAAGTGTAAAAAAAGAGGATGAACGAAAAGAAAAGAAAATAGTAGATGTGGTGGTAACGAGAAGCTGGTAGATTGTTATAGTCGGAGAGTTTGTGAAGTACAGTTAATGCGTGGTATGTACGCATTCTGCGACGCAGACAAGCATGCAACAGCTCATACAATGTAGCAAGGGTTAACGAAATAAAATGATTTGAATTTGATGCGGTGGTTGGTGTTTTCGTTGCGAGTTATTAGACGATAAATGATTTATATGCGATTGAGTGAAAGGAATGAGAATATTATGTCACTTACTAACATTACAGTACCACGGACTTGGGTGGCAGGTGTAACAGGTGGCGGGAGAACAACGCTCCTCTTATCCAACACGCCTCATAAAATTGATGCTTCAAAACAATTGTTAATGTGATAGCGTTCTTCATACAGTGCAAAAAATCGACGACAGTGAGGTTATATATGGACCTCAACTACATTTATGGCCAATAGCAGTGATTATAAGGACTGAATGGTATCAATCGGTGGATCAAAGCCAAATACAGAAATCTATATGTAAAACCAAACAGTCAACATAACTTACGTTAATTTAGGCAAATGATGTACCCGTAAACACACAAATCCTGTTTTTAGGTGTGCCATTCCAGGCCTGGCAAACGACACCTTTGAAATCCAAGGTGCCTGGCACCAATATCTTATCAACCAAACCATTCCTGTAGACGAGAATGGGGAGTATGAGGGATGTCTGTGGCGTAGTGGAAATGATTCCGGGAATGGTAGTGTTTTGTCGTGCAATGAATGGGTTTATGATACATCTGTATTCCCGAGAACGTTTCCTACAGAAGTGAGGCAATGTCTTTATTATTTCATAACAATGATTTTGGACGCGTTTTATTATCAGTGTAATCTTAATGTTATTTTGATACAGTTCATTTGTTACATTGTATCATTTAATGCTTTGTTTTATATTTAAAAATTAGTCCAGCAAACCTCTTTTGAAGTAAAACTTACATTTCAGTTTATATTTTTTCAATTTATTTAATTATTTATTTATTTTGGTTAAATGAATAAAATGTCAATCTTAGTGGCGCATATGTTAATTAATTTGATGCATAAAACATAGGACATTATCGCACAGCAGACGTCGTTCACCTGGTAATTTCTATGGCAAATGAAACATTATATCAAAGTTTATATTTCAGTTTGGTCTATTATGTGGAAGTTCCTTATTGATAAATATGGTGAACGTGGTCTATCTAACAGGGGTGGCTGCAGGGGCTATTGTTGGCGGCCTTGCAGCAGACTGGTAAGCCTTTTTTTATTAAATATTTTTCCCTCGGTGCTCGTACATTCTATCTCGTTCAGATATGTGCATTGGCTCACATATTCCACATAAATCAGTGCTTCTTTCGTATGACTTTCATTGACAGTTGAACATGGATACCAATTTCAGTCCTCTGACAGTGTCCACTAACAACAAAATACCAAACATGTTTAATTAGGGTTCTATCAAAGGGTTGAAACGATTGTAAAAAAAGGCTTATTTTAATTTTCAGCATTGGTCGTAAAACAGTAGCCTTCATCTTCTGTTTAATCCATGGGGTCGGTGGGGTAGGAGCGGCACTCTCACCTACCTACGGGGCCTTTGTCGCATTCCGATTCTTCGTCGGGACTTGTCATGGCGCTGCAAATAATTGTGTGTTGGTACTGGGTAGGTAATTGTATGATGCACCGCGTTTAATATTCTTTGCTGTTCAGTGGCGTGCGGAGCCAAGGTTTGAAAAATTGCGAGAAATGTTGTAGTCATCTAAGATTAAACTTTTGAGATGTTACTTATCTTTACCCTGATGCCATATTTTGTTGACCGTGATTTGAAATGCCTTTGAATTTAAATTCACATAATATAATCTGCAGTCAGTGTTACAGCTTCCAATTTGCTATGCTATGCGTTTGTGTATTAAAAAATTCTAATAATACATCGTATGATCATTGTTCTTACTACATGTAGTCACATACATTGCAGGTATGGAGTTTGTTTCTCCAAGAAAACGGATTATATCCGTATGCGTATTAGGCATATCATGGGGTGCGGGCATCGTGCTTGCAACCCCTCTGGCTTATCTTATACGGGACTGGAGATATCTGCAGTTAACCGTGGCATTGCCCCCATTCCTATATCTAGGATTCTGGTGGTAGGTTCTTTTTTTTTCTTTTACAGTAAGCAAGTTGATTCTTGATGTCATTCTTTGTTTATTTCTGTTTTGTTGCACAAACATCAAACATCAGACAAGCACACTTTACTTACACGCACATTCAGAAATTAAATGAATAACAGTGCAATCATTGAAACAAACACACACCCATTTGTACTCTAAATACTATACGAATAATATTTTTTCAAAATGTTGAATTTGCATGGGGACAGCAAGACAACATGTGGCCCTTTAACATTAAATCAAATATGTCTCTCATTCCCCAGGTTGTTTTTGCCTAGTTGATGATACGTTAACTCAACTCTGATTGGTAAAAAAAACATGGATTATGTCGTCGGTTGATATCATGTTTGGTCATGACCTCAGCGGTCAGTATTGAGTTTTATATCAAACCTCGAATTCCCGTATATGATAATTGTTTTCTATGCAAATTGTGTAAATGACATAGTACATTTTAAACATTATTAAACATTCATATTTGCAGGATAATCCCGGAGTCCCCTCGCTGGCTGTTATCTAGGGGGAGATACAAGGAAGCTGAGAGGATAGTGCGGTGGGCGTCCAGAGTGAATGACGGAAAGATGCCGGAGACCGGTCATTTCTTGAATGAGCATTCTTTGCAAATCACTCCGACTTTAAGTCCCCTGAAGATTTTTAAGGCACCAAGACTTATGGCGAGGACAGCAGTAGCAATCTGTGGCTGGTATAAACATTGTTTTCGCAGTTTGGCAACACGCAATTGACATTTTAAGTTACACGTGTTCATGTTAAAAAACCAAATGCGCTTATTTTAACCAAGACTTAAAAGGACTCTTTATAGGTCACCCAATATGACAAATCGTTATAAGCATCGAGAGCGTTCAAACAAATGTCTCACCAAAAACCTTACCACTATGTCATTTTTAGGATCACAGTTGGCATATCATGGTATGGTCTTACACTAAATCAGGGGTCTCTAGGAGGTGACGTCTTCCTTAATGCTCTAGTACTGTCTCTGATCGACCTGATGGCTTTCCTATCGTTGACGATCATCAACAAAGTTGGTAGGAGAAGAGCATACTGTGCCAGTATGATGCTCTCTGCCCTGTCTATGTTGTCAACTGTACTGGTCCATTTCTTAGCAGACAGAGGTATGATTTAAAGGGTGTGAATATTCATTTGAAATTGTTTGATTTACATTTATTAGAAAGGAGAAGTTAAATTTTATTTGTTTTTGGTGCTACACGTGTGCTGTAAGTAATCTGTTGTAAATTTGTTACATACACTTCTTTTGCTGGCATTGATTTTTAATCGTGGTAAGCATTTAAGTACGAAATGTTGCACACGGCTTCTGTTTAATTTATAGTCACAGTGATGGTCTCCGCGCCTTTTTTAATCAATTGTAAAGCAATATCTAGTTTTACAGAGGCTAAATAGTACGTTGTATTTAGTACATTCCCAGTAAAATAGAAGGGTCCACTTCAATTTTACAGAAAGTCAGTCAACCAGTACCATCTTCACAGCTCTGTACACGATAGGGAAGTTGGGAGTCAGTGCTTGCTTCTGCCTTCTATTCATCTGGAATGGAGAGTTCTATCCTACGCCCCTACGAAACTTTGGGATAGGATTAGGATGTACATTCGGCCGCATTGCGGCTATTTCATCTCCGATTGTAATGGTATGTTAACGTTATGGCTCAGCTTCAGTATAAAAATTATATTTCCTGTTCAGAAACAACTATTCCCTTTCGATGTATTAGGAGCCTTTTTGGTGTTTGCATTTTTTAACTCTACGTTTAATGCAACTAACTTCCTGGGTGTTTAATTTGTACTTATACCCCGGTAGACACAGTAGCTATATATTAACATTAAAGTCACAGTGAAAAACAGCTTGTATCCCACCTTATCAAAACGACACTGCAGTGAAAAGCAAATACGTGACCCCTAGCACTGTTATATTGCTGTACTGAAAAGACGTTCCAAAAAGAATATCGAGAAACTGATTATTTATTTAATATTTATTATAAACGCAGCAATTCGATATACATGTGGGGTTGTATTTCACCAGCAGTTTTCACTTTTTTTTATTTTTGATATATTTATATTATTACCATTTAGTTTCATCAGGCCCCATTTTCATAAACCTTTGGGTAACATTATCCACTGGATACAATTGTTTTCTTTGAATAGTAATCCTGAGGATAGCAGCCATATTAAAACACTGGATAGCAATATCAGAAACAAAAATAGGTATCTAGTGTTACGAAAACATTACTTTACCCACAGGATAACTGACCGGACGATAAAAGTTTAACTACAAAGAATTAAATAATCCGAAGGGTGGGTGTTAAATGAAAAAAGTTTTCATTTTTTGTAGGACCAACTCGGAGAACATCCAGTTCTTGGTAACACTGTTCCTCTGATATTGTTTGGCTGCATGGCATTGTTCTGTGCTTTGAGTGGTCTATATCTCCCTGAAACCGCACATAAACACCTGCCAGAGACCTTGGAAGATGCTCAAAACTTTGGAATAAAAGGGTCTGTTATTCACTATGCTTAACGAAACCCCTCTCCCTCTCTCTCCCTCTCTCTCTCTCTCTCTCCAACACACACACACGCACACACACTCTATCACACACACACACACACACACACACACACACCATTCAAAGTTGTAATCGAAACAAAATAATTTCACTTCCTTCTCACAAAATATGTCTTGATGACTATTATAATGCCGTCAAGACGGAATATAGATGAGTTATGGGCAAGAAATTTATGATATCGGTTCAAGAGCAATATATGTACATGCAGTATTAACCGAAAATACATTTCAGGTGTGAGGAGGCCGTCTACAAAAAGTCCAGTGAGACAGCTGCACCATTATTTGAAATGGCATCTTAATCATATCAGTGTGCCATCTGGTGACACAATTTGAGACGAATGGGCGTTTTTTTCATCTCCTTCGGTTAGATGCCATGCACGTTTTAAACACAAACTGGATAATGCGATTTCAAATGGCATTGACAGACTAAAAAATGCGTTTTCACTGACCAAATGTATTTCTACAATGGGAACTGCATTTATTTTCACTGCCTCACATTGGCAACTTAAATCGAAGGCTGGCTTTTCATACTTTACGTTTCAATGTCCGACATGTCGCAACTTAGTGAAATCAAATGTATCATTCTGTTAAAAACGCTAGACTGATAATTTTTTTTAATTCAATATTGCAAACTGAACACGCCTGGTAATAAATTTATGATCGACATACAAAAATAATTGGTTTTATATTTTTTCTCTTCCTCTTCTTTTTAATTTCAAGTAAATTAAAATACCTGTAAGTAAATTAAAATTAGTACACACGTGGCAGGTGGATTCTGCGAACAGAAACGTTTCACATGTCGGTTGTCTCTAAATAGTGGAAAAGCCCCTAATTTGAACCTACAGAGGAGTTTTGACGTGTCTTAACATAGCATAACGGCGATGATCTATATTCCGTTATCACCTGGCTACTGGGTCACGGAAGATGAAGATCGTTACACGCCTTATAGATTTTTTGTGCCATGAGAATTTCTGTTCTATTAAATAACACCAATAAATAATGTTAATAAAGGCGTAAAATAAACGGTAATTGATGCGCTTGCCAGTCCATGCAATCCTGTCATGACGTAACACGGCTTGCTGGTTGAGGTCACGAGTACTTTGTGCGCAGCTAAGCGAGAGAGCGCCGGAGACAGCTAGGAGTGGCATTCCAATGAAACTTGCTGTCCCTTTTCCATCCTTCCGTGCAGGTGGCATCTGCTCTGTACTCCCATGGTGAACCCCGTACTTCTATCTAAAGCTAACCTGCATTGCATATATGCATGGGATCCTGGATTCCAATCCCAGAACTACCATTCTTGTTGCTCCAGTTTAAAGAAACTGATAGACATGCATGGTCATAAAGGTTGGGGTTTACGTTGCGTTAGTGGGTGACAATCTTACAAAATGAAAGGACACCAAACCCTGTATCACTGGAGACTAGCTTATAATGTATTTATGAAGACAGATGCGTGCAAAAAAGGCAAAGTGCAGAAGAAATCTAGAGAGAGAGAGTGGAGAAATGAGGAGAAAGAAAGGGGGAACTTGCAGGACAAAAATAAAGATATTAAAATAGATATAAGTGATAAAATATCATTGATTTAAATTAATGAACTGTCTTTAATCATAATGGTCCTGTTTCATTGTCTACAGTATTGCGATTTAATTGCTTTTGCCAATGTGCTCTTATGTTTTTTAATGACGATTTATTAAATCGGGTGGTTTCTGCTCGCAGCACTGCTGCTAACAACGGTGACGGCGCAGTTTTGTACAAATGTTCTTGATTAAACCATGAATATTGTTTTCATTTTGTTAACATTTTATATCTCGGCTTATTCTGAAATAAAAATGTGATTTATTTTTTCACAACGGATCGTACCCCCACCCTCAGGATGAGAATATATACGGAATACCATTCATCGTTACTAAAATGAACCCCTATAGGAACTGTTTATGTGAACATCTATTCTTTTTGTGTGGATTTTACATTAGCAACCCGCATGGTTTTTGTTTATTTCTCATGTTAACAGAATTTCTGCAGTCTGCATCCTGAGAACATACAAAGTGCTGACAGCACGCACAGAAGATGGACTTTGATAAAGTTGTCCAACTTGTTGGTGAGTTTGGAAGGATCCAGTTGCGTACAGCGGCATTTTCTGGATTGGTGACGATGTCCACAGCTTTACAAATGATGGTGACTTTATTCATGCAACAGTCACCGCCACACAGGTACTACCTGTACAAAAGAAGCTATTAAATGAAAAGTGTGTAGTAGCACAGTAAGGTGATGTGAAGTAATCAGCTTTCTGTAAAGTGAATAGTTACAAGTACACATAAACATTCTGAGGCGTAGGCCTATATGGCATGAGTAATATTGCAAAGTATTAGTTTGCTGATGAAGTAAAGAACACGACCAACAAAATTATTTTTTGTTAAAGATGCGCCATTCCAGACCTGGCGAATGACACCTTTGAAATCCAAGGTACCTGGCACCAATATCTTATCAACCAAACCATTCCTGTAGACGAGAATGACCAGTATGAGGGATGTCTGTGGCGTAGTGGAAATGATTCCGGGAATGGTAGTGTGTTGCCGTGCAAGGACTTGGTTTATGACACATCTGTATTCCCGAGAACATTCCCTACAGAAGTGAGTATTTGTAGTACAATCATTGTCACTTCATATTTGCTGTCCATTTATTTCTTTTGTTTGGTCCAAACACTAAAATCACTCAATCATAATCTCACTAATTCATATCTCATTATCAGTCAATGTCGTAGATTAATGAAACCATATTTATGTAGCCAAATGTTCACAAGCACATCGAAGCTCTGTTTTTGCTCCAAATTAAGTAAGATAAGTCCATATGACTGAAAATTGTCATTGTGACGAAAACTAATAAAATATAAAGTTACAAAACTGGGGAGATAATCAAACATCCCCCAAACTATATAAGTGTCATAATATAAAAAGGATTAATCAAGAAAATATGAGAAATCACAACAGCTATAGGAGCAAAAAGTTGGCGCAAATGAAAATAAAAGGCAGTCCTGCCTGTCTTATAACACAGACGATCACCCCCGAATGCATAGGTCTACTTTCCATTTCACAGATTATGTGTAAACATACATACTTGAGTCTTCTGTCTACCCACATCACAGTGAACAAAATAAACAAATTAGTAGACAGGAAATCATTTAGCCATATAATTACTTCCACTTTCATTCTATGCGTCCAGTATATATATTGTCCGAGATAAGGAGGTACCAACGATCTATGATTATTTTCCTTTGAACACCAATAGATCATCGCCTTCATGTCAAATGCCAACCACTTACAAAAATAGACTAGTTGCTTTTAGACCCGTATAACCTACATTTTTATATACTGATACACATGATTAAAATATTTGTTTACTTCAGTTTGGTCTATTATGCGACGATTCACTACTGGTAAATATGGCGAACGTAGTGTATCTAGCAGGCGTGGCAGCAGGAGCAGCTGTTGGAGGCTTGGCAGCAGATCTGTAAGATACCGTATTAATATTTTCTTATGGATTTCAAGTTGAAATCAGTAGATAGTCTTTACTCAACTGCCAATAATAAACCGATTATTGATTCTGTAAAATACTTAAAATATGATCATAGTGCGTTTGATTGCGTTCGGAATTTGCTTACATCTAATCCTATTTTTCATCCTTTGTTATCGAAATATCCGTATAATGAAAGCAATCCAATATGGCCATATCCAGTCACCATCTGGCGTTATGTTAAAATGACGATATGCTNTGACACTTCTTTTGTCCAGTGTGTGTAGATACGTCAGGTACAATTGTACAATTGATCCCTATCTACTAGATACAAGAAGAGTCGTGCAATGGATTCGAAACACAAGAGAATCATCAGCGAGACCTACATGTTGTACAGGCAAGCGAACACCTCGTACACCAAGTATGAAGCCCCAGCCGTGGGATGTAGAATGATAAAGAGCCTAATGCCCAATTGCATTATTATTTCAAAGCAAGTTATAGATTTTATATCTAGCTATTGAAATATTACTTCCTTTTAAACACAAAACAATGCATACATTCCATTTGCTCATTTTGACTAATGTATCAAACCCGATGTCGATTTAACAACCTGGCTAGATATAAACTGCCAATGATAACCATTTTCATGATAAAGCATAGTCAAGTGGCCATAATAGTGTTGATAACATCAGATGCAGACTCCTCGATTTTTCTTCTTCCTGTCAACCCACCCCATTCCATGGAAGCTACTTGGCACCGACTAGATGGATTGGATGCCCATATCTATCATGCCAGTAAGAGAAGGACACCAAAAATTGTATCGATAAAATCGGAATTTAAATTTATAGTTTCTCTCATTACACCTAATTTTTTGTCTTTGTTACTATTTATTTTCATATATCACCTACAATTTGAACAACCAATGGACGTTCGCTTCAGTTTCTTAGATGGGCGTAGACGTTTGTCATATTCTTAGTGAAGCAATCTCTCTCTTTCTACATTATCAGAAATCCTGCGAATAAAGTACCCTTTTTGCCATACTGTTATAACAGCACATAAAAAAGCCAATAAAACAGATTAAAAACTGCAAATCCCACAAAGAACACCACTCTTCCAAACATGTCCACCTTTCCGGGGGACCAGTAGCTGACCAATGGTGCGGGTGTGTCGGTCATTGATAAGGCTTCCGGATTGACACGATTTACTGCATGGTGCGGTTCCTGGAAATACATGAGGCCACTGTATTCGCCTTCAGTAGGGCGTGTTTTGCTATTCTAATATAAAACTTTGCACATGCTGTAAATGAAATGCAAGGGAATTATATTCATTATTCCTTTTTACTTTGCACTTTTTCTTTAGAACACCATCGCTCTGTTATTAAGGTTCCCTGAAACAAAAAATTGTAACTGCGCACTGTTTGGTCTATTTTGAAATCCACTTTAGTATTTTCTTTTCAGTCAAGCATATGTCATCTTATACAATATTATCGTGGCGAATGTTTTGCGTATAAATAAGACCATCAATGAAATCAAATTATCTCCAAACTTCTACAATTACCTTTTTATTTCTGTCTGCCTCCCTTTGCAGCAGCACATTCACCAATGCGTACTGGAGCATGGCTCCTACCACGAACACCAAGCAAGCCGCCAGCCACACATCTACTGCCTTCACGTACGAAACTTTTGGCAACTCCTGCTGGATATTGACACTCTGGGTCATAGTGGTCAGGACTGTGATGATCCCTATGGTCACCCTGGCTGGAACCGCCCTGGGGTCTATCCACATGCTCATGAAGCTAAGAATGACCACTACTGTACTTGGAACGTAGATGTTGATGATGTAAGGGCGGGAATCGCGTTTAATGCGGACTGCAACTATCAGCCGAGAATAATTACCTGGATTGAAACAACCGTACTTAATGACGTGGCAGATCAAAAATCACAAGGAGGATTGTCAATATACAGGGGGGGGGGGGGAAGAACCGCCCTTTTTGTCCATTCTGCGTAAAGTTTGATCTAGGTACATAGAGGTTTCATTGTAAAAGGTCCACTTTTTTCAGAAAAGAACCCCGCTTTTGAATTTGCTGGCTATGGGCCTGATATATATATATATATATATATATATATATATATATATATATATATATATATATATATAAAGTGCACAGTAAAATTGAATTTTTATATACTTTTATATATATTTCAAGTGAATGGTATCTGTTACTGCTGGTTATCAGGTCTGTAGCCAGAGGTTAAAGTGACAAAGGCCCTCTGCTGAGGAGGTTCCTCTAAACCAGTCTAATCAGGAAAAAAATACGAGATAAATGGCTCTGTCCCAGCCTATCAACGACCATGGTTACAGTTGACTAAATATATTGATGTCGCTGTGCATTACCTGTAGCCTGATGCTCTTCTATGGATTTATCTACTTCAATGTCTATCAGTTCAAATTCTGGGAAATTAAGATCACTTTTCCTAAAATCTATCGGTGGCTCGTGCCACCTAAAATGGAGATCATCTGTAGAGTACGCATCTGAAAAATAAAACGAATATGTTGTGAAAAATACGTGTACAATTGTGTGATAACTTCTCCAAGCAGTAGGAAATTCAGGATCTCATAGAGCGCGAAACAACACGCACCGATATCTTTTTTTTGCGGAGTGGTTTTCTGGAGAAAAGGGAGATTCTTGTGGCCTATCTATCAACGCGTGAAGCTGAGGAGAAGATGCTAGTTTCAATTGAGTAATATGGTATTCACTTGGGTAAGGATAGTGTCACCCTTCGCCCAAAACTCCTTATTTACTGTCCTACATACATACATAAATCTTATTGTCCGGTGACTAAATTAATTAACATTTACACGTCATCTTACGGGTGACGTCATAAGTGCGTTTTGGGGTTAAAACTGAAACATCGGTTTCTCAAATTTCTCTGTTATCTGAACACACCGTTTCAACGCCGATTTAATGAGACCATTTAGTACTCCAAGACCCGGCCAGCGATTTTTCTTAAAAGTCTTAGTTTATACTTTATCGTTGATAAAGCAAAATAATGCCTTTCTTATATGAAAATTTGTTATTATGGGCTCAAAACCCCATATCAAAAACATTTAAACCAAAATGACGGCACGGGATTGTAACCTATACACCCCTGGTCAACTCTGTCAATTTTGTTCAGAGATGAAGTTACGCCCCATACCGACTGCTATCTCACCTCAAATTAGAAAGGTGTTAAACTGACGATTAAAGCTTTGAGTTGCCTATGCTTATATACATTGCAACGAAACAAATGTAAACGCTGATATTTTATATTTTGGAGGGTTTTTTCATTTCATCAGCACAAAAATATATGCCTTATTAAATAATAAGATACAGGAAAAAACTCATTTTTGGTATCTGGATGATAAAAATATCCTTAGACAACCAACTATTGACATATCTAACATGACCAATGTGCATTGTTCAAAAGAGTACAAGGCTAGAATTGCCATCTACAAAAGATGATGATTAAATCATTGTTACTGTACATCAGCATACATATAAGTACATGCACGTGTATAGCTAAGCCTGCGAATACCTATACATATATATACTCACAGCTCTGCATCTCAAGTTTACATATCTGTACGTCCATTGGAAAATTGAAAAAGTCAAACTGACAACCAATCGTTAGGGACAGTCTGGAAAAAATTGTAAAGATAGTCCGGTTGAATGGGTGACATTTCGTAACTGTAGTCAAACTTGCAGCTACATGTACAAGAAGTACGCCACGACAAGCATCCTATCACACCCTCTTCTGTGTAACCTTAATTAAGTTTTCTCTCTTTTCTCTCATTAGATTACAATTTCATTGCAATTATTAATTTATAAATTAACTCATTCTTTTTATTTCTGGTATAAATTGATTTGCCACCAGGCTTTGGGCTGCTTAAAAGAACGAATTTTGGGCTGCAAAATTTTAAGTTCATTAACACTAAGGTATGTAATAGATGATGACAAATCTTGTCATTGCCCTTACTCTGAAGGGGTTGAGAGCGTACCAGAAATCCGTTCCCCATGCAATAGCAAGCGGGCGATATTTCACTGACATCGTCACAAAATGTATGAAAGGAAACACATTTTGTGAGCGTCTTCTACTCTACTCGTAAATGTTAAGGAGATTGATTTTACTATCCATGACCCACTTCGAGATAACATCTGATCTTTGCCCGTCGAAAGTTAATTGAGAATTGTTTTAAAACTAAAAATACCTTTGAGAGTAAAGTATCTGCCCTGTCGGCCAAATGCGCAACAGAATGTTTGGACTGGGAACACTGTGCAGCTTGGCACTTTTCTCGTTCAAAAAGTACAAATCTGGCTTCCAGATACTTGATACCGTTTCGCTGGCTGTTAGAGATATTGGTAGACCAAAAGAACCATTATCTGCAAGCCTTGGATCCATCCAGTACTGTCGAAGATAAATTTCAGCTGTGAAATCCTGGCAACAGAAAGAATATAATGTCACCTCTTCATCCAGAAGACAATCCAAGGAGGTCTCCTATCGTACTGACCGACCTTGGCCTGCACATTCTTCTGACCAGGTCTGTTTTCTGTAGGGTTTCTATGACAACAATTACCGAACTATTGATGCTCTCAAGAATAATATTGGAAAGAAGATCAGAATTTCCCATGACATGTTGAGTATTGTCATTATAAAGTTTAGTGTGCGATAAGCCACAGTTATTCAGCTTCAAGGAGCTGTACTTTAAAAAAGTGACACTTACCATTTTTGCGACACTTATTTCACTGAATGTGTCGATTTCAATCCCCACTGCGACGACCTCTGGTGTACCTTAAATTGATATTCAGAAGACATATAATTCTTTAAAATAAGCCAAAATTGAAACTTATGCAGTAGTCATAAGTGAACTGCGATTTATACTAGTAAGAGAAAGAAAGACAGAGACGAAGAGAGAACGATTGTCTATAAAAAGGAATGTTGTCTCACCGGAAATCAAATGAGGTCTCACTTCGGGATCGTAAATAAGTGGGTCCATCTGTGCAAGAAGGGAAGATTTTGCATCAGTATAGTCCACCTTTTCAATTTCTTTACTGTGAAAAGAAAATAGAGAGACAGCCATTCAGCGTCTTCACATTTTTAACGGGACTGACGGAAGAGAAAACATTTTTTCCAACAATTCACGCTAACAAAACGGCCTATTGCAGAAAAAACTTTCCTTGTCAACCTTTGTTAATGTCAAAAAATATAAATATTCAATTCTTCCTGAAAATGCTAGAAGTGGAATCTTGCTTCCAACTGTGTAACGACCTTTCTTAAAATTGGGTAGGCTATAAGACGAGCAGTCCCGCCTCCCTCAGTACGTTTTACGTTTAAGATTAATTTCCCGTCAACTAAAACTACACTTTCCACAATAGAAAGAAAATGTCTGCATTAAAATAATATGCGGTCAAGTTGCACTTTAATCGATTAGAACTGAGATCAAACTGCTATCAAAACAAAAACGACATCGAGTGCATTATTTTCACATAAACCATACCTAATCGGTTTAAATTACCTTAAAGGGATAATAACTCTTCGTTTTGGCCAAAAAATGAATTTTCCTGGAGTAAACAACAATTTTCCCATACTTACCAATGGTTAATGAATCCATTTTTACATTCAAAGTTAGTCCCTGGTTTTTTTCTAAAAAGTTTGGTTTTTTGTTAAATTCTCTTAAGAGATTATAACAGAGTATAGCCATCAATGGAGGTGACGTGGTCTGAAGACAAGTTCAGATATCAGAATAATAGCTATAACTGCTGTTTTTGTCGTAAAACAGAATATATTTTATTTCTATGAGTTGTTCACGATGTTTCTGTTGTGAAATATAGACCTCATACGAAGAGTTATTATCCCTTTAAAGTTGAACTAGCAAAACACTATTTTGGGAGTTTAGAAAATAGTAGTCTGCAAACAGTCATAATGCACAATTTCATCTGATGCCAAATCCAATAACATGCAATTTTATAAGTAAAAAAATGAAATGGACTTCTATTATCACTTCGTTGAATTAAACAGTCTACGCTTTGCAGTCATATGAAAAGAAAGAGCCATAATGTAACACTTCAGGAGCCCGATCTTCAGCTTCGTGGACAAGTTTCGATTGGTGAAGATAAATCGCATTTTTGGAACTTATCTAGAAAACAACACTTTATCAAATCTGTAGAACAATTAAAATTAGAATACGTACATACCATTTGCATCCTGTGAGAAATATCACTAAAAGCACTACTTGCAAACCCACAAATGACTTCATTGCTGTTGCAAATGATGCCTGAAAGTAACTGGCTTCATCTGCTTCGACCACAGTAGGTATAGAATACCAGGTACCTGCCGCAATATTTGTCGATCAATAAGTCTCCGGAGACAACGGTATCCAAGAAACTAAAACCACCTACAATAGCTGTTGTGAGAACAAATGGTTTTTATCAAGTCATATTTTGGGCCATTTAATTCATTGCAACTGAATTGCACCCCCATCAGCGCTTATCCGTTATGGTGAAACAAATTGGAATTACACCAGAAGAAAACTGGAATCGCTGAAAACAGCGAGTTAAGTCCTCATAAATGACAAGAATTAAACATGCTATTTAGATAGTGCTGGGGCTAAAAAATAGAGAAAAATAAAGCGTTAACTGACGCCTCTTGCTGATAGACCTTTGGGTTTAACTCAAACTACGCTTGAACCACGAAAGGTTAACTGCTTGGTAATTTTTCCCAATGTTACAAAAATGTGTGTAAGAAACAAATTATGTAAAAATTCATATTAGGTCAATCAGCTATTAAAATAAATAATGCACTTTTGATATCAAGTAAAATCATAGAAATAAGTGAAGCCCCCCCTCCTCTCCCGCATGGAAGTTTAACATTACCAGTTATACTACCATACCCCAGGTTTTTTGTGTCAGTACAGAGTAAACGGCCATTCTGGTAGTTGTGCTATCGAGTATTTGTGCCAAAATGATTGTGGTGCATGACCACTTGCAAAACGTTTCGCCTCGAAGAAATTTAACCTTTCTCTGCGACCTATAGGGCTATTTGGCTACGCCACAAGTATGAATAAACAAAACTGAAATAAGAATCATTGAAATAATTGATTCAGACAAAAACTGCAATTCAGACAGGTCTTTTTCACAATTTATTCCCAACCAAAAACAACCACTGGCCCCTTAACATAATTAAAACATTGACGTTTCAATAATAATAATAATATGAAGAAAAAAATAATGATCACCAGTTTTTTCTTTTGAGAGGAAGGAGTTACATCTCCAACCGCTGTTAATATTTAAGTTTAAAGAAAAGAGGTCTGTATAAAACATTTAAAAAAATTCCGAATCTGCCCTATCCCACCCAAAACTTCCCAATTAAATAATCCAAAAACATATTTACATCAAAGCCTTACAAACTTGCCACGAAGCGACTGATTTAGACAGTGGCTCAGGCTAACACTATTATATACCCAAAAGGAAAAGACTAATTTGCCAATTGCTCAATGTGTGGTATGACATCATCAACCCAATGAAATATTACTTTTAATTGTAAACATGTACAACTTTATCCCGTTTACCCACCAGTGATTGTGGGAGAACTTGCGAGTGTTTTCAGCAAACACAAGGTCCAATTCAGGCTATGTATGAATTATTTGCCAACTGTATTAAAGGCAAACCTGATTTACTGCTATTAATGTAATAATACTAATAGACCAAATTACTCATATCTCTCTCACTCTCTCTCACGCACACACACAAACACACACACATGTCAGTATAAGCCAGTTCTGAAGACCAAAATATCACAAATAGGAAAAAAAATACGTAAAACTCCTATATCACCTATTCTTAACTATTCCCATCTTACAGCAACCCTAATAATAATTTTTATAATCTTCCTCAAAATGCATACTGGTTTCAAAACACAACATCAATTTATCCCCTGGTTTGTTTTACCGCATAAATGAATTTATAAATCCCCAGACACAGTGACATCAAAACAGTGAAATGTACCACTGGAGACACCAAAGAAACATTATAATTAAATAATGACCAGTTTCCTGAATATCACATTTATAATCAACAGAACCTTTTGATGAGACTTACTGTTTTACCTAATCAATACTATCTTTTAAAGAAAAAATGTAGGGATTTCCATCTTTATCAAAATTAATGAAATGCCAGGTCACAACACTGAGTTTGATGAAATTAAATTCTTTGCACTTTTATCTTGATTGGCAGTGGGTCAGCTTCGTATCTATCTTGTGGTTGCACATACATCAGTCCCTTTTCACTGACTTCCTTCACATAATCAAAGTCTCCAGGAATGGACAATTTCTGAAAGAGAACATCACGCATAGCATTATCCTATTAAGACCCCAGAGAGAAATATTGCGCAGAGGGAATGGTTTAATGGTAAAGTGTTATCTAAAAGTGAAAGATCTTTGTCATCAATATTAAATATATTTTGTTACAAAAAGGTAAGACAATGTTAAGTAGAGGCATTCAGAGAATAAATTTGTGAACATCAACTTAGTTTTCATGATATTGATACTCATTTTACCAGTTTCAAACATTGCAAGTGCACATTTAAGTGAGCCATTTTACCTGCATTTTTATTCTTTGTTCTGGAGCAGTGGCAGCAGAGGTGAGGCAGAGCCATATCATCACCATCACAGACAGGAGCACAGTCAGTGTCAAAAACAGTCTGGGCAGCCCTGTCTTCTTAGATATACAGCCCAGCCAGTCTGAGCTACCCTCATCATCAAAGTTACCATCCAGGAAGCCATCCTTACTCAAATCTATGGATCGCATCTGAGAGCTTTTTAGGTTGGGTGTGGCAGAATTGTCCACAGGTTCTAAGTTTGTCTCTAAATAATTTACTGTTTTGTATTCTGAAGATAAATAAGGCAACAAATGTATAAACTGAAGCAAATTGCAGCTGTATTTCCCAAGTCAGTTGACAAACACTGCGTAGGACAGCGAATTCAAATGTTAACCTTCACATTCTACATTTACAAACAATGATGGAGTAGAGATTATTAGTGACTGTGACATTTAGGCTTCATTCACATGCAATGTCTATTTTCTAAATTCTATTTTCTATTCGCGGTATATCTTATGATCACGGTCTGTGCCCTGAATATCCTGTGGCGTAATTACTGGCTTACTATAAGTAACTGGCTCGCACTGCCAGTAATTACGCGGCAGGATATTCAGGGCACAGACAGTGATCATAAGATACCGTGAATAGAAAATAGATTTTTAGAAAATAGACTTTCCATGTGAACGAAGCCTTAAACTATCTGACAGCAGATTAGGATACTACTATATTCATATTATTTTAAAATGCTGGGCAATATTGCCAACCTCACATTACAATTTCTAGTATACTTTTATTCTCTTGCTTAAAAAATACGCAAAAAACAGGAAACCTGGCAAATACACACTTGACACTGAAAAGTAATTTTAATTCATTCATTCTAACAAAAACAGGCACACTTAAGTATTAGAAACAGTAAATTTTGTTAAAATAATCATGCTGACTTTGGTAAGAAACTTGAAAACAAAGTCACTCAGCAAATTTGAAGTGAAACAAAAATTCCGTTTTTGCACTTATTGGGCAAATATCACCAAAATGCATAATATAAAAAAATGAATTAATAAATTCTTTAGGTTTAAAGTAAACAAAAAGTAAAAGTTGGCAATTACAGGGTGATCAACAAGTATAAGACGGTGGCAGTGACAGCAACAACAGAGACAGATACAGTGCCAGCATACATAAATAAAAACAACTAAAAATATGCATGTCATCCCCTACCTTGCCCCTCTGGCCCTCTGCCAAACTCTGTATATATCTGTGGCTCAGACCTAAGTATGACCATGCTACCCTGGTTTCCCTGCATGTAGTACGACCACCTAACCGTCCAGCCATGCCACACCTTGTCACGCATATTGCTGTACAGCCCATGAACATAGAGGAGGGGGAACACAGAATGGATAACAGCAGGTGAGTCTTCAGCCTAAAAATGAATATAATTTCATAATAGACCTTTTGTACTTATGCTTTTCATTCAACCCATTAAAAGCCCTGTAGGTTAGAAAAGACAATACACTTGACATGTGACCTGAAATGTATATAGCAGAGGACATTTTAGCTCTCAGTTCACTATTATCTAGTTTTCTGAAATCAGACTTTCAACGTGATTGCTATAAAATGTTTTACACAAAGAACCTTTATGTTGAACCTATATTCTGATAGCAGTCCAACCAACTTCAGCATACCAGACACTCTCCAAAATTATGGGTTACATATAAACTTCCAGACAAACTACCACATGAAGACTTTTTGTTGATATTGATTCTAACTAGTATCACAAAATTGACACTCCTGATTTATAACCTATGTTCTATTTTTTTCTAAAACAGTAAATTTTCACTTGAAAAACTTCACTAAATGCTTTCTGTACATCTTATTTATTTTTTAATTCTTTACTCACCTGTTTCCTGGTTACTTTTGTAGTTTCCATCTGTCCCCCACAGCCCACTTCACAGGACTGTGCCTCCTCCTTCACCTCATATGCCTCAGTACATGCTGGGATAAAAAAAAAATCACATTCAGCCATTTGTTGAATTTCCTTTTTTTATAGTATGCATAGTTCAGCCATGTAAAAACTTGCATTTTCAAACTATGTTTTATGCTTATAAACTGAACTTGACACATTTGTTCTGAGCAGTGGACCTATTAAACAAGCAAATGCAATCTTTAAAAGAAATAAAAAAAACCAAGAAGAAAGTGAATTGGTGACTACTTTCATCTTTTTACATCCAAAATATAAAGATTCCAACCTAACCATGAATTAGTTAAAAGATACCTCTTAATACAAGAAAAGTTGACTATTCCAAGTCTATGCCCTTTTAAATAAAAAATGCTGCTCTCTTTCCTAAGTAAACTGCTATGCTACCAGCATGCTTATGTATAAATTATCTATTCTTACATATCTCTACCCACCTGCTGCACAGGCCTCCCTTGTAGCATTCAAGTCACTATCTTCATGTACGAAGTCAATGATAGAAAAAAGTCTGCATCCTCTCCTACATGTATTTAGATGTGATGCCTGAAATATCAAATTAATTTAGCTTGCCAATTTTTTTTTTTTTTACAACAAAGAGCATTAGCTATGATATGAATCATTCAAACAGACAGGAAGATGAAAATAGCCAGGTGAGAAAGTTGAATGTTGTTTTTAATTTTACCTACAGTTCATAGTACAGTGGTAAATAAGTAAATTATAATTGGGGGCCTATTGACTAGAGTTTCTTAAATTCTTTAACATTTAATGCTTTATTGAGAATTTATATTTCATTAACTTCAAAAGTTTGGACCTGTTTACATTAAAGAGTTTACATCTGATCATCTCCAGCACTGTGGTACCTGTAGAGCCTCAGCTGGAGCCTGGAGGGCGGCGGGCTGCTTTGATAGTAATTTTCCCGGTTTTCCGTTATACTGTTAAACACTAAGTCATGTCCTGGGACTAATACAATATTAATACTTTTTACTAAATAATCAACCGCTCGTTAAACGGAAGCACTCAACTTGTTCATACCAATGCAATGTAAATACCCATACATACTTAACTCCCAATGTGAGTAACAGAAATACTCCCCATATTCTTACCTTCTCGTATGTGTGAAGGGAATATGTGTTTAGGCAAAGATCCTCACATGAATCTGTATCTCCTTTCAATCTATCGAGTAATGGAAATCCATAACAATCGCCAATAATAAACACTACTGCCATAAACGACAGCAGATAACCACTCGCCATTTTCTCGTCTTGTTATGAACTGACACTCGGAACTACTCGGATGTCTCCGCACTCGACAATATGGTATAGTATGGAGCTTGCGGAATGAGCCGAGGATTGCCGATTGATGAACTGAACGAAACCACGTGACTGCAGCGATGAGATCACTTCCGCCCAAGGCGTACTTTCTCAATACATTGTATATCAGTCTATATAGGCCTATGTTATTTTACAGGCCCGTAGCCAGAAATTTCAAAAGGGGGGTTCTTTTTCTGAAAAAGTGGACCTTTTACCATGAAACTTCCATGTACCTTAATTAAATTTCACCCAGAGGGGACCTTTTCCCTGCAAAAAGGGGGGTTCTTTCGAACCCCCGAATAAATTCCAATAAATATGATTATAATATCTAAAACAGGCCCATAGCCAGGAGGGGGGGGCTATGGGCCTGTTTTAGATATTATAACCATATTTATTGGAATTTATTTTAATTTCATTTTTGGATCTAACATGTATCACATTATCCGTTAATGATTTAATTTACCTATCTATCAATGTTATTTATTTACCCGTGGTGATTTTATTTAAAATTACTGTATCTTAATACTCAGGCAAGTCAATTTTAAGCAACAAAAAGGTGTGCTGTACGAGTTGAAAAGGGCTAAATAAATTAGTTTTACCAGAAAATATTAATTAAGATATGAAATGTTGATATGTAATGCATGATATAATAAAACGTAAAATGTACAATGGACGCACAGGTCTCTCGAAGTTTTACAGGTAAACTCAAGATTCGGTCGTTCAAAGGACGCACAACGGACGCACACGCCATTACACTAAGACTTTGGATTGAAATATCATTGAGCGTCCTGACCATATTTTTGATGGCCGAAGGGACGCAGAAAGGACGCTACCCAGTGTAAATGTTGACAACAGGGATAAGCCTTCGTGGCGTGGATCGCAATACGTAGGGTTAAGTGGGGAATATTTATTACAATAAAGACATCCCTAAAATGTAGTCAAAGGAGCGGGGTCCGCCATATAGATAAACGTCCCAATAAAATGTTCGTCCCGATAGATACGTCTCTATACATACACGTCTCAATAGATTTACGTCTCGTTAAATTTACGTTCCGATAGATCCACCAACAGATTCCTATAAACCCACGTATCTTTAGATCCAGGTACCGCTAGATCCATCTATCTGACATCGTAATCGGCTAAAAGGCCCATATCAACTTGCGTTGTGAAATTTAGAACACATTTTTATGTTCTTTTTTGTTTTGTTTTGTTTAGAACACATTTACATGTAAATTCAGAACACTTTTTACGTGTTTGAATGTTACATTTTGAGAACGCTTTAAACAGTGTTCTGACGCTAGAACAGTAATTAAGCGTTGTGAAATATAGAACACAATTTTGTTCTTTTTATGTTCTTTCACTGAGTATTGTGTGAAAACGATCTAGTAGAATAATATATTGCTGACTGCGTACTGTCGTTTTAAAGAAGTGCATTTTATGTACTGAGTAGTATACCAACCATTTCGAGCAATAGTGTACCTGTAATGGATCTATCGGTATTTGGATCTAAAAATACGTGGATCTATAGGTATGCGGATTTAAAGGACGTGGGTTTATGAGGACGTCATATCTATAGGAACGCAAATATATAGGACAGCAGAAAAAATCGGATCTATCGGTATTTAAATCTAAAAAGACGTTTTTTCCGTTTTTCTTTTATGTATCTATCGGTAACGGGAGTATAGGGACGTGTAATATTTTGGGACTAAATTTTATCCGTACGTACCCAAAGGAGCTACAGTGACTAGAACATTGTCTGCAAATAGTACTGGTAGTGGGGCAGTTAAGGCTGCAAGGTGTCATTATTATTCAGTATTAAGATTGACAATAACTGTTTGTTTGTCTGTTTTAATGGGATGGATATATATATGCTTTGTTATTTCTATGCCCATTCAGTTTAAGGTTGGTGACAATATAATGCAAAACACTGTCATGCCCGTATGTAGATTTTCCTTTGTTCAAATGTCTACATTTATTGAGTAGGCCTACATAAAAAAATTTCCTGGCTGATGAATGAAAGATGCCTGTAGAAATATCTTCTGAACACACGTTTTGTGATGTTTTCGCTACTTGACACATATAATTATAAACATCTTTTCAGTTGGTGTCTGAAAGGTATTTTTAGAGCTGTAGATCTGTGTATCAGCAGGGTAAAATTGCAGTAATATTTGTGGATGGGTCTGAAAATAAGCCTCATATTTGATAATTAACTGGTTTGAAAAAAATATCAAGAGTAACCCAAATAAAATAAACTCATTTTATATTTCGCATATAATCTGCTTTTATTATTTCTTCTAAACAAGCATTTAATCATAACACAACCAAATCCAATGTAGTGGTGCATTTCACATGCTGAAGTGTCCAAAAACAAAATTGAATGAAATCAAAGTTGTATTCAATTTTTTAAAACATATCTGTGTAGAGAACAAAAATCCACGATTGTCTCAATTTAAATTCAATTTTCAATTTTTATCATGTCTTTACATTACGCAAAGAACCCTAAATGGTAACGCACGATCCGGAAACGTAAATTTTCATACCACGTTCCGATATATTTTGTTGTGATTCAATCATGGTAAATTATACATGACGTAAGGATGTTTTTATAAATATTTAAACTGTAACTCAAGGGGCTTTGCGTCATGGCCAATACTAGGTAACGTTTGTTCCCCATAAAAATTATAAAAAAGTTTTATTTTGTTCGATCAAGTAGGCCCCTACTAGGTGCAATAGTAAACAGTGTTTTCTGTTGCTGGCCGAAAAATATATTGTGATTCCATGATAGTTTGACATTTCTGATATAATATTTGGATCACGTGCGGAAAAATAACTTATTTAATGCCTATTTTACTGTCGTTAGGGTATATTTTCCCGGTATTCTAATATTCAGTGACAAGCAAACTAAAGTCGCTCAAAATTAACTAACTGCTCTATACAAAAGATTATTATAATTTTTTACAACGTTATACTTGTAGAAGATAAATCAAAGAACAAAACCAGTAATAACTGAATTTCCAAAGTGGTTCCAGGAGAAAGAAACTTTGATACAAACTTCTTCATGTGGTATCCTAAAATAATCAAACATAGTTTGCAATATGTGCACTAAATATTTTTAAGAGACCATTCCTATCGATCTATCTCCCTGGTGAGTCTCACTAAATTGCTATCAAACTAACCGGCTTAAACGTCTGTCACGCCTAGTAAAACTGTTAGGGGGTCATTATCTTTACCCCTAGCTGATTCTTGAGCTGATAGAAATTTTGCGTGAACACCCAGGGAGTTCGGTCGACCCAGATGGATCGATCTAAGTATGGGAACCCAGTCTAAGTGCATGCCTGTGACCTTAGTTATACCTCTATATTGGGTTTGGTTGAACAGCTCCCATCATTATATTGTCACTGTACATGTATAATGATATTTAAAGTTTCGAAGTTTTCATTAATAGGTTGATGCTAATTAAAGTTTGGCAAGTAAATATAAGCATCACAGCTTATTTCCTTACTGAAATATGTCAAACGTACCACTGGTATAATAGAGATACAGGTAGGACCTAAAGATGACAGCATTGATAACTGGGTTTATAGCGCTGTTAGTGTCAGATCTGGTAGGTTTGCCACTAGTACCAGGGAACAAAAGGTCTGGCACTTACCAACCAAAATGATAAAATAAAAAAAAAAACGCCAGTAGAAAACAGGTAAATAGCATTGTCGCAATTATCAAATATGTGAACACGTAGAATGAGAAATAATCACAGTTTTGAAAAAATGTTGAGAAGTAATCGTCACCTTCGCTGTTAACCGAATGGCCCGTTAGAGCTGTGCTGCCACTAACCAACATGGCGGCTGACCCGACGATAAACAAAATGTGCAAATTTGTTAAGTTTTATCAAGGCTATTAATTATTAAGTAATATATTTTGCTCTCATATCAGCCTATTTTGTTTGGAATGACAGTTTTATTGCGACGTAAATTGCGCAATTTAGGCAGACGCCTGCTCGACCCCCACCTTGCGGAGCCAGCGTGCATTATCCGGGGTGTAACCCTGTATACCCGAATAAGTGGTCTTATCACTGACCAATGTGAGTCCAAAGTACTGGCGAGCAAGATGTCTTTCCAAGTAGGCGTGATCCGACTGAGCATTTGGGTTATTAATTTTTTGGGTGACTTATGCTTTAAAATATTCGGGATCAAACTTTGCCAAATAAATCAGGATGATATTCTTGATGATGGGGAATTCTTAGGTTTATTAGACGGGAAAGAAACCAAATGGATTGAACCCTTTACCTTGTTAGTAAGATGCTACAGAACTGACAAAACATTGAGCACATTTGGAAGACGACTTATTGGGGCTGGATTGAAAGGTAAACTCCAGGTGAAAACCAAGATTCAGGAGCATCTTTTACGCGATGACAGCATTACAAAGGTTGGTAGCAGATTTTCTTTTCGGTTCGTAGATTTTGGAGCTATATATAAATGGTGAAAGCTGTGAAATGTTTGGGCTCACCCAGTCATAATTATTTCGATCACAGTCACTGCCAGGCTTCCAATCTTCGGGCTGTACACAATTTATGGATTAGTTGCCGAAATATTACAAAAATACGAAATATTATTTAAAAAGAAACTAATACTGGGGGCGTGACAATAATATAAGAGCTTCTAGCCTTAGACATAATAACGTTATTATGTCCAAGTTCTAGCTTTCTACTTGACTGTAAACTAGCCTGTACATGTATGTATTACACAACGTTCCTTGTCAAATATTGTTTAGGCCTACTTTCTGCCAGCGGTTATAAATTTCGATATACTGAGTATTTTCTAACACCTAGAGGAGACACCTGGCAGAAGGTAGTTCAGGCAAGGAGTTATAACTCCTTGGTTCAGGCAATGGTATGAGTCTGGGCTTAAGCCCCCCTTAACACTGGACGGCGTCCTTTCTGCGCCCCGTAGTACGGCCCCGTTTGAGAGTAAAAAAAAAACACACACACACACACACAATACTTAACGTGCCGACAACTGGCCGATCTTTGAGCATTCATTCTGCAAACAAAACGATGCTTGTGCATCCTTTCAGACTACAGCGATAACAGTTCCATGGACGCACAAAGGACGCCGTCCTGTGTAAAGGGGGTTTTATCACTTACACAGGTACCGTTACGCAAACCAGTATTTGTGCTGGGTGTAATGCGATCTGGGACGACCTTTTTACACGGACTTCTTGCTCAGGACCCAGCGTTTCGTCCGCCTCTGCTGTATGAACTTCTGAACCCTGTGCCTCCGGAGACTGGGGCAGGAACTAAGGATGACCCTCGAATTGCTGCTGCTGAGAGAGTGCCAGGTATATTACCATAAGATTTAATCAAACATTTCATTAGAAGAGCCAGTTACTCTCAGTACACTCTATCTTTTTATCTTCTTTTACAGTAATTCACAGTACGTGTGTTTAAATAACCTTCGCCATTTTTTAAAGGAAAAATTTCATATTAAAAGCCGCTTCCCCTTCCCAAATTAATGCAAAGGAAATAAGTTACAGTTGCTCTATGCCACTCCCATGAACTTTAATATTAAAGAAATGTTTTAGGTTAGTTAGCCGTCTGGCACAGGGGATGTGATATTTGTAATTAGGATTATATAATTAGGGGGTCAAATTAAAAGTTTTACAACCTGTTCTTATTGTGCCCTTGTGAAGCGTTTGTCGTTTTCAGGTTTGTTTCAGGTCATAGATCCAGATTTTCCATCAAAACATGAAATTGGAGCAACACTCCCCCATGAGTGTTACCATCTTTTTGGATCTGTTGGTTTAATCGATAAAGTTGCACAACTTTTCTGCTTCAATATTACAATGTACGAAAAATGGTGGAAAAAGTCACTGAAACGTGAATACATGGTTGAGTTTTACCAAGATTACAAGAAAGCTCTACAAATGATGACGTCCAAGGATGAAGGTGTGATAGTTTATAAATGCTTACAAAACTAACTTACTGAAGATATTATTATTAGGAATAAACTATATTTACTGTCCATTCTGCTAAGTAACTTGTGTTGTTTTAACCCTTTCTCCCGTTTCTCCTCTTACTGATTACTCAAGCCTTAAACATATATACTTACAATGGCCTCTATTTTGAATATCATATGTAACAGAATTTGGTGCTCTTGTTAGAATTGAAAAGAAAATCCCGGTCTTTGTCCTGTTTGTAGATGTTGGCCACCGGAGATTGCTCATGAAGGATCACCTCCACAGCCTATTCTCAGAGTCTCTGTTGGAAGTGTTTCCTGACGCCAGCTTCATCAACCCCGTGCGGAACCCCGTGGACATTGTAAGTTGTCATGTGAACACTTGGATAGAGATGGTTTGCACGTGACATGTCAATGAAAATAATGTCGTTGCTTTTCACATCGTAATTTATTGAATACTACCGCTGAAACGGTGTTTTTCATTTAGAGAGTAAGTTTCAACGGTAGTAATAAAAAAGCATCAATTGCTTCTCCAAGTTCAATGCATAAGTTTCGAAATACTACCTTCATCAGTGACAACACTCATGGATATTTATGCTGAAATTGTCTTCTAAAATGGACGTTGTTTGAGGCTATATCACATTTACTTCTTAATCATAGATGTAAATAGGAATAATCTTAAATGTCCGAAGGACAAAACAAGATATGTGGTTATAGAAAAACGCTGAACTAAATTATAGACATATGAGTTTTATTTGTAAAACATAACAGATATATAAAAATACTCGTTGCGATTATTCAGAAGATATAAAAATATGAAACTTGTGTACTTCCAATAACTATGAACAATATACTTATGCTATTAGTAAAAATATATTTTAGGTTAGCTCGTGGTGCTCAGTTGTTGATTCCCTTCTGCCGATGTACTTCAACCCTGGTGTGATAACAAAATTTGAAATAGGTCGACGTGTGCTGGAGGATATAGCGTATTACACCTCAACCTTTCTCAAATACAGGAAAAGCTGCGACCAATCCGGCAGACAGATTCGCGTCATAGACGTGCATCAGGTGGATCTTGTCAGGGACCCAATAACGAAAGTGAAAGAAATATATTCGTATCTTGGAATGGAGTTGAACTCTGATGTGGCCAATAAGATGGCAAAGTATATAGCTGAGCGCAAAAAGTCGAGGAAATTACAGCGACACCAACACTGCTGCACAGATTATGGGTTGACGGAGAAGGAAATATTGGATAAATTTCAAGACTATATATCCTATTATAAAATTTCAGTGTAGTCCAAGGACAGGAGCTGTGGAGTTTTCACTCACTGCACTAGTCTACTACAGGACTTCTTTGAATAACTGACTTGATAGTCACACCGTCTTCATTGAGAAATGATCGTATAATGCCTCCTTTAATTACTGCTATTGTGATAGTGAATTAATTCCCCGACCCCAAAATCAATTAAGGTAGAATGTTTTACGAATTGTTTTCGTCTCTGTACAATGTATTTTTCAGTCTTAGGCATGTCTGCGATTTTGATCAGCACGGAATAAAAGGCTATCAGAATTGATTTGCTGGGCTGTAATGCCCGTCAATTCCGTTGTCTTCATTCAATCTCTGAAGGGAAAATGTGAAAAATACGAATAAAAAGGGGGGAAATCATTAAAAAGAAAAATATATTTACAAATAGAAACGCCCTCAAGTTCAATTTTGTTAAAACTTTGTGTGGACAAACCCATTTCCTTGCCATATTTTACCATGATGAGAAGTTTGTAATGTTGTTATACTGTCAAGTACATTTTTATCAACAAAGAGTATGTATCGTGATAATCAAATGCAAAATACAATGTATTTTGACGGTAAAAGCCCGTTTTTAGGCTGTGTGATTTTAACATTACCTTTTTTGTCATAGGATAAGCATTTCCGTTGGACGCTTGGCCATCTGAAGGGTCCACAACAAACCCAGGGACGTAGCTAATCAGCTGTCTGTGCTGAACCAGAGCTGGGCCCCAGTCCACTGTAGGTCGGACCAGTTGGCGAAGACGCTGAAATATGGGATGGCATAATTTAATAGCCATTAAACCCTTATAAACTACATATATATACTGGCATATCTTTCATATTAACGCATATCTGACCCTGTAAACTGTAAAGATATTTATCATTAAAGTCAACAAAGCCATTATCGTAAACTTTAATAGATATACATTAAGACAGGCGTCAAAAATCTTTTTATCTATGTCTAAATCTTATCAGTAAACAATGAAACTGCAACTAACTGATCTGGTCTCCTAGGCGTTTCATAAGTGATGGAGTATACATGTACATATGCATTTCACATACCTCTGACATTGATCCTTTGAACTTGAATACGAGGAAAATAATTGGCAGGAGAACGATAGGAATGATAATGACTAGAGAGGTACAGTAGGCCAGAGCCATGGCGAAATCGGGGTACAAGTAGTCATCTCCGAGTGTCAATCGGGAAGCTTTCACCCAAGAGAACAGCAGCACGAACTGAAAATATATAGATATTCTACTACTGCAGTTGCTGCATCTTTCCCTTCCTTATCTTTTTGTGCACCTATAAAACCTGTTAAATAGGCCATGCAAACCTTGCGTTAATGCAAAGCAGTTAATGAATTTACCTGGCATTAAAAAGAATGAAGATCATCAGAAAGTGGACTTAAAAATAAAACGCATAAAAACCAAACGCATAACACATCTAAATCAAAGATCCGAGTTAAAACATATATATATCATCATCATCATCATCATCAATACTAAGCTTAAGTCATTAGATATACTGTAAGGTACCAGTATAAGTCCCGGGGAAAAGATGCACCAGTTGATAGCCCACCAAGGCCATGCACAAGGGAAGCGAGTGCCCAACATGACACCGATGTCCTGCATGAAACGACGCACACCTGGAATGAAAAATGACCAAAAGTACACATCTAGAACAGTACACGTAGTGCATTTTTATTTCTATATTTAAGTTGTTTCATTAGCATTTTCTGCGAGCAACTGAATGTTATTTGTTTAATTTAATTTCACAAATCTCTTCTCTTGTATAAGTGATCGATTCGACTGGATAATTTAGTAACCATACATGTATATTAGCATTACTATAAAAACACTTACCATATACGTAGTTAACGGCCACGAGTTCTAATACCCCAATTAAAAGAACACTCCATCCCCCAGCGTAATTGTCCAGCAAGTTCAACATATACATTCCGCCCTAAAATATTTATGTAGGAAATGATAATCTTATAAATCATTGAACAAATAATATGCTTCATTGCTATACACACTCTGGCGCACTATATAAAACATTCGCTTTTTACAACACTTAAAAAATATTAAAATTGCTTTTCAACCTTCCACTCCAAATATACGTAGATCCAATAATTTTGTTTTAATGTCTTCTTACTTTCAATATCTACTCACGTTTGTGCACATAGTGAGTCCTAGAAAGTAGCCAATTACACAAACCCCGCCCACTACAATAGGTTTCCAGCGACGAATTTTCGGCCAGGTATCAAGAACTGCCGTCACCACGGTTTCCAACAAAGTAAACTATAGATAAAAAATATAAATGATTCATGGTTTATATATAAAGAGAGAGAGAGAGAGAGAGAGAGCGAGATGTACGTTGTATAATGTAAAAGAAATGCAATAGTAGACCGAAAAAGAACATCATACTTACTGCAACTGTGGACAGAAAATTATTCAATTACGAGAATAGACCTTTTTTNTCTTCTTACTTTCAATATCTACTCACGTTTGTGCACATAGTGAGTCCTAGAAAGTAGCCAATTACACAAACCCCGCCCACTACAATAGGTTTCCAGCGACGAATTTTCGGCCAGGTATCAAGAACTGCCGTCACCACGGTTTCCAACAAAGTAAACTATAGATAAAAAATATAAATGATTCATGGTTTATATATAAAGAGAGAGAGAGAGAGAGAGAGAGCGAGATGTACGTTGTATAATGTAAAAGAAATGCAATAGTAGACCGAAAAAGAACATCATACTTACTGCAACTGTGGACAGAAAATTATTCAATTACGAGAATAGACTTTTTTTCTTTGTGTAAGTCCACAATTACCTGACTGTCTAGTCCCAGCGTTAGAAGCATAAAAAAGAAGAGTATTGCCCAAAGTGGTGCAACTGGCATTAGGGCCACGGCTTCTGGATAGACAACAAATGCCAACCCGGGCCCACTTCTGGCCACTTCATCCACGGATACATTCAGTTTCCCCGCCAAAAAACCGATATAGGAGAAAATGACAAAACCAGCAAAGAAACTGGTTAAGCAGTTGCCTAAGGAAACGATGATCGCATCTCTGAAAATTAACGAATGTTTTGTTTTTAAATGCAATATGATTTATTATCAAAATAAACTTACTGCAGCACACATGTCATCTTGAAATCCGAATCATCAAAAAGATGAATAGATTGTAAAAAAGCGGATGAGAGGACGTCCAAAGAGTAATATCGTCCCAATCCCCCCCCCCCCCCCCCTCTTTGTAGATACGTACCTAAGGCAGTTGTTGTGGAACTTATTGTAGCTGGCGAGAGTTATCAACCCTCCCCAACACGCAGACAGCGAGAAGAATATTTGCACAGCAGCATCCTTCCACACCTAAAGTGGTAAAAATACTTTGTAGCGAGAGGGGGGAAAAGAAAGCGTTAAGAGTTGAAAATAATTAATCTAAGACGTAATATCTTTTAATTAAAATTACTTAACTGACATTTAATCCCGTGACATTTAATCCTTTCATTTATTCATTAGTAGCAAAAGTACGATATCTTAGTAGCAAAACACATAATTTAAAGCTAACCTCCACATCCTTCAGTCTGCTAATATCTGGATCAAGAATGTAAAACGTGATTCCCTTTAAATGCCCCTCCAGGAGAACTCCACGAATCAACAGAATGACAAGTACGGCATATGGGAAGAGAGCAGTGAAATAGACGACCTGGAAGCGTATAGAACTATTAAAAAACATTTGTTACGCTAGAAAAATTGGTATATAGCATAGACATTGTATTATAGCCATAAAGTTACAGTTTCAACAAATTAGTTTTGGAGAAATTTTGTTGTAAAACAGAGAGAGAGAGAGAGAGAGAGAATGTTACCTTGCCAGAAGATTTTATGCCTTTTATTAGACAAAAGAAGACAATGATCCAGGCTAGGAGCAAACACATAGCCAGCTGCCAGCGAATAGGTCCTAGGTCGTGAATACCAGGGGAATCGTTCAATCCTAACACCACCGTGCTAAAGACAAATAATAAGTTATTGCTCCGGAAAACTTTTCTGGTCAATTCATAGATAGGTAACTGTAGATGTACAGAAGTTGATAACACGGGTATATGTCTAATTTATGTTACTTATCTGACTACAGATGTGGTTTCTTTAAACATTATCACTTCGTTAGTCGTAAAAATGCATCGTCGCTGGACTTATTTTCGGTCTTTTCATTTTTCCAATATATATTGTGATATTCGACAAAATGCATTAACGTATAGGATGGTTACTTCAGATATTCTTCGCTAGCTGTGGTACGTTTGATGCTGTTGTTTTTTGCCAGGCTTTCATTCCATATCCCAATCCGTGTAGTACCGTTATAACACGTGCCGTTGTCATATGCATCCAGCCCAAAATCGGTCGTACAGTTGAAGACATTTGGGAGAAAGTCAAAGCAATCTAAAGAAAATCCAACATGCATGTGAGGCCTAACTTGCATACAAAATAACTCTGTACAAAATCAGGTCTACGATACACGTGTGACCGTTAATTTAATTTCAATGATTAATTTTTGATGAGGTTTGTCTATGTGGTAGATATCCATAGGAACATAATTGTCATCATTTCCGTGCTTGACAGCCTAAGTACTACGCACTACAACAAAATTACAATGTCACTTGAACCAAGGAGTTACAACTCCTTGCTTGAACAATGTCAAGTAAAGTTTATCCTCCACACACTGGCGACCAAGCCCTAAAAGTTATGTAGCTATGGAGATTGTTGGTGTCGAAAATTCATCAAGATACATTGGGTGATTGTATGAAAATATAATAATCAAAGGAATTTAATGATCGGTTTGTGTTCACTAATAGGTACCAAGCCTATATCCTACCACATTTGATAAATCATATTGCATAAGGGAACATTACGACATAACACAAATGCCGGGCATAGCTAGGATTTTATTGAAATATAAACTATTCGACAGCGCTTCAATACAAAGGATTTATCACCACCTTTCATAACAAAAAAAGGAGGCGGATTGTTAGAAAAAGAAACAAGTATAGAACGAAGTTGACTAATGGCGGTCCGCCTCGTCCGCCTAGCCTTGGACATTATGTCCAAGGCCTAGCAGAGATACCGACTTACACTCTGATGCCCACGCAGGGTCGCAATGGTCCCAGGGTAACACGCTGGTAAAGGAGGCAAACAGATAATACAGGGACCAGCCGATAATCATGTTGTAATATATGGCTACCAGCCCTGACACGATGACCATGCCATATCCGACTCCTACAAAATGAATGCATAAATCGGTCTAATACATATGACGATCCTTGTAACAATCTTTACATAGATTGTTACAGCATTTAGAAACTCAAGAAAAGAATTTTTACTTTTACAAAAATATATTGCAAAGAACATTAAAGATTTTCTGTTAAGTACTCAACCCAGTTGCTTAAATTCCGACAAATGCAGTACGCCAGTCAGGTATATTTCTTATCTTTGGCTCACTTCCTCGGGCTGAGTCGCGTGTCGACCGAATTTAAGGAGTAATTTACGAATTGGGATAAAAATATCCTGACCAACTGTTCGTATCGTGTCAAATTTATATCAACCCTACTTTAAGGTGGACACGGTGCTTCATACTTCCGTTTATCGCCATATAAAAATAGAGTTGTATAAATGTCAATCAACACATACCTGTAAACAGAGGCGCCAGCTTGAAACAAGTTAGTGGGCCGCTACTGGAAAATTGACCAAGGGCAAGTTCGAGGAAGAAGATAGGCATTCCAACCATAAATAACATAATCACATACGGGATGAAGAACGCCGCTGGAAAATGATTTCAATTACTGTAATATTTCTAGTTATGCCAAAATCTGCCTTTGTTACAATCTTATCACTGTATGAGTAAACATTAAAAATGATTTCTTCCTGGTACTTAGCTCTGTGCCCTTTACTTTCAATATTTTAAAAATCAAACTTCTACTTACACATCTACATGTACTTTCATACAGCTGTAAATGTGCGAGGTCTACTGCAAAAATTTTACTGACATAATATGACATTCGCTGCTAAAATATTCACATCAAATTTGCCGCAAGTACGGCCTTACTCTATATAGGTCCTGTCCTTTGCACATCTTGACAGTTATGATAGAATTTAGAAAATTTATGTATCCCTGGAGGTACCTAAGAAGAAATCTAATAAAACTAGAAGTATAAACTAACCCACCATTAACAGAATTTTATTTGGCGATTCAAGTTTCAAAAACCCTTAAAGAGGGTCGTTAAAACGATTATTTATTTTGAACATCCGTTTCATTATCATTATAATTTTTTTCATAGGTGGAAATAATTGTATACCGGGTATTTGGTTCACAAAAAATCAGTTTGGAAAAAAGTATTTGAATGTGCTGCGAGATAGGAAGAGTAAGTTCAATGTCTAACTTTAAAAAAAATTCAGATACGAACATATGATTTATGTTCATAGCACTCGAAACTTAACTATACTAATCACCTTGCGTGGGAACTGACTCAATATCACTCACAGGACCAAATGTCTCTTTCATCCGTCTAATAAACCATGAGTCTGTTACCACAACGAACCCGCTGACTGATGAGTGTACTACATACACGTATGGTCATTCACAATACACAAAAGAATTGAATTAATTAATGGGAGAATCAGAAATTTTGAATAACATCTCTTTGGTCATGCAAATATTTTGCATGGTTCCCAAATTATGTATTTTCCCCCTTTCCATTGAAATTCTTTGTGAGTGGTTCCTAACCATCGACTTTTTATCTGATGGATGAAAGTTAATATAAACTTAACATTACCTCCGCCATTTTTGTAACAGAGATAAGGAAATCTCCACACATTTCCCAACCCAACGGCATAACCGAGACAGGAAAGTAAGAAGTCCAATTTCCCACTCCAGTTTCCACGTTCCTTATTTTCATCACCATTGTCAGAGTCGTTATCTCCGTCTCCGACAATTGTGGGGCCTGGCTCTGCAGGTTTTTCTCCGGCTAGGTCATTCGTGGACGCTTCAAATCCTTGATTCTGCAATATACCTTTATACTTTATATTTCAATGAATTTGATATATTCCAACATAAAACAGAAACTTAATCGATTCAACTGCAATGTTAAAAAATAACATTTTTATTACTGTTTTAAAAAATATATGGGAAGAACCCCATACTTTCATTTAAACAAAACTTTTCTTCCTGTAGCGTTTGTCGCAGTAACGGTTAAAGTTTACACTGAAATACATTTACCCCAGTAGCTCATCGTAAATGCACGGGTGGTCGCTGATACTTTGAGTTATGAGTTTGCATGCTTAATATACTTATAAAGCTTCTATTTAATTCACATCTAAAAGTTTTACAGATTAGTATGTCTTCTAACGCTGAAAAATAGAATGTTTAGCCCATTTTGTTGGCATTTATTCAACTTGTACACATTTCTAAAATCCACAAAAAGGATTTCATCATATCAAATATCAGTATGTGTCGACTATGTGATAGTAGGTTACATCGAAAGGTAAACTTACCGCTACCCCGTCTTTTTCTTCCTGAGCCATGTTAGAACAATACCAGTACTATTACAAGATGTGAACAGGTGAATACCTGAGTAAGGAGTGACACCCGCGTTCGTGACACACTGAGGTGGGTTCGCCGTTGTGATGTTCACTTCATTTGCATATATCTGTACAGGGCGAATACAGGTTGAGCCAAAATAAAACATTCTAATATATTCAGTTTAACAATCATTAGTTAAAGATGGTTATGTTTTGTTTCTTGTCAAAGACTTATGATTACAATTTTGCAATGGAAATCATATGGACGGCACATGGAGCAAATAATTTTGAAAAGGAGCATTTTACATTTAGGTATGCCGCATTTCGTGACACCCTGTACTGAAAGTACGATTTCGTTGTAGTGACGGCTTTAGAATAGTAATGAGTATAATACTCAATGGAGTCAATGCTTTAGTTTTTCGAGAGAGGTGCATTTGAATGAATTAAAAAACTATGAAAAGTTCTTTTAAGCAGACGTGGTGCTTTTTAGGTGTTCGCATTTAAAATATATGCCTTAGAACACTAGTGACACAAGTCTTAAATCTGGATTTCGGTGAGTGAGTAAAGAAAAAATAAACGGATCTAATATGTCAACCTTAATTTACATAATTGACACAGAAATCCACCGGCCGCATTTTGCGCTTAGGCAAGACTGGGATTGGAAAAGGAAAGGGAAATTATTTAGCGTTGCGATTTAATGTGCTACTCGTTTTGCCTTGGGTGTTATGAATGACCTACGTGTGCAGCATTTTCAAATGCGACTCGGCTGTTCGGTGGCTGACATGCATACCTGCTCATCCTTTAACATTTCTCTTAACTGGGTAAGATATATGTAGGTGATAGCAATGAGTGACAGGTTGACCTCACTGGCGAGGTGTTTACTTTTTAAACGCTGCCCAAATTAACTTGTTAGAAAAAATAACAGCTGAAATGTCTCATCAACACCAGAGTTTTGGAAGTAAAGTTTGCTTCAGCAGGTACGTGTCAACACGTCGTGTGACTCGAACATAACGTAACTCTGAGAGAATATAGTACTTATACGCATTTTTGTCTGTGCTTTCGAAACACATTGTTTCCCACAAAAATCGGAGTTATTCTTAAATTAAAGTTACACTGGAGATGGGAAGAATCACTCCAAAGCCACTTAATTATATTTTTTCAAACAACAGCTAAAAGTGAGTTATTGCCACTTCTCTATTTCAGTGTTCACCAAGACACCTTCATGGGACGAAGAGCCTACTCTCTGCGGTGATGGCGTAGTTGCGCAAATATTACCGCAGGACAGAACAAAAACGTGCCAAGCTTTTGTAGATGTGAAAACCTTGTGATAAAGTTCTCTCTCTGAATTTTTTTGTCCAAATTTGGTACATTTTGGATATTTTTAAAGACCGATGTAAAAAGGCATGCTTTTGTATGCCTAAGGCTATTTTCTTCCTTTTACGCCGGAACTCGGTATCCCCTATATCATTTTCGAATGACAAAATCCTTTTTCCGTTCCGCCCATGGTGCGAGGTGTGGGATGATCTTGTTACAGACCTATTATCACTGGCCTTTACCGCCTACTAAGCTTTATTACAAGTATTTTCTGTGTAGAAAAAGACTACACAAGTAATCAGGATAATAACCGTCCGTTAAACGGTGGTAGGGAACCGGTGGTAGGGAACCAAGATCTCCGTGCACCGAACCTTTCTAATAATTGCAGCTGTTTGATAAAATACTCATCACACTCTCCAGCTTTTATTTTAATTTGTAAGAGATTATAAAATTCAGAGATTTTGACAGCTTTTCTAATATTTCAGATCTGTTTTTACCTCCCACGAGAGCGGCGAAATAATAGTTAATGGTCTTCGGCATGTGAAATAAAGCAAAGCCAAACAAAATTAACATCTTGTTCTATGTTGATTTCTTTATTTATCTTAGTAAAAGAAATGTCACAAATTGATTCAGGATGTCATTCCCTTTATGCGTCTGCGATGGTGACCTCTACTTCCACTCCAGGCTCAATGCTGATGGATGTCTGACAACAGTCACGGAAAACAAATAAAATGGGATGAATGTTAACCAGAAAACAAAAATTTGGTTCCATGCAGAATTAATTCCCTCAGATAAAAAGACAATGAGAAAATTATTTCTACCATTGAATTTACAGAGGAAATGAGATATATTACGTCTTTTTGAATAATTTGCAGTTTAATAGAACACATGAAAGATCTGGGCCCCGTAACTCAAAAGCATCGCGCACTGCGACTGAGCGCAAACATCTCGATTCCATAACTCTCCCCATATAATACATTGTATTATGGTATGCTATGTGGTATCGCTATTTGCAATACACGCTGCTTTCGAGTTACGGAGCCCTGAATAACCATAAAGCCTTGCTACAGAGCATAATGTCTACACTTGCAAGGAAAGGATACAATCTGCTTAACTATCTCGGATGGACTGTGCAGATCAATCAGACGCTTGTGGATGCGCATCTGAAAGCGATCCCAGGTCTTGGATCCCTCACCACAAGGAGTCTTACGAGTGGTGATGCGCAGAACCTTTGTGGGCATGCGCACTGGACCCTTTACCTTCAACTGCTTCTCCTTGGCTCCCTTAATCAGGTCAGCACACACTGGAAATAATAGTTAAATGTCTTTGGTTATTTTTCAATACTATGTAAAAAGAAAGAAGTGATGCACAAAACATCTAAAAAAAAAACAGAAGTTAGTTCTCAATTAAGAAACATAGCGTTGAAATTTTTTTCCATTTACTAGTATATTAATTCATCAATGACTTATAATAAAAACCAATATTCACCTTTCTCCAAACTTTTGACATTACGGCTGGTCAAAGTGATCCTGATGCGATGGATGGTGGTTTCCTCTGCAGGAGCTTTGCCTGTTTCTTTGTAGGTGGACTAACATAGGAAACAAGCATCACATATTTCAATTAGTTGCATATGTAGGTCAGGAGACTAATCCTATTCTACACTTAGCAACAAACCAATAGTAATGATTAGAGTAAAATCAGGTCTTATTTTAGTCTAGGCCAATTAAGGCTATCGATCTGCACCAACATCAACCCCTAGTTCTTTTTAAATTCAACAATTCAAAGGTTCAGACAAATTCTCAATTTCAATGTTTGAAGCTAAACCACTCATGGTTATTTTATACTCCGATGTGGCACTGTAGCTTAAATAAATGTACAGTAAAAGGGGATTGTTTTCCTAGGCGTATTGTTAGTAATATGACGCACGCCATTGCAAGGGAATGGGTAGGTGCGTAGTGCTCTGAATTTGTGTTCTATTTTAATTATAATTATAATGTGTGTAAAAAAAGTAAATCGGTATAAACGTTGATGAAGAATAAAATTACCATAATGTATTTATCTGGCCGACGTATTCAATGTAATTAACACAGAACAGCGGTGAGCCAGTAACTTCTGATCCACAAGATGCTTCTCGACACGAGGGATCTTCGGGAAAGAGGTCGGTTTAGGTTGGGAGTATATAATGTAAGCAATGGGTAGAAGGCTTTTGACCTTCACCACTTACATCTAGAAAAAATCATCTATCTTTCAACCAAAAATTTTAACATCAAAATATTTCAATGAGCATAATCTTTTTTGTCGAAAATACTAAGAAATTGGCTATGAAATATTTTTTTTACCAAAATATCGTTGAGCTTTCTCCCCTTAATTGGACAAGTTTATTATGATCCCGGACACGCGAGAAGAGTTATTTTGGTAAATTTGACATGGTTTTGAATAAAGCATTTACAAAATATTATGATTACTCAATATCCAATAGTCGAATGGTTGTTAATGTCCATGAGAGTTTGAATCTGAAAAAAAAAACGTAATCTTCCACGTTTGACGATCCAACATGGCGACGAAGGTGAGTTGTGAGACTCAACGTAAGTTAGCTGGGTATATTTATGTCGAATGCAGTACCTTTATTTTAGTGATTGGCAGTGGTGAAGTGCAGTCGACTTTTCAGTGGTTTATTCCTTTAAGCCACACTAAAATTCTGGCATAGGTGATGTTTAATTTGAAATTAACTCTTAAAACAGCCCGCCCATCTTTGCATACAGTACTTTCTTGATGTCATCTGACTATAATGCGATTTTGTCTCAGCCTTACGCAAGTGGGCTGAATCATACGGTAAATGTCTCACACACTTCTTTCGAAAGTATATGAGGTGCATTTTAAGTTTTCTGACATAAAACGTAAGACTCAAACATTTTGTTTGGCTAGCTGTATTCTTTTAATGTTTGGTCAGCTTTGGACCTTCACTTGGCACTGACGCCGTGACACTGTGCAAATTTCGATCAAGAAATGTGTCGCTTTTATTTTTGTAACTATAAATCATAGTGCTTAGGTAGTTAACAAATCATAACTTTTATTGGACGATGTCTTTTCTTTGTCCCATAGTACAGCCCTGTGTGAGAGTAAAAAAAACAACTTAATATGCTGACAACTGGCCAGCCATTTAGCATTCATTCTGCAACCAAAGCTATGCTTATGCCTCCTTTCTACGACCACAGCGATGCCAGTTTCATGGTCGCACAAAGGATGCAGAAAAGATGCCATCCATTGTAAAGGGAGCTTAACAGATTTCCAACATACAATAAATTCAAGCATAATTTATTAAAACCGCTGTTTTTGCCATTGTTTTATAAAAACTGTATGGTTACAGTTCATTGATATATTTGGGTTCCAGATGAAAGGTTTCTATGCCATATGTCTATGTTGGCTGCTTACCATTCCTTTGGATGTTAAAGGTTTTTATGTACCAGGTGTGGCACCAGTTGAATTTGCTGATAAACAAGATGTAGAAGTCAAGGTAAATATTTGATACTAAATTGAAATGTGTGCCTCTTTGCCTGTGAGAGAGAGAGAGAGAGAGAGAGAGAGAGAGAGATAAAATTATATGGAAGATAAAAGAAAAAGAAAAAATCTGACAGTTTTCTAAATGAGTTGAGCATATTTCATAGACTTCTTTAATTTACAGGCAGTCAAAATGACCAGTGTAAAGACTCAGCTACCTTATGAATACTTCTCCCTTCCCTTTTGTGCACCTAGTGAGGGAGTTGAATACAAAGCAGAAAACCTAGGTAAAAGCATGCTTTAATTATAAGATTAAAACTGCTGGTACTGTGCTTATGCCAACCACACATTTGCTAAGAAATGTTTTATATTTAGATGATAATATATGGCATACAGGCACATTACTAATGGAACACATCTTTTAAAAAGATTGATGGAAAATGTACCGTTGGATCATGAAAGAAAGTAGTAAAAATTGTTGTAGTGGAAAATTGTGAAATTGTAATTTCTCGTTTTAGGAGAGGTATTAAGAGGGGACAGGATTGTAAACACAGCTTATAAGGTTTGTCTTAATATATTTGTATATATTTTAACTTTTAGGAGAGATCTTTAGAGGTGACAGAATTACAAACACAGCATTCAAGGTTTGTCACCTTTGCTGCTGGGCTGTTTAGCATAGTTACAACTCTTCATTTCACTCTCCTTATTTCCTTTATATTTGATCATTCAGGTGTTCATTGAATGAGAATAAATGTTTCTGTCCAAGGTTCAAGGTTAGGTATCCTTTTTGGAGTAATGCATAAATGTAGAAGCGAACATCTAGAGCTTTGGTTGGGCAAATGGGATAGGGATTTTGTACTAATGAAATTGATTTACAACATCGGTTTATCTGATTGCAGCAGAGAGAAGCTTTATCTAATAATATTAAACTTTATGTCATTTACTTATGCAACTTGTGGGTATCTGTTCTTTTCAACTAGAGGCAGTTACTTAGAATATCAAGCATATAAATTTGACATGCATTACGATTGTTATCAAGTTGATGTTAATACATTTAAATGCTCAAAATATTTTTGATGACAGTTTACTTTTCAGTGTTGCTCATGGTTGTCAATTTTTCTACCTTAGAATCATAGTGAAATATGTTGTGATTTCAGGTGAAAATGAATGATAATAAAGCCTGTACCTCTTTGTGCACTGCAGTGGAGTTTGATGAGAAACAGACAAAGGCAATATTCAAAAGGATTGAGGAGTCTTACTACGTTCATTTGTATGTTTATGTGTATAACTAGGCCTTACTCTTCATGTTGCCCATGTTGTGTAATAACATTGAATTGTGAAATACAAAAGCAACATTTAAATTTCTTTTATTTGAACTTCAAGTGATATGTGCATGTTACTGTAAATTCATGAAAGTATAATGCTAAAAGATTGTTTTACAAATAAGGCTGTGTACTCAAGTCATGTAGCTTACTGTCATTACTGTTGTTAAACTGATCACTTAAGTTTGTTCCAATTCATGTGTATGTTTCTGAAATTATTTAATTAAAAATGATTTATATGTAAGGATTGTGGACAATTTACCATGTGCTACAAAGTTTGAGACACTGGACACAAAGGAAGTCCAGTATGAACATGGATACAAATTGGGCTTTCAGGTGGATAAAAAGGTGAGACTTCATATTTCAAAGTAATTCTTCATTATTCTTTATTTGAATGTTAAATGTTGTAAAAATAAATTTTCTGCTGAGTTGCAAATTATCCCATCACTTGTTGAAGTAGTGTCTTAGTAAGTATCCTTTAATTTGAATTTCAGACCTATATCAACAACCATTTGAAGCTGATCTTGAGTTATCATTTGGACACCACCATACCTGAACAGTGAGTACAGTCCATATTTTTGCTTTCTCATTGAAATTTTGGGATATTTCTTAGTCACTTTAAAACAAAAATTCTTCTTTTAGATGCTGGTCATAGTGCTTCTGAATTGTGATATTTGCTTTGGGTACAGATAAATAAGCTTTCTTTTGGTTTCAGACCAACATACAGAGTTGTTGGTTTTGAGGTTGAAACAAGAAGTATAGGTGCTGGGGAAGTAGCAATTAGTGATGGGAAATGCACAGACTTTGATCCAGTAAAGAAACAGTATAAGTTCCAGGAAATTCCACCTTCAGGTAAGCACTATAAGGCTGTCACAGAAGATGGTTTGACTGTGTACAATCTGAAGAAAAGATAAACTGAACGCCAGATTTCGTGTATATGACTGCCTTGCAAGATTTGTCATGTCCTCAGCATATTATTGACTTCACAGATGTAGTTCATTTAATGCATTTAATTATATCTGTATGTACAGGTAAAGTTAAAGTACAGTTCACCTATGAAGTTGTCTGGAAGCCCAGTGAGGTGAAGTGGGCCTCCCGATGGGACACATACCTCACCATGAGTGATGTCCAGATTCACTGGTTCTCCATTATCAACTCTGTGGTGGTTGTCCTCTTCTTAGCAGGCAAGTTGCATACCTTTCAGTGAAAATTTAGTTGAATATTATATATACTAGACTGTGTATTTTATTAAATTAGATTTAGGCGAACACAATGTGATTTTTATTTAAAATTTACTTATTTGCTGTCATAAGCACTATCTGTGTCTTATATAAGAGTAAGGGTTGTCCCTGATGCTATTCTGTTGAGTAAATAAATGTTTTACTTGGTTTTAGGAGTATTTATGTAAGAAAAGGATTGAATCTATAACAAATATACCATTATCTAGAATATTGACCTGTTTGTGTACTTTGAAGGTATCTTGACAATGATCATCATTAGAACACTGAGAAGAGACATAGCCAGGTACAACAAGGATGAAGAATTTGTAAGTCATAGTTTTTTTTTCTTTTTCTTTATTTGGGGGAGGGGGGATCTATAATATAAATGTTAATGATGCCTGGGTGATTCTTTTATTATTATTTCATATTTTCAAGATTTTATGTGCAAAAAACCTGTAGTATATCTTCTACATACATATAATGTGACATTTTGTATAATTGACTTAGAAGACGTAGCTCATAGAATATTTAACAGTAGTTCTAGTGAAAATGAGCAATGAGTGGTAGATATATGAATATAGAAGACAGGATGCAGACATTTATTATTTAGGTTATGTGGGAACATATATGAAAAACACAACTCTGTATATGAAGACAAATCCAAAATGAGAATCTATTTTATACTGTCTCTGGTTGTGCTTGCTCAGAATTGAAATAATTCATTTTCTAAAGCATAATTTGTGAATGTGCTAATAAGCGTACAATAACATAGGTGGGTAGTTGAATCTAAATGACACCTTAAAGAGGGTCAACCCCTGGATGACCAAAATACCAAGCACTGCTGCTTCTGATTCATAAAGTAATCTTTAGATTACATTAATAAAAGATGGAGGATTAGAATTCAGATAATTTTAACTCTTCAAACCATTCTTTTTACAATGCCATATAAATTCAACAATAAATCCAGTATCCTTACTGGGAAAGTAGATATTCAGCAGAATTGAACTTTGATAAATTTTAAACTGCAGAAGGACAATTTTCATAAGAAAAAATTGAAATATCTGAGAAAGTGACAATGGTGACTTTGTTTTACATTGATACCAGGAGGATACCCTAGAGGAGTCTGGTTGGAAGTTGGTCCATGGAGATGTGTTTAGGCCTCCCAGACATAACAAGCTGTTTGCTGCCCTGGTGGGGTCTGGGGTACAGATCTTCTGCATGTCATTTGTCACAGTAGGTGGGTGCTGGACTTGAATTATAATAATTTTCTGCTGTCTTTCAGTAAATAAGCAAAATGTTAACATATGTTTAGGCAGGTTCTTAGTTCTGTCAGTATACTTCATGATTGAGACCTGGATTTCTTCAACTGTTTTATGTTTTCAGTGTTTGCAATGATGGGGATGTTGTCTCCAGCTTCAAGAGGTGCACTCATGACAGCCGCCATCTTCCTCTTTATGTTCATGGGGTAGGTTGTTGTATAGTTCCATGATAAAGATCATATTATATCTTGTAATGTTTAAGATATTTAATCTCTGATGTAATTGTTTTGTATCTCCACTATTTTTCAAAATCTGTTCATTTGGATGGGATATGAAAAAAAGTTTACTGAGGGGAAAAGACGTAACAAAGGGTTAAACATTGTGGGTTGGCCCCTATGTTTTTAGAAATTTTTCACTGAGCAGAAAAATTTATCATTGTTCCCTAGATCTCTATAGATTTCACCTCTTATGAACCAGATGTGAAGACCATTATATATTTTTCTTTAAGGGTTATTGGAGGTTTCTTCTCTGGCAGACTGTATAAGACCATGAAAGGTCTGCAGTGGAAGAGCACTGCCATGCAGGTAATAAGGGAAAACACTAAAAAATTAAAACTGAAATGCTACATAATTGGTTCTTATTTAGATGGGATAAAATTTGATTTTTTTTTTTCAAATGCATTTGCAAAACTAAGGAAATATTTGATATATTTCATTTTTGTTTTCAGACTGCATTATTATACCCATCCATTGTGTACTGCATTTGTCTTCTTCTCAACTTTTTCATTTGGGGAAAGAGGTCCTCAGGAGCTGTAAGTGCTGGCTAGTTCAAATAAATTAAGGAAGCTAAAGGAAAAGTAATATTTATTGTTCTGTTTTGATATGAAGAAAGCTACTTAAAGGTAACAGTGCTTTTTTATGTATTTGCTAAACTGTATATCCTATGCATGTGTCCTTCAAATTTTAGAAGTAATATTGTTTAAAAACATTTTCCACTCCAGGTGCCTTTTAGCACCATGATTGCTCTGCTGGCCATGTGGTTTGGTATATCTCTGCCACTCATATTCCTTGGATATTACTTTGGCTACAGAAAACAGGTAATGAAACATATAGGGCTTTCTATTCACACATCACACTTTCTTGAAAATAAAATGTGTTTACTACTGTTTAGAAGATCCTTCATACATATATTGATATTAACAGAAGAAACAATTATTTTTTTCTTTATTTCATAGCCATATGAACACCCTGTGCGTACCAATCAAATTCCTAGGCAAGTTCCTGAACAAATGTGGTACATGCATCCATTGCTCAGGTTAGTTGCTATCTGCAATACATTGTTAAAAATATAGGTTGGCAAAACTGAAGTTAGAACATCAAAGTATCAGTGATAAATTCATCTTTTCTTGAGTCTTTTGAAAAAAATGTTTCTTATTGTATGATGCTTAAATAGTTATTTATATTTTGGAGAAAGGGATAGGGGTTTGTTATCTGTAGGCTGAAGCAGGATGAGTATGTTTTGTTGTCATGGTTACATCACATTGTTCACTTATCACGCCTCTCTCTGTTTCAGCACACTGATGGCTGGTCTGCTACCATTTGGTGCAATGTTCATAGAGTTGTTCTTTATTTTCACTGTAAGTGACACCTCAAGAATATGAACCAAAATGATTTCTTTTAGCATAAAATAAGATTTTCGTATGGATGATTAATTTATATTAGCACTTATGATACATTAAGAGCATTATTCCAGTAACATTTGTAGCATTTTCACATTTATTTAGAAAAATGGTATACAGGAAAATTAAATGTGAAATAAATCAAATATTTCTCATGACATGATATCGTATATTAGATCTCTAGCATTGAAATAGATCATGTGGATTCCTCTTATTCTCTCCCTCCTTCTCGTCCATTCACCATTGTTGCCTGTGTGACAAATAAAAATGAAGAATGGTAACATTTGCTTCTCTCTGACTCTCTAGCTTTGACGCAGAATATTCTTAGCTAAAGCAGTTAATAGCCATTAATTCTTTATTTTCAGGCAATCTGGGAAAACCAGTTTTATTATTTATTTGGATTTCTTTTCCTGGTTTTCATTATCCTCATCATCTCTACATCACAAATTGCCATTGTGATGACCTATTTCCAGCTGTGTGCAGAGGTTAGTGCAATTTGATGCCTCTTTGAAATTAAATTGCCCCAAATTTGTTTTATTGCACTTAGGGAGGTTCTCTCATATTAGCTTGAGTACTTTTACAACAGCGACTAATGGTCAAAATATATCATGCAATAAAATTCATCCTTTAATGAAAGCTTTGTTGTTATTTAGCGAAGAATTACAAATATGTTAACAAAGCTTAGCATTTAGCAAAGAATGCTCAGTGATGCTTGGACTTTTACAATGTTACATACCCACTTACAACTTTTACAATGTTACATACCCACTTACAACTTGTTAACAAACTTGTTGACATTTTTGGGACGCTTCCTCTTGAAAATGAACTGGATTATCCCCCCCCCCCCAACCCTCCCAAATATTTTTCATATACTTTTCTTATATGGTGAGAAGATTTTGTTGTATGATTTTTATGGAAATCACTAGGGCAGAAATGGTGTTTCTGAAATATGAGAGAGCCTCCTTAATATCCACCTCATTAGATGTAATGTTGCTGTAATTATTTTAAAACTATAAATCATGTTTATTAATGAAAGGCAAAATAACAGGACCTGAATTGTTAAGAAGTTGTATTTTTATATTCATACGAAAAATGTCTGTATGTTGATTGAAAGATGAATTAATGTTTAAACACAGAGTGTTGCAACAGCATTCTGTAATATAGTAGCTTTTCAAGCTTCATCTTAAAGTAGCAGCTACTACTAAATTGACTTAACTCCGCTAACTGCAGGATAAAACCTGTAGCCAAATTGCTGGATACTTTTAACAGTAAAAAATTGAACCAATAGTATTGAAAATTTGGCAAATATATTTCACATTTCACTTAGTGAAAATAGAACATTTTAGTATTTGGCAGAAATTTACTTATCTGAGCCCATTAAAACTAAGTATTTGTTGTTGGGAAAAAGACAATTCTTTTGTTAAGTTTGGGGGTAAAACTGTCAGAACATAGCTGGGTGTCTATGTTTAAATTTAATGAAGCATTTTAAGCAAATATTGTAGATGTCAGGTTGAGCTATTTTAGTGTAGTGGGCCTGTTATGTATGCCACACCCCTCTATAGGACATAGATATCCAGGTAACATAAAGAAGAATTGTAAGCTTAGATGAAATTGTGCTGAGGTCTAGGGGTTGCTAACAAAATAATATCCACCAGTTGACAAGAGTGTTTTTTGTTTTGTGCTTCCAGGACTACCACTGGTGGTGGCGGTCATTTTTGGTATCCGGAGGATCTGCTCTCTATGTATTAGGTTACTCTATATTCTACTTCGTCACTAAGGTAAGTCATATTTTTGGATATTCTGTATTCTGTCTTTTCATCAACAAAAGGTAAGTCACAGTTTTGGACGTTTTACATTTCACTATGTCACTAAGTTTGTTTTTGGATGCTTTATATTCTACTTTGTCACTAAGTAAAGTCATACATCAGGATACTCTATGCACTACATTGTTACCAAGGTAAGTCCTGTATTAGATAATCTATATGCTGTTATTGAGGCAGGCCCAATACAAGCATATGTTGTATACCACTTTGCCTAAAAGGTTAGTTCTATATCAGGTTGCTACATATATTATCAATACATTGTTGATATAATACATGCCTTCACAGTGTAGTTAGTGGAATGCTGTTGTCCATTTCCATCTTACAATTAATATAATATAATATAATAATAATAAGCACAGTTGGGTACAAAGTCTCATTAAGCATCATTATTATAATGCCGACTTGATACATTTTATGCTTTTGCTCTGCATATAATTATGATATGAATATTATTTCAGCTTGAAATCACTGCATTCATTCCCACTCTGCTGTACTTTGGTTATACCATCATCATGGTATTCACATTCTGGTTGCTGACGGGCACAGTTGGCTTCTATGCCACTTACTTTTTTGTGAGGAAAATTTACGGAGCCATTAAGATAGATTAATATCAGCAAAACAGAAGGAAAATCTAGCAACTTATGAATAACAGTAGAATCTGTCAAGAATTTTGTTGGATGCCTAAGACTGCAAATTACCTTCTTGGCTGGGAGACTGTAAGCATGAACATGGATGGTGTATATTTTGTATTATATGAATATTTAATAATGATATTTCATATCATTTAAGATTTCTCTTAGAATATACTGCAGATTGTGAAATTTGACAAGTAAATGTATATTTGCTTACTCAGTGGGATTGCTTGGACTTTTATGGAACAAAGATGTCTTGGTTTAAATTTGGACTACTAGGTGAATTATTTTAGTTTATATAAAAGGTCAAAACATACTTAAATGTTTAGTTGTAAATGTAGTGGACATTTCGATATTTTTTCTGAATGCAGCATTGCCTCTGTATAGATGACAGTATTGACATTGTTGGAAGATCTGTTTTCTGTGCTGTTTAACCTTAGCTGTACATAAAAAGCGCTGCAGGGTGTTGTAAAATCATGTGATATTTTGTTACCAAAGCTTGGTCTTAGTATGAAGTACCCTTAAAAGAAAGGCACCTCTAACAATTCAGTTGTTTTTTGTTTACTTCTTCATTCACTTTGGATGTATTTTTTATTTGGAATATTTTATTAAAATTTGGCTATTAGTATGGAATAAGACGTAGGTGTCAATACAAGGGGCTTTTTCAGGTTACAAGTGGTGTTTTGGATGGTTGGACATTATATTCAAGTTCAGCACATGGTGAGAATAAAATGGGATGCTTTTATTATTATGAATGGTTTCCTTTGTGGTATCACCTTGTTATACACATACAGTGAATGTTTGCTCTCTAGAATTCCAATGCATAATGCCAAGAACTTTGCTGTCCATAAATTAATTTCTAATTTACAAAGTTGCCATCATACAGTGAAAAACAGCACATTTTAAACACACTTCCATAGCTATTATTACGTATCCTGCATTTCTTCATGATAAAAAATTTACTGTATTCTTCCAGTATACAGTTAACTCCAGTGGCATGTGATATCTCGATAAATTAAATTTCATATGGTCTCTGTAGTATAATGTTGAGTGTCCACAATCCCTTCCACAGTAAGGTGCCTTAACATCTTGAAGTCAATACTGCCTCAGACCAAGGTCTTGGTCATGTAAGGTCCTTCCAATTCGTAGCCTATTTTTCTGTAATAATTCCTGGTTCCTACCCCTGCAAAAGAATTAATATTATTCGGAATTGAAATGAATATATCAATGCAAATGATAAATACAGGAATTCATTGTTGGTGTGTGGAATATTTCAACTATCTTTTCCTTTCAATAACCCAAGAAAAGCAAAGGAAGTCTGAGCAAATTAAGCAATATGAAAGTCAGCTGCTCAACCTGAAATAACTGCCAATTTCTTCGCCCCATGTTCCTCTCTAGCAATCCTTTCAGCCTCTTCCATTAACAACATACCAAAACCCTGGAATAATTAAAACATCAACTTGGCGCATACCTCGCAAAAAAATCATGATTATCGTTTGACAAAGAACATGGAATTCTTTATAGTAATAACTAATTAAGCTGAACAAGATTTATGAACCATATGTTCCAAAACAATTTGTGTTGGTGATATATAATGAGGAAAGGTTAGGTTCATGTAAGCACATTGTTGATAGATCTCCACATAATGAATGTGAGTAATGATGTGAAATGAAAAATATTCAACATACCTGGTGCTGAAACTTAGTAGGGTCCCTAGCACTGACTGGCACTACACTCCCATACACATGTAACTCTCTAACTATGGAACAGCCATCTTTTAGCTCTGGTCTGAACACGTCTTCTGAACATTTCCTAAGGCGTAGCAATCCCACCAAGATGTCTTGTTCTGGGTCCTCATATGACAGGAATGTCTCCCATCCACCATTGGCACAGTAGTCTCTTCTGATTAGCTCAACCTAAAAATCAGAAATTCAGTTTATTTTTTCACATATCAATGCAGTTAGGGTGCATTTTGTTCAAGTATGCAAAAATTGACATATTTTGCATTTTTCTCATTTTAATGCTCAAAACATGCATATCAACACTTTATAACCTTTAATTTAACTCTCATCCGATCATTCGGGATTATATGAGAATGTCATGTGCATGCGTAGAGCTCAATTTGCATTCGCGTTTGAGCAGGTTGGAAGGCGCTTCTTTACGCTGTCTTTTTTCCTCAAGTTTTCACCAGTTCTGGGAATGTATAGTGAACTTTTTTCCACTGTTTTTGTGTGATTCAGTCTGGATTCCGTAATGATTGATAAAAGTTCACAAGCAGCTGATGTTGTTGGAAACATTCTGTCTGCAATAATAATTGACACTATCTCTAGCACTTAAATGGAATAATAACGGAATGATATATTAAAAGAGATTAAGATTGCATGTTCCATATTTATTTGCACATTTATCAAAAATTAGAAACACACCTCATAAGGTCTAACTTTATTGTGAATTTCCTGGATTCCAACCTCTCTGGTCCTGACATCCCTGCATTCTGTACCCAAATCTTTCATTCTGGCCAAAGCAAGCTCTCGGAGATTACCATGTTCAACACCTGAACTGACCAATGGCATTGGAATATCCCTAAAAAATGACCCAAAATTTGTATTTCTTTGGCCCATGATATCAAAACTGGCCCCATGCCAAAGGGCATTAAAATTGTAACCTGACAAGTAAATTTCCACAAATTTACTCAGTTCTCAACCACTGTTTCAGCTTTAGGCTAGTATATTCTTAAGACCGTGCTGGCCTGGAGGGTCAGTAGAAAAAAAAGTTTTTAGCACAGACTGTTTTTTATTTTACTCAGTGTGTTCTTATGACAAATGATCAATTCATGGTTGATTTTTTTTATCTATTCAACAATACAGCATATTTTATCATGTATCATACCATGAAAACACTGGATGCTCACACACAAGAAGTTTATATATACTGCAGTAATTCTAATTGGTATACCATAGCATACCTCTGTACCCTGTAGACCCTGGTCCATGGTGGCACCAAGGCCAGTATCCTAGCCACCAGGTCTACTAAAGTGCTGGGTGGGTAACTCTTGTACCTCCCCGTCTTCCATAATTCATACAGACCTAAAATTACATAAACTACGTGTTACATTCATTTACAAAAGTGATAATGAAAAAGAACTTGAAGTGTTGACAGCATTTCCCTTTTCAAAAACAGGCACCCCAAAATATCAGCCAAAGCTGCTAATAGCCACGGCAGTCAATCTACCGAGTATATGATATAGTATGATATATGATGCTAGTATGATTATCACAGAATTTAACCATTTCTATATAGCAAAAAGTTTTTTTTTTTGTAACACTCCTGGTAACAAATGTTTACCTGTTCCTCTTATGACCAATGTGGGGTAAAGTTTTAAACCATCAGCACGGAAAGCTGGGTTTTCAAAAAATTCCTATAAGAAAAGTTAATATTCGAAATGAATGCACTTGTTTCATTGCACTTCTCGTTCAGTGGAGTACAGATTGTTTAATTTCTTTTAACAGTATATCTTGTTAATTGCATTATACTATGTAATAACAATAACTGTCTTTCCTTCACAAAATTAAACAATTCAGAAAATTAATGATAACAATTGTCTCTCTTTGAAAAATATGACCAACTGTTTATCAAACACTTACTATAAACTGCTCAATATCCCTCTCTAATCCAACATTCGGAAGATCTGGCATCATGTGTGCCACAACCTTAAAACCTGCATCTTTGGACATTTGAAATGACTCTGTCACTGCCTTTACAGTATGACCTCTGGAAATACAAGTCACAATCATTCTCTAAAAATGTACTCAAAAAGATTCTCACCGTGACCCCCGAATATCAAAGTTTACTTCAAATTTTATGTAATAAAGACCTTTTTGTGTTAAATTGTACTTAGCCTCATTAAACTTCAACCACAAATTTTGCAAATTAAAAAAAAAGGTTCACTAACCTGTTAGTGTCTCTTGCCACATCTTCATACACGCTCTGCACACCAATTTCAAGCCTTGTGCAGCCATATTTCAACATATCACTGAAATATATATTTCATAAATAAATTTGAATGTAATTCTGTACAACTCCTTGACCATTTTTTAAATTTCAACAGAGTAGTAGTGCACAGACCACATGCACTTGAACTGTATAAATGTAGTGACAAACAGACTTTGTCCCCTTAATTCACCCAACCCTTAATTCACCCTTTATAAATACCTTAAATGTTTCTTCAAGCAATAATCTGGTCTGGTTTCTATCGTTATTCCTATGCATTTTGTCCTGCTCTTTTCTGAATACCTGTAAGAAAACTACAGGTTCATAAAGGGATGACTCCCAATTTTCATGTCTTAAACATCTTTTCACTTTTTCATAAATATACATCTTAACAAACTGCTTTTGAAACATTTAGTGTGGGATCTCCGTTCCACTTCCAAATGCTGATTCAGAGTGGTAATATTATATAACTAACTTGACCGCCTCATCCACATTGTTACTGGTATGCCCAGAAAATGCATCATGGAGATTCCTGATGAAAAAGTCCCTGTATTCTTCCTGCAGTGACATGAATGTGCCTCCCATCACAATAAACTCTACTTTATCTACGCTATGGCCAAGTTGCTTCAGCTAAAACATACAGATAAAGTCATTAAGGTATAACTTTAACTTTGAAATACATAAAATTTCACATGCTTATATTTTCATTTAAAATATGTCACCTGTCAATTTCAAGCATAAAGTACACATACATAGACAACAGAACTACCAGGTGAGAAGTATATTGTTGAGTCTCAATTAAGTTTACCTGTTCTACTCTGTGTCTCGTCTGCAGATAGGGGTTGTATCTGGCCCTGATAGCTCTCATGGAGGTTGGCTAGGAAGAGAATGTAGCTATTATTCAACCTGTTAGCATCCACTGTGAATGGTATCATCCCATGATATTAAAATGTAATATTGTTAAGGTTCTTACCTCATATTGTTAAGATTCTTACCTCATATCCCGTGTAAGATTGTGTGGAGTATTCAAAATCTGAATCTGGGCCTCCAGGGCAATACCTGTGAAAAAGTACCATATACATTGAATAATACCAGTTTTTTATCAAGGAGAAGCCTTTCCTTGTATTTCATTTCTAGTTTCTTAAACATGACTTGTTGAATTCATGCCACATATATTCATTCCAATATAAAATCAGCCACCTGTTTGATCAACACAGACATGCACAGAAGAGACCTCTGTAAAATGTTGCATGGAGATAATGTTTAAACCCCTGCATACTTACACACAAATGTTCCCCGTCATGGCTATGTGTGGACACCTGTGTGGCTTGCACATCACTGCTACAACTGCTATCTGGAATATAGGAGAACAGATATATGTCTACATAATCAAATCTTAAAGACTTGCCATATGTTTTAGTGTATTAATCATATGATAGAAGGCAGGATAGATGGTTGCATCTCAAGAGTGTCAGGTTTGTAATAAAGAAGAGAAGAGTTCAAGTCCCAACAGCTTTGCGGACAGCCTTCATTACATCCTAAGCTTAGACTTAGTGCTACGGTAACTAAGAGAAGAAGAAGAAAAATTTTATTGGTTCCAACACATTTTCTTTTGAAAAGCTGTCATCTGTCAATTAACTATTAATAACCATTAAAATTAAGACTAATTTGGGAAGAATTACTTCTGTGAACCAGGCCATGGTACTGAGCACTTTCTTTGTGACATGATTACTGTTAACATTGTCCAAGTAATTACAACAAATAAATCATCTCATTTGCATACCCCGCTGGCAGTCCTGACTGGTTTAGCCTTGAGCTTGGGGAGAAGGACCTGAAATAACAGCCACGACAATACATGCTAGTAAAAAAACAAGAACTATCAAAAATAGCCCAAACAGATAAGACAGTTCTTGGGAAATAATTCACCAGATCATAGAGATCTAACAAAGATATTTTTAGAAAGGAGAGGAGTGTTTACATCTCACCTTATACCCTTTTCACTGGAACATTTTGGTAAATTGATTTAATTTGAGGAACTTTGTAACATACTCAACAAAGGGTAAATTTTTAACAAAATAAGATAAAATAACCTTTTTATACTGTTGTGGTACAGCTGCAATAATATCAACCAGCCTTGGTTGTGTATCCATCCCATATTTACTGGAAGCTCTGCTCTTGATTCTAAAAGGAATTGAAATTAATTGAACCAACTTATAAGACAAAAGATTTAACTAATAGACTTTAGTGTAAAATATTACTTATTGTGTGCTTCATTTCATGACAGATATATATTTTTCTTGTTGAAGTGTCTTGATATTGTTTTACAGTTTATAATCATTCTTCTAGCAAATTAATCAATCCAAGGTGCTAAAATAGAGGTTTTGCCTAAAAAAATAAACAATTTCCAAGGGTCCTTAAACAAAATACTATGGTCTTTAATGACCATTATTATATCAAATTCAAAATCCAAATGTATACTTTTATAATACATAAACATTTTGGAGACCTTTTTTCATAACTTAGCTTTAGTCTAATGCACTAGCTGTTCCAAAATCTAATCCTCCATGCATTTATTATGTTCACAATATTAGTAACTTAGAAATGTCAAAAAAGTTTGTGAGGAATCTAAAATCTCGAGATTAATGAAATATCCATTATTTTCCCCAAAAAGAATACTGATGATCGTTACATCAAGGCTGACATTATACTTGTCATCCCAGAAAAAACACACCTGTTGAGATTGACATCTTTTTTACTGTCATGTGCTTGTATCAACTCACTAATTATGTCAGATATTACCATCACCATCAACTCCTCACGGGAGGCTGTGGGTACTGAAAAGAAAAAAAATTACAATTAATATAAATAACAATGTATGTACTCCCTAGTAGACATAAAATTTAAAAGCAAGGATAATGGGAGAATTGCTCTTTAACAACCCACCCCCTTACCACGTACAGTTTACGGTACCCTTACCTAAAATACTATTTTCATGTTTTATTGACGATTTTTGATATGGAAAGCGTACATATCAGATATCGTCAAAAAGAGTGCTAACGCATGAATTTCTTGATACCAACGTACCGTACAATGTACATGTTGTCGTACATGTATGGAAAATTTATTAATTTCAATAAACCGCCGACTTAAACAAACCAGCTGCTTAAAGCGCTCACCATTAACAGTGAAGAAGGAATTTTTTTAAATTATCATAAGCTGTGATTAAAAGCCTGCTGCCACACAGTCTGTGCAAGGAAAGGAATAACTGAGCACGGTACCGTGGCCAAGACTCGACAGAGGGATACATGCCGACCCCGACTTAGTGAAGATCCTCTACAAAACATGGCACTTGTCTTATAACGTCTGTATATTGGTCTCTAATGTCAAGTCTTACCCTTTTTCCTGTTTTTCCCCATGCTGATATTTGTTGCTAATATAGCGAAGTTAATTAATGCCACATGTTCATTTCAGGTAGTATCTAGATCTACGAAGACATCATAAACACATGAAATTTTCCAAGTGATCATGAACTCAATTCATGCTTTTGCGCACCACGTAGCGCAGCATTTATCAAACTTCCGGTCAGCGTGCGCGGAACACGGCATTAGAAAAATGATGTGTTTTCACAGTTATTCATGGAAAAATTAGTTTTAACACCTTTTCTTTTTTCGCCAAGCTGCATCGTGTTTTAAATTGTTTGTGTACACCTAATTGTCGCAATAACTGGAAAACTGTTGCCGTTTTGCTTCATGCACACTCACAGGTCTGAAAAAATAGAATCACCCTGTTTACTGTTTCAGGAATTAATGGTGGGCTTAGAAACCAAAAACGATTTAATTATCCCAAGCATTGTATTTTTTGTAAATCTTTTGTTTTGCTCTTGCTTACAGGTATGTACAAACAAAAATGAAATCTAGGAATTTTGTTTCTGAGTCACAGTAAAAATGTTGGTCAATACAAAAGCTGGCGGGCATGAATGGCCTTTTTCCTTACATTAAAAAAATCTGGATAATTTTGGTTTTATTAATTTATACCAGGACACCTACTGCAAATAAACCCATTGTAAATCGAAATCCCAGTATATCTAGATGAGGGGATTGTTTAGAAGTCAGATGACGATAAACTATTATTTAATTTTGATATATTTCATGATTATTTTCTTTGTGAATACAGTATGTTCATGAGAAACGTATGCAGACATATTGTAAACATGACTGCATCCATGGGCCCAACTATGTCAGCAGACTTGGCTGATACACGTTTAGTATGTAAGCCATCATTCTTTCAAACCTAGATGAACAATCTTAATAACAAAACATATAGAGCCCAGTTCCTCTTGAATTATGAGGAATAGGGGGCCTTTGGTTCTATTTTTTTCTAACTGGCCCCTATTTCCCCACAGTTTACAAGGGCCTGCTGTGCACTGTGTGAAGTAAGCATAGCAGTTTGTTTCCATATAAAGCTGCAGTGTGAAAAATAAAACGTCTTTAAAGATGTCTTGAAGGATTTTTTATTGTAAAACAAAGGAGAAAGTCATGCTGAATAATGGTTGATAATAAAAAAAACCCTGACTATATCAAGATCCTAAACTAGTTTCTAGTGTCTGAGCCCAATATGAAGAACTGGCTGACAACAACTAAAAGACACTAATAGTAATGTGTGGATAATATTCAAGCGTTGGTGTGACCACCATGTATATTCTTCCATTTAAAATGCATATAATTTCTATCCAATAACCTTTTCTCATTAACTGGGTAGAATGCATATATCACATATTACAGTTTACAAAGTATAAACTTCAGTGTCTTGTGTCTAAGACTCACAAATAAATTGCACATTCCTGTTTAGTAAAAGTATGTGAAAAAATACTTAAGCAGTTGGTAAATTTTCATTGTACCTATTCTAACTTGTACATGAAAGGTCTAAAGGTAGATGTCTCATATGTGTATGTATGTATGTATGTATGTATATATATATATTATAGTCAATGTTGGAGATGACCTGAATGAACAAAATTGCACTCATTTTGAAAATTAGAGACTTTTTTTCTGATAATGTTAAGATCTTTTGATGGAGGATGGCATGGTTCTGCTGTATGGGAAGCATGAAAATGTAATTCTTAAAAATATATTGTTTGGTAGTTTTTAAGAACTCTTTTTTCCTTTTTGTAAATGAAAAAAGCAAATGCTCTATCTTGCTGACACTCAGTTTGTAAACTGAAAAATAGGCTTTTACAAAAAAAGGAAGACCAATTCAAATATATATTTTTGCATTGATGAACAATGAAGACCATCAGAACAGTCCTAATTTTTCAATCACAGAACAATAAATTATGTTTCTTTTGCTTGATCTCTACAAATGAATTATGAAAGCCTACAATAATCCAAAGTTCCAATTAAATTACATCTGATTACTACTCAAAAATCAGAATACGGTTTATGTTTTATAGTGTTTTCTTGTTCCTCTGCTTGTTGAAGCTCAACAATTTCACCCCCAGCCACATGCAGGTTTGGATTGTTTATGCTCTCCTTTAACCTGTCCTCCAATATTGAATTAGCAGGCATGCTTGGTAGCAGTATGGGCTGAGTCTTGACACATTTCACATAGTAAGGACACTTGCTGATGTGGTTGGCCATGTGTGGGTTGCTTTTGAAACCCCAGTGGGTCACTGGACTGAATGCTGTGCTAAAGCACCATTTCTGTAATAGAAAAAATTGCAGAACGTGAACACAACAGTCGCAACAAAATAATAATCAATTGAATTTGCATGTTATTGTCAAAGTGAACTATAACAATATAAAATCATGTAAAAAAAGTAACAACTTATATTCACATTTTAATATCAAGGTGAACAATAATGCTGAACATATTATATTTGAACTGAGCTATGGTAAAATGACAGCAACCAACAAATAAAATGTAAAATTTGACCATTTGGACAATCAACATTAGCTGCATACAGTGAATTAAAAGAATCACTCTCTAAGAAGACACTGGAATAATGTGTACATTTTTTGGAAACTGAGCATTAAAAATAATTTCATTTGTCACATTTCTAAAAAAAGAAATGACTGTAAAAATAAAAATTAATAAAATATTTACAGAAATGTATAAAACAAAAATTAAGCTTGGTTAAGCCTCATATGGCACCCTTCACAAACCTTGTAAGCCACCCGCCAAGTCGCCTTGCCATCTACCCTCTTTTTCTCCCATTGCTGGATGACAATACCACGTTCTTCCACCAAGTTACAGCATACCTCACGAAGGGTACAGCAAGTTAGCGCCAAATTACACAGGCTAAAAGAGTCCAGACATCTTCCAATGTCCAACAGTATCTCGAATGGAAGACTAGTCAGCATGTCTCTGGGTGGACCTGTATTAGTGGAGCATGCTTCTTGACTTGTAGACTGATTGCTTATCGTAACTGCAGAGTTATAATCCCAGGATGTCATAACTTCTGGTGTGGACTCCCGTACCCCTTGCTGAAGTCCATTATCCTCTTCCTGTTTACCCACATCTACCTCCATGTTCTCAAAGCCATCAACATTTTCATTGAATTTTTGATAGGTCTCTATTGGGATTTCAGGTTTTAGTCCAAAACTTTCTACAGTGCTGTTGTGTATAACAGTCATTCCTTCATGTTGTGGATGAAACCTTCTCACTNATTAACAAGAGTGATAATGAAAAAGAACTTGAAGTGTTGACAGCATTTCCCTTTTCAAAAACAGGCACCCCAAAATATCAGCCAAAGCTGCTAATAGCCACGGCAGTCAATCTACCGAGTATATATATGATGCTAGTATGATTATCACAGAATTTAACCATTTCTATATAGCAAAAAGTTTTTTTTTTTTTTTTTTTTTTTGTAACACTCCTGGTAACAAATGTTTACCTGTTCCTCTGATGACCAATGTGGGGTAAAGTTTTAAACCATCAGCACGGAAAGCTGGGTTTTCAAAAAATTCCTATAAGAAAAGTTAATATTCGAAATGAATGCACTTGTTTCATTGCACTTCTCATTCAGTGGAGTACAGATTGTTTAATTTCTTTTAACAGTATATCTTGTTAATTGCATTATACTACGTAATAACAATAACCGTCTTTCCTTCACAAAATTAAACAATTCAGAAAACTAATGATAACAATTGTCTCTCTTTGAAAAATATGACCAACTGTTTGTCAAACACCTACTATAAACTGCTCAATATCCCTCTCTAATCCAACATTCGGAAGATCTGGCATCATGTGTGCCACAACCTTAAAACCTGCATCTTTGGACATTTGAAATGACTCTGTCACTGCCTTTACAGTATGACCTCTGGAAATGCAATCCACAAGTCACAATCATTCTATAAAAAATAAGTACTCAAAAAGATTCTCACTGTGACCCCCGAATATCAAAGTTTACTTCAAATTTTATGTAATGAAGACCTTTTTGTGTTAAATTGTACTTTAGCCTCATTAAACTTGAACCACAAATTTTGCAAATTAAAAAAAAAGGTTCACTAACCTGTTAGTGTCTCTTGCCACATCTTCATACACGCTCTGCACACCAATTTCAAGCCTTGTGCAGCCATATTTCAACATATCACTGAAATATATATTTCATAAATAAATTTGAATGTAATTCTGTACAACTCCTTGACCATTTTTTAAATTTCAACAGAGTAGTAGTGCACAGACCACATGCACTTGAACTGTATAAATGTAGTGACAAACAGACTTTGTCCCCTTAATTCACCCAACCCTTAATTCACCTTTTATAAATACCTTAAATGTTTCTTCAAGCAATAATCTGGTCTGGTTTCTATCGTTATTCCTATGCATTTTGTCCTGCTCTTTTCTGAATACCTGTAAGAAAACTACAGGTTCATAAAGGGATGACTCCCAATTTTCATGTCTTAAACATCTTTTCACTTTTTCATAAATATACATCTTAACAAACTGCTTTTGAAACATTTAGTGTGGGATCTCCGTTCCACTTCAAAATGCTGAATTCAGAGTGGTAATATTATATAACTAACTTGACCGCCTCGTCCACATTGTTACTGGTATGCCCAGATAATGCATCATGGAGATTCCTGATGAAAAAGTCCCTGTATTCTTCCTGCAGTGACATGAATGTGCCTCCCATCACAATAAACTCTACTTTATCTACGCTATGGCCAAGTTGCTTCAGCTAAAACATACAGATAAAGTCATTAAGGTATAACTTTAACTTTGAAATACATAAAATTTCACATGCTTATATTTTCATTTAAAATATGTCACCAGTCAATTTAAAGCATACATAGACAACAGAACTACCAGGTGAGAAGTATATTGTTAAGTCTCAATTAAGTTTACCTGTTCTACTCTGTGTCTCGTCTGCAGATAGGGGTTGTATCTGGCCCTGATAGCTCTCATGGAGGTTGGCTAGGAAGAGAATGTAGCTATTATTCAACCTGTCAGCATCCACTGTGAATGATATCATCCCATGATATTAAAATGTGTTGTAATATTGTTAAGGTTCTTACCTCATATTGTTAAGGTTCTTACCTCATATCCCGTGTATGATTGTGTGGAGTATTCAAAATCTGAATCTGGGCCTCCAGGGCAATACCTGTGAAAAAGTACCATATACATTGAATAATACCAGTTTTTTATCAAGGAGAAGCCTTTCCTAGTATTTCATTTCTAGTTTCTGAAACATGACTTGTTGAATTCATGCCACATATATTCATTCCAATATAAAATCAGACACCTGTTTGATCAACACAGACATGCACAGAAGAGACCTCTGTAAAATGTTGCATGGAGATGGTGTTTAAACCCCTGCATACTTACACACAAATGTTCCCCGTCATGGCTATGTGTGGACACCTGTGTGGCTTGCACATCACTGCTACTACTGCAATCTGGAATATAGGAGAACAGATATATGTCTACATAATCAAATCTTAAAGACTTGCCATATGTTTTAGTGTATTAATCATATGATAGAAGGCAGGATAGATGGTTGCATCTCAAGAGTGTCAGGTTTGTAATAAAGAAGAGAAGAGTTCAAGTCCCAACAGCTTTGTGGCCAGCCTTCATTACATCCTAAGCTTAGACTTAGTGCTACGGTAACTAAGAGAAGAAGAAGAAAAATTTTATTGGTTCCAACACATTTTCTTTTGAAAAGCTGTCATCTGTCAATTAACTAATAATAACCATTAAAACTAGAGGATCAGAGAGGCGATACCGCCTCCGAATATTGTACCACCAGCTGGAGCAAGCGCATTCGTATAGACCCCCACATACACAAAATAAGGGACACAGCCACCAGTCTTATCCTTGAATCATTATGCAATCAACAAGAATTTTCAAAATACGCAAAAATATATATATNGCCGCAGGAGCCGGCGGAGCCGGCGGAACGGACCGGACGGGACTAAAACCATGTGTACCGCCAGCGCTAACGCTGGTGGTACAATTAAGACTAATTTGGGAAGAATTACTTCTGTGAACCAGGCCATGGTACTGAGCACTTTCTTTGTGACATGATTACTGTTAACATTGTCCAAGTAATTACAACAACTAAATCATCTCATTTGCATACCCCGCTGGCAGTCCTGACTGGTTTAGCCTTGAGCTTGGGGAGAAGGACCTGAAATAACAGCCATGACAATACATGCTAGTAAAAAACAAGAACTATCAAAAATAGCCCAAACAGATAAGACTGTTCTTGGGAAATAATTCACCAGATCATAGAGATCTAACAAAGATATTTTTAGTAAGGAGAGGAGTGTTTACATCTCACCTTATACCCTTTTCACTGGAACATTATGGTAAATTGATTTAATTTGAGGAACTTTGTAACATATGATACTCAACAAAGGGTAAGTTTTTAACAAAATAAGGTAAAATAACCTTTTTATACTGTTGTGGTACAGCTGCAATAATATCAACCAGCCTTGGTTGTGTATCCATCCCATATTTACTGGAAGCTCTGCTCTTGATTCTAAAAGGAATGGAAATTAATTGAACCGACTTATAAGACAAAATATTTAACTAATAGACTTAAGTGTAAAATATTACTTATTGTGTGCTTCATTTCATGACAGATATATATTTTTCTTGTTGAAGTGTCTTGATATTGTTTTACAGTTTATAATCATTCTTCTAGCAAATTAATCAATCCAAGGTGCTAAAATAGAGGTTTTGCCTAAAAAAATAAACAATTTCCAAGGGTCCTTAAACAAAATATTATGGTCTTTACTCTTTAATGACCATTATTATATCAAATTCAAAATCCAAATGTATACTTTTATAATACATAAACATTTTGGAGACCTTTTTTCATAACTTAGCTTTAGTCTAATGCACTAGCTGTTCCAAAATCTAATCCTCCATGCATTTATTATGTTATATTGTTATATTAGTAACTTAGAAATGTCAAAAAAGTTTGTGAGGAATCTAAAATCTCGAGATTAATGAAATATCCATTATTTTCCCCAAAAAGAATACTGATGATCGATACATCAAGGCTGACATTATACTTGTCACCCCAGAAAAAACTCACCTGTTGAGATTGACATCTTTTTTACTGCCATGTGCTTGTATCAACTCACTAATTATGTCAGATATTACCATCACCATCAACTCCTCACGGGAGGCTGTGGGTACTGAAAAGAAAAAAACATTACAATTAATATAAATAACAATGTATGTACTCCCTAGTTAGTAGACATGAAATTTAAAAGCAAGGATAATGAGAGAATTGATCTTTAACAACCCACTCCCTTACCACAGTTTACGGTACCCTTACCTAAAATACTATTTTCATGTTTTATTGACGATTTTTGATATGGAAAGCGTACATATCAGAAATCGTCAAAAAGAGTGCTAACGCATGAATTTCTTGATACCAACGTACATGTACCGTACAATGTACATGTTGTCGTACATGTATGGAAAAATTATTAATTTCAATAAACCGCCGACTTAAACAAACCAGCTGCTTAAAGCGCTCACCATTAACAGTGAAGAAGGAATTTTTAAAAATTATCATAAGCTGTGATTAAAAGCCTGCTGCCACACAGTCTGTGCAAGGAAAGGAATAACTGAGCACGGTACCGTGGCCAAGACTCGGCAGAGGGATACTACTCAGTACATGCCGACCCCGACTTAGTGAAGATCCTCTACGAAACATGGCACTTATAACGTCTGTATTTAGGTCTCTAATGTCAAGTCTTACCCTTTTTCCTGTTTTTCCCCATGCTGATATTTGTTGCTAATATAATTAATTAATTAATGCCACATGTTCATGTCAGGTATCTACGAAGACATCATAAACACATGAAATTTTCCAAGTGATCATGAACTCAATTCATGCTTTTGCGCACCACGTAGCGCAGCATTTATCAAACTTCCGGTCAGCGTGCGCGGAACACGGCATTAGAAAAATGATGTTTTCACAGTTATTCATGGAAAAATTAGTTTTAACACCTTTTCTTTTTTTGCCAAGCTGCATCGTGTTTAAAATTGTTTGTGTACAACTAATTGTCGCAATAACTGGAAAACTGTTGCCGTTTTGCCTCATGCACACTCACAGGTCTGAAAAAAAAATAGAATCATCCGAATGCACTCGGAACTACTCGGATGTCTCCGCACTCGACAATATATATATATATATATATATATATATATATATATAGTATGGAGCTTGCTGAATGAGCCGAGGATTGTCGATTGATCCGAATGATAACTCTGTTTACGATTTAATTATCCCAAGCATTGTATTTTTTTGTAAATCTTTTGTTTTGCTCTTGCTTACAGGTATGTACAAACAAAAATGAAATCTAGGAATTTTGTTTCTAAGTCACAGTAAAAATGTTGGTCAATACAATAGCTGGCGGGCATGAATGGCCTTTTTCCTTACATTAAAAAAATCTGGATAATTTTGGTTTTATTAATTTATACCGGGACGTCCACTGCAAATAAACCCATTGTAAATCGAAATCCCAGGATATCTAGATGAGGGGATTGTTTAGAAGTCAGATGACGATAAACTATTATTTAATTTTGATATATTTCATGATTATTTTCTTTGTGAATACAGTATGTTCATGAGAAACGTATGTAGACATATTGTAAACATGACTGCATCCATGGGCCCCAACTATGTCAGCAGACTTGCTCATCTAGGTTTGAAAGAATGATGGCTTACATACTATATGAACAATCTTAATAACAAAACATATAGAGCCCAGTTCCTCTTGAATTATGAGGAATAGGGGGCCTTTGGTTCTATTTTTTCTAACTGGCCCCTATTTCCCCACAGTTTACAAGGGCCTGCTGTGCACTGTGTGAAGTAAGCATAGCAGTTTGTTTCCATATAAAGCTGCAGTGTGAAAAATAAAACGTCTTTAAAGATGTCTTGAAAGATTTTTTATTGTAAAAACAAAGGAGAAAGTCATGCTGAATAATGGTTGATAATAAAAAACCCTGACTATATCAAGATCCTAAACTAGTTTCTAGTGTCTGAGCCCAATATGAAGAACTGGCTGACAACAACTAAAAGGCACTAATAGTAATGTGTGGATAATATTCAAGCTTTGGTGTGACCACCATGTATATTCTTCCATTTAAAATGCATATAATTTCTATCCAATAACCTTTTCTCATTTAACTGGGTAGAATGCATATATCACATATTACAGTTTACATAGTATAAACTTCAGTGTCTTGTGTCTAAGACTCACAAATAAATTGCACATTCCTGTTTAGTAAAAGTATGTGAAAAAATACTTAAGCAGTTGGTAAATTTTCATTTTACCTATTCTAACTTGTACATGAAAGGTCTAAAGATAGATGTCTCATATGTATATGTATGTATATATATGTATATATATATATATATATATATTATAGTCGATGTTGGAAATGACCTGAATGAACAAAATTGCACTCATTTTGAAAATTAGAGACTTTTTTCTGATAATGTTAAGATCTTTTGATGGAGGATGGCATGGTTCTGCTGTATGGGAAGCATGAAAATGTAATTTTTAAAAATATGCTCTTTTTTCCTTTTAGTAAATGAAAAAAGCAAATGCTCTATCTCGCTGACACTCAGTTTGTAAACTGAAAAATAGGCTTTTACAAAAAAGGAAGACCAATTCAAATATATATTTTTGCATTGATGAACAATGAAGACCATCAGAACAGTCCTAATTTTTCAATTACAGAACAATAAATTCTGTTTCTTTTGCTTGATCTCTACAAATGAATTATGAAAGCCTACAATAATCCAAAATTCCAATTAAATTACATCTGATTACTACTCAAAAATCAGAATATGGTTTATGTTTTATCGTGTTTTCTTGTTCCTCTGCTTGTTGAAGCTCAACAATTTCACCCCCAGCGACATGCAGGTTTGGATTGTTTATGCTCTCCTTTAACCTGTCCTCCAATATTGAATTAGCAGGCATGCTTGGTAGCAGTATGGGCTGAGTCTTGACACATTTCACATAGTAAGGACACTTGCTGATGTGGTTGGCCATGTGTGGGTTGCTTTTGAAACCCCAGTGGGTCACTGGACTGAATGCTGTGCTAAAGCACCATTTCTGTAATAGAAAAAATTGCAGAACGTGAACACAACAGTCGCAACAAAATAATAATCAATTGAATTTGCATGTTATTGTCAAAGTGAACTATAACAATATAAAATCATGTCAAAAAAGTAACAACTTATATTCACATGTTAATATCAAGGTGAACAATAATGCTGAACATGTTATATTTGAACTGAGCTATGGTAAAATGACAGCAACCAACAAATAAAATGTAAAATTTGATCATTTGGAAAATCAACATTAGCTGCATACAGTGAATTAAAAGAATCACTCTCTAAGAAGATACTGGAATAATGTGTACATTTTTCGGAAACTGAGCATTAAAAATTTCATTTGTCACATTTCTAAAATAAAAAAAATGACTGTAAAAATAAAAATTAATAAAATATTTACAGAAATGTATAAAACAAAAATTAAGCTTGGTTATGCCTCATATGGCACCCCTCACAAACCTTGTAAGCCACCCGCCAAGTCGCCTTGCCATCTACCCTCTTTTTCTCCCATTGCTGGATGACAATACCACGTTCTTCCACCAAGTTACAGCATACCTCACGAAGGGTACAGCAAGTTAGCGCCAAATTACACAGGCTAAAAGAGTCCAGACATCTTCCAATGTCTAACAGTATCTCAAATGGAAGACTAGTCAGCATGTCTCTGGGTGGACCTGTATTAGTGGAGCATGCTTCTTGACTTGTAGACTGATTGCTTATCGTAACTGCAGAGTTATAATCCCAGGATGTCATAACTTCTGGTGTGGACTCCCGTACCCCTTGCTGAAGTCCATTATCCTCTTCCTGTTTACCCATATCTACCTCCATGTTCTCAAAGCCATCAACATTTTCATTGAATTTTTGATAGGTCTCTATTGGGATTTCGGGTTTTAGTCCAAAACTTTCTACAGTGCTGTTGTGTATAACAGTCATTCCTTCATGTTGTGGATGAAACCTTCTCACAGAGTATGGGCAGCCATAATGTGCCAGTGGACACCTCTGTTCTATCCATCCATTCAGGTTGGCATGGATGTCTCCATGGACATTTTTAAAGTGCCACAAGTATTCATCTCTCCTAAATTCTTGTGCACACAAGAAAGTGTACATGGACTTGGGCTTTTGCTGGTACCTTGTTATTTGCTCTAGTGTCAGATCTAAGTTGAGTATATTATTCAGTGTAACTGGCACTGGAGAAGGGCTGAGAGGTGACTGCATAGGTTTCTCTTTTGAATTTTGGACTGGCACCAAGACAAAGCCATCTTCTTGGCCTAGATTTTTGCTCCTTTCAACATGAATCTTACCCTCTATTGCTTTCTGTATTTTTGTGTTTTTCTCAGCAGAATCCATTGTGGTGACCTCATCAGTTGTTTCACTTGCCTCTGCTCTGTGCAATGATTCCCCTGCTTCAGAGAAAGGCACATGGTGGTGTGTTTTACAAAGAGCACACTTGACAAGTGTGATATCTGGATACTGAAATCTACACAGTCCATCATGTGGTACAGTTTCTACTTCTTCTTCATCTTCACTTGAACTGGTAGAAGTGTCTTTTTCTGTGTCATGTGCTGGGCTGGATACCTGAGGGCTCTCATTACTATAACTGGTTGACACCACATCCAGGGCAGCAGAAAGAGACTCTGTAGTTTGTCTTGTTGCCTTGTACAACTCACTGAATACACTGCTCTGCAGGCCAGGGGGGTTCTTGGCGACCTCCCACGGAGCCTCACAATCATCATCAGATATTGTCTGTGATGTCTCATTTGTCTGTTGTTCAGAGGATTCATATGTACTGTTGCGTGGTTTCAAGGGGACAGCTGGAAATCTACGGGTGAGATTATTACGTAAGACTCTTCTGGTTTTCTTGGAAACTTTCATAGATTCATTAAGTATCCGCTGATCACGTAAAGCAAGAGCAACATCCAGTTGTCCATACTTAGCATGGATACTGTACTTGGCAGCAGTCACCGGAGCTTGCTTTTCCTTAGAATACAGTGGCCACCTATTCCACTCCATAGTGCAGTATATCACACTAGCTGGACAGGTTTCCAAGTGTGAACCAAGTTTATAACGAGGCATAATAATTGGACATCCATTTTCATAGTTTATACAAGGCACTTTTTCATTTGGACACAATAGTATATGTTCCACAAGTTTGCAGGAATGAAAGTGGGCACCACACCCTTCCTTGCAATGCATCATGGGACAACTGTTGGCAGTGTCATCTTGAACTCTGCAATGTCTGTTTAGGCATGTTAGACAATGGTCGTGGGGTACTCCATTTCTTTGAATGAACTCTGCCAGTACATTGCTTTTCTCACTCTGAAAAGAAAAAAAGACTGTAGATAGAATCATATCCAGTGATAGATCATACAGTGTAATAAAAATTATGGGTCAATTTACAGTTTTCAGAGTTTTATGCTCTCTTCCTCTGCTATAAATTTTTTGCCACTTTCAATTCTCCGATCCAGGAAGTTGCGAAAAAGTTCATTACTTATTTTTTTCCAATCCCCCCCGTTTTTTTCTTTGCGGGATATGAAGGATGAAACATTCAGCAGAGGGAGCTGATTGAAGAGAACTATACTACAAAGTGACCTTATCTACAAATGATGATTCATGTGAATGTGAAATGCACCCCAATTTTATTTCACAGTAAAACGATAAATAATGTCTTCTTTTTTCATTTTTTAAAAATCTGAGCCATTCCCTTATGGAATTTTACTTGAAAAACTGCTTTACAAATGCAGTACTGGTTAATTCATATTCTGCAGAATGTGCTAAACAACAATATATCTAAGCTGCAATGCTATATTACAATGATGTCAACAGACGATTGATAACCCTTGCTTCTTTTGTTAAACCTCTGGAGTGATTAAAATGCACAGAAAATGACTGCAAATCACTAGAAATGATCATTTCATTAATTGCTAGGTCCCAGAAACTGATTTTGCCCTTCAAGTAATGAGGAAATACTGGCCTTTCTGATTAGCTAGATGGTATGCTCAGCAGGTAACAGCTGGTTCTGGTACACCACCATCTGGTGAACAGGTAAAGAAGCCTGGGGCTTATTAGAAACAAGAATGGGGACTCTATTTAACTGTTAACAGAATGAGGGGAACGTTATATTGAATATGTAGACCCTTAAGTTACCATAAGTTTTATATGATTGGTGAAAATACCTGTGTGAACATCTAGAGGCAAATTAAGCCATAAATGACAAAAAATAAATGTAATCCACTAAAACTGATTTTATAACTTTTTCCATATAAACCTTTTGCAATGGTGTCACAATTTTTCAGAGAACAAAAGCACTGTATAATTTCCTTTCACATATTTATACCTAAAGAGTTAAAGCTACCCAGTATATTTAAATATCATTCCAGGGCTAGTTTCAGCATCAAATGTCTTTTCTCCAAATAACTATATCATATTATCCAACTATCAACGTAACTATTTACTGAATCAGCAAGAAGCAGTACAATATTTTTCATTCACTTATATCAAAGTAAAATATGTTTTAAGCATTTCATTAAAATGGACACTCCTAGCATGAACCCCAAATCTTGTCTACTCAAAAAGGTGATTAACCAATCCCAAGTCTTGCAACTATAGGGTAGTCTTCAGTATGATTTAATGGTGAGCTAGTCAATGTTTCAGCATAAATTTCAGGCTCATTTCCAAATAAACCATTCACTTGTATGTAGATCCTCAGCAAGTGAAGCACTGCTTTCCACTGACCAGACTGGACAAAATTCTTTGCCATCTCTCACTAATGAAAACACAAGTGTGGTGATTATAAAATATAAAACTTGATGTGTTTAATTTTAGAAAAGTCTGGCATAGTAAATTCAGCTAAATGCCATTCATTTTCAAAATGTTCAAAGAAGATGCAAAATAACTTCATATTCTTTGCAAAATATCAATTTTTGGATCAAAAATTTTGCTACCAGGGATTTGTGTCAGGAATTAACATAACCTCAGAGAGGCCAGTTTATATTATTTAAAACAGTTATCTTTGGCATAAAGATAACCAATCTAAGATCGCTTTACCATATGCAAAAAAAAAAAAAAAACAACAACAAACAAACAAACAAACAAACTTACAAGCAGTAAAACATTTTTTCATATTATTCATACAGATCATAGTTTTAAAATGAGTTGTCAATTCCTATCTGACCATAGCACTTCTATTCTTTAAAACTAATAAAAGATTTATTCAGTAAAAAAAATTCAATTTGTCATTTTTTTACTTTTGAAAGCTCTGAAATTATTGATGCTGGAAGGGCATTTACGTCACAGCACCATGTGTTCATTCCATTAATAATTTGCTTTGGTTACATGCCATTTGAAAACATACCATGGAACTTAACCCTACAAATTATCAAGCTAACATTCAACTTCACAACTGGGATACCCATCAAAACTCTTCTTCTCCATTCATGACTCACCTGCTCTTTATGCAGAATGTACTGATAAAAGAATCCAGCTTATTAAAAATAAGATCCTATGATATGTTCCACACTCTCTTTGTTTACTTTGTCTTACCTAAAGATATCAATGGTAACAGCAAAAGTATAAAACAAAGTACAAAAACTGATTTTTTGTACAAAGATAGGCATTAAGTTATTATACTGTAGGAGTTCATTTTAAGACAAAAACCTCATTCAATACTTACCAAATAAAGTTGTCTTACAGCGCACTGAATCATTGTGATCCACACATCAACCCCACAGGTGGAAAATTAGAGTAAAATACCTCATTTAATCATTTGAAATGAAAATTTAACTTGTCTGACAGACTTTCAACAAAACCCTCTCCTATGAAAAAGCTTCTCATAGACAATTAAAGGTCATGAGGATGATTGGCTCTGAGCATTTCTTTCATAACTTCCTCAGCTTGAAAAGGCAATCCTACTCTGAACCTGCAAGCAGATAGCATTCACATGTGCCTACAGCTGCCAAAAATAGAACCCAGTACAGAGTAAACATAAAGACTGGAGCAGGCGATGATCAGCACCAATGCATCATGCCTGCTCAGTGTTCTTTGGTCTTCTTCAGAATAACAACAGTTTTCCTATGAATAATTGAAGATAACAAGCCCTGATATATTAATGTGCAGGAGATGACAGCAGCATACTTAGTCAGGCTGGAGAATTAATTAAGAATTGAGAAATGCTATTCGACAACAGCCAAGCTATTGTCTACTCAGTTCACATGCAATAACAATTTTAATCCATTTAGGCATGAATATTTCATTGGCAGTTCCACCTAAACAATGATGGTCACTAATAACTGACCAGATTGCACTAATTTCCTAATGGTCGGTGTCTCCAATTATCACTCTCATATTGCAATGACATTATACCATACATCTTCCCATTCATAAAGCCAGGAGACTTGTGTTATTCAACACACTTATGCAGCTGCAACATCAGCGGACTTTCAATTTTTGAGCAGTAACTAGAAATAATCTGAAATTTTACAGTCGAACAGACAGTTTTATAGCTCATAGCTTCCTATGATCTCTATATATTGTACCATTCCACAAAAAAATCTATATCCAACTTTTGACTTTTTAAAGATATATATTCTTATGTTAGCCCCTTTTTTCTGTATTTAAGTGAGTACATCCTCCTTCTGATATATCCCTTGATCTGTCACTGTGTCAGAACATCTTCACACAATATATCTTATTGTTGGTCAGGTGAGATCACATGCCAGGAGATGACCATTAATCAATGATAACTTTTGTCAAGTAATATTTTCTGTAAGTCTGAACTTAATTTCCCACCATGATATTCCCTTAGGTCAAAATGGAGTGCAATACAACAGAAGTAATATAGCTGTCAAAGTAGAACTAGGGAGGTTCACATTAATACAAAGAATTATCAGTCAGCCAACAGCATACTGTACTGGCAAAGGCTTAAAAAAAGTCTCTGATAAGCTTCTCATGAAAAGAGCACACCAAAGTGAAATGCTTGAAATGAAAGAAACAGCAAAATGGGTACACCACATGAACTTTCTTGATAACATCAATGTGATTAGTCATACTTTTAAACCAAAGCCCGTAACCATTTGCAACCCCCCAAATTGATGAGTTGTAACCATAATTTTATGGAATGAGAAAGTCAAAAAAGATAGCAAAGCTGTCAAAGGTAGTGATTTCATTTATAAATCAGTATTACATTACTGCTTCAAATATTGAACAGATGATTTACACAGTTCCCCAATGTTTCTACCAAAATTAAACATATGTTGTTATAGTGAATATTGTTTGAGAGGTGTGTTGATAAACTGTGCAGCATTAAAGGGATAATAACTCTTCGTTTCGGCCAAAAAATTAATTTTCCTGGAGTAAACAACAATTTTCCAATACTTACCAATGGTTAATGAATCCATTTTTACATTCAAAGTTAGTCCCTGGTTTTTTTCTAAAAAGTTTGGTGTTTTGTTAAAATCTCTTAAGAGGTTTTAACAGAGCATAGCCATCAGTGGAGGTCACGTGGTCTAAAGACAAGCTCAGATATCAGAAAAATAGCTATAACTGCCGGTTTTGTGGTAAAACAAAATATATTATATTTCAATGAGTTATTCACAATGATTTTATTGTGAAATATAGATATCATACGAAGAGTTATTATCCCTTTAACATCATCACACAAGCAAAGTAATGTTTTCGTAGCTCTTTTCCATACCTAGGCCACTATGATTTAAAGTACAAAAGAGCCTTAGGACTTCACTATGATTTAAAGTACAAAAGAGCCTTAGGGTGCATTCAGATTCACACATTGTACTAGCTGGGTCGGTCCACCTCTGTGGGGGAATCTCCCTAAAGTGCAAATATTAAATGGAATCACCCTAAACAGCACACAATGATTAATCACCCCTAGCTGTTCAAGGAGGCATGCCAGACAATTAACCTGATTCCAGTGATTGTACTTTAACAAGTGTTCTCCACAGGGTTGGACCAACCCAGCTTGTATGACACATAGATCTGAATGCAGTCTAAGACCCCATTTCCAGAGATTAGATCGATCTACTTTAGATCGACCTAACTCCCTGGGGGTTCACGCTAAATAGCTGTCAGCCGGGCGGACACGAAAGTTAATTACCCCCTTACAGCTTGTAGTAGGCGGGACGGACATTTAAGCCGGATTATCTGACAGTTATCTAGTGAGACTCCCCGCGGGGATAGATCGATCTAAAAGCTCTGGGAATACAGCCTAAGTCACCATGATCCAAAGTACAAAATCTACTACTAGTACTCAATGGAATCAGTTCTTGGTGGTTAATTACCCCCTAGCTGTTCAAGGAAGTGTCAAACCAGGGCTTGACATCAACTTTTTTCACTTTGTTTCTACTGAATGCAATCAGGCCTGGTGGTTTGGTTGTTGTTCCAGATTAAAAAAATTTCAAATAAAAGGTTATGACAGTTTCACTGCATTTTTTTTCTTTTTTTTTTTTACAAAAAGAGATTATAGAAAATGTAATATATAGAGTTTACCCAACTGACATGTGCCATCATTTGCTTTCAAAGTTAAAACTTATTTCCTGACTTTATAAGAGCGCATTCTCAACGAATTAAGCCAGGTTTTACAAAGCCGGTGACCTAAAAATGGCGGACGNGGGGCCGGTTTCACAAAGCAGTAGTTAGTTAGCGATCGGTAGTTAGCCTCTCGCTAGTTATAGTGCCGTTTCACGAAGCAATCGCTAGTTCTCTCGCTCGTTATTGTCTCGTTGTTACCTTGGATATTTAACGACTGGTCAGACCAGTCGCTAACTCTAGAGTTTCATCGTACGCATGCGTAATGAGTGAAATAAAAAGGTTGCTTAGTTACCGTTGTCTGTCGTTTGTCTTTGTATCCAATATGGCGGCTACCTTTCTTGCTATCCGTACCGCCAGACGGCAACGTAGACTACGGCGTTTTCATGAAAGGCAGAATCTATTAGAATATACACACGATGATGCAATTTACCAGAGGTTGTGCCTAGCTGTGACAAAAAGAGCGGCAAAAAAGGTGGTGGAGATTCTTTACGACGACCTCAAAGCAGACGTTCTTATGCATTTCCAGCCACCAAAAATTGGAGAGTTAGTGCTTTCGTGACACTTTTACGCAAGAGTTCCACTTCCGGCAGACGGTTTCGAGACTACGGTGAGTAACGAGAGAACTAACGACCGAACTTTACGACTGAACTTAGCGATGAGTTAACTACTGCTTCATGAAACACCCCTCGAAAATCGCTAAGTTTGCTCGTTAGCGAGGTAGTTCAGTAGTTAGTTGTTCTAACTAACTACTGCTTTGTGAAACCGGCCCCTGACCAGATAATGTGAATGCTTGCATACAACATTTTTGACAGACATCATATGAGAATCAGACAGAGGCAAAAAAATCTAGGATATCAACCTCAATATTGCTTTTTCCAACATCATCCAAACTACACAACTTAATGCTCATTTATAAATATCATAATGGTTTATTTCATAATTAAAATCTTTCACATATTTCAATTTTTGGTTGTTTAGGTGAAAAATTATCATATTGGTATTACTGCACACTATGATTGTCTGATTCTCATATAATGTCTCATGTGATAGTCTCTTTCCTATGTCAATTCAATCTCTTCCTTAATGTTCTTTACGAAACAAACCGAACCTCTCTTCAATGGTATCAATGTTCTTCACATTGAAAGGATCATGACCAATGAGTTCAAGGCACTGTTGACATGAAACATCCAAATTCCAAAAATCCAAAATTCCATTAGCGGTATCTAGTGATCACAGTCTGTGCCCTGAATACCCTGCGGCGTAATTAACTTGCAGACCGAGCGAGTTACTTCCAAAGCTGCAATTAATTCTCAGCTGCGCTCAGAGGAGATTCGCACACCTGGAGGCATGCACAATAAGTTAGAGAGAAAGAAATGGCGGTTATGGTTGCTTTGAAAAATGTGTTTGTCGATTTTGTGCAACAACAAGACGAAGAAGGTGAGGTCCACATACACCCGACAGATATGAGTGCAAACTGATGAACTCCACAGTTTGGAGATACTACTGCGCATGTGTCCAGGTGTAAGAATCTCAGGGCGCGTGTTAGACGTTAAATTTTGAATAGATCTTGTTCTTTTGGAGTGTTTGATGCTATAAAACTGCTGTTTTTGTTAATAATTTCCATCTAAAACAGCTTTGTATGCACATTTAAATATGTAGTTGAGTTAATATTAGTAAAATTAGCAATTCAATACAAGTCTGAGTATATTTTGAAAGTAATATAACTGAAGACATCTAAACTGACTGCACTTTATTTACATAGAGCCTCATGTGGAAATCATGCAGCAAATAATCAATCACATCCCTCCAATATAGCATTTTTCCAACAGAATGGCGCTAATTTGCCTAAAACTGAAGATTAAAAAGATATTCCCAATCACTGTTTTGATTCAGAGTTCACTTTGTACCTATTATTCTATCCACAGACAATACCGAAAACATAAAACAAGGTCCAATCTTCACACTAAACACAATATATTAAGAAATACTTTACTACATATATTCACAACAAACACAATTTTGTAACTAGAAAAGCACTTAGAGAGCAAAGACCTCCACAAAGGCAGCTAGCTTCTTTTCAATTGAATATATTATTTAATAAAATCAACTAATAATGGACCACCATCGAAGTCTCAGTAAGCAACCCAATTTCTAACCTATCCTGAATTCTCTTTCTAAAATCAGTCTATAAGTGTTTGAGTTAGGCTGTAAACTTACAAACCAACTAAGGCAAAAACATAACCTCCTTGGTGGAGATTATTATATAATCTCAAACTAAGTTAATGAAATTGTAAAGGTGTAAAAACAAAACAAAATCCAATTATCTCAAAGGTTTGCTCTAATGGCTGAAACAAAGATTGTAAACTGGAGGAAGTACATGACATTGGCTAGGTACATTACATGTGTCAAAAACTTCCTTAAAGCATGATTCAATGTATAACTCAGCACCTGATATATGTGAAAACTTGTACCACATTTTTCAGATCTTGCTAATTGTTCTCATCTATTAGTTGTTTTTTATTCTTTTTAAAAATACAATAACTGAGGAGGGTTCCACTTCTTACAGTGACAAAGTGTAAGATTTTCATCACACCTGAAAGGTAATCTATAAGACATTTCAAGCAAAAATGAATTTTCTTTGAGAAAAAGGCAATTTTTTCATATTCAGGAATTATTGCACTACCCTTGTACCTGTCCCTGTACTTGGATTTGATTTAAAGTGAGCGAAGTCATCAGGACAAGAAGATGGAAATGGATTGGCCATATGCTGAGGAAAGACCCAAATACCACCACTAAAGTAGCCGTGTACTGGACAACAGAAGGGCATAGAAAAAGAGGCAAACCTAAGACCACATGGAGGAGGACTGTCGAAGCAGAGTTAAAACAACTAGGCGAAAGTTGGGAGACAATCCAACATCTGGCTAGAGACAGAGAGGAGTGGAGGACCTTTGTTGATGCCTTAGATGGCCGACGGCATAATAGGAGATGGAGCATGGATTCCCAGTAACACATATAAGCCACTTCTACTAGTTTCCAATACAAATAAAATAAAGTCAACATGCCAAGTCGTAAACCAAATTAATCACTTGTTCAGCTAAAAAACGCTGACATCAAAATTCTGGTAGGAATTGACCTATTTACCTGTCCCACCAATTTGTAAGAGTCTGCTAAATGATGTAGTACTGCACGGCATTGCATACTTGTTCAAATGAGACTGCTGAGGGATATGTACATATACATATTTATATTTAAGTTATACTAGTTATACTAGTTATTTGAAACTATACAGTGGCATTTGGTCAGGTTCTGTGGTAAAAATTTGACTTCAAATGCTTCTGTAAAGAAACACCAAGGGGCATTGTTTTATACTTCCCAAAAAAATGACATTTGGACGGGTATTCAGTGGTCACAGCTCTCTGGCTGAAATGTGGGGACACATTTGACTTAATGGCAGCAGTGGCTATTTAAAAACTGTGATATTTCCTTTAATTTTAGAGATAATTTTGATCTTTCAGAAGATAGAACTTGTGTTAACATCGGGCATTCTTGTTTTTCTGATATACCTCCAACATGTACATGTAATATAATATACGCTGTAAATTACCGTCACGCAGTCTAAGATCTATCTCAAGGTACCAAGCTCTGCCTTGCATATGCCTTTCAGTACGCATGAATATAAATCAGCCATGTTCACAACCATTCAAAACCAACTTACACAGTATTCTTCAGTCATTTCTGTTCCAGTATAACCTTGTGCTTTGAGATCAAACGCCACCCTCCGACGAAAAGGAAGCTCCAGTTGCCTTTACATGCGGAGAGATACGAATATTAGTATATTAGTTTAACATTTATTCCTGTCATCATTTCCAAGTGATAGGATAGAAAGTATTCATATTGTTTGAGCAAATTTTATCAAATGTTTTAAAAGTTTATTTGAGATTCAATATATATGCCTATAGTTTACATGTGATACAAAATAATGTATACGAAACTAAATTAGCTAACAATTGATGAAATTACGGAAGAGACTGGCTGGACAATGACAACAGCAGAGGGACGCTGTGTGAGAAATTAGACTTCATAACTGACCAGTGATTGACGTTTTGTGCAATTATGTATTAGGAGGACTCTGATATATAAATGACAACTAATTGGATAATTTTCAATCCCAATCAGTTAAGGTCAATTTGATGACAGTCATACAGTATATAACGCAAGTTTTACTACAGTTGGCGACACTTGCCCTGCGTTTTCTCTTGCGCTGCTAATGTTGCAGTGACATTAATGTGCAAAGTGCTACATACTTGTGAAGAAGAGGGAAGTATTTGAAATGTATTGTTTGCAGTGGCTTCTTCCTGTACTTCTCTTGCCAAAGCCAGTGGACCCGGCATTTTTATACAACCATGCTATGTTCATGGTACTGTATCTGACTAGTTTCTTTCTGGAGAAGAAACCATGTACTATTTGCAGCATAGTGTTTCTGGTGGCCCTATTCTTGGTCTGTTACAGCTGTACAGGGAATTGTCTGTTTTGGACATGCGAAGAGGAGGGATGCTCAGAAGGCAGCAGCTGCAGTAAATCCTGATTACACTGGATCATTTATATTTAATTTTTCCCCTGTACATTGTGATACATTCAGTGGAAAGTGAAGTTTATATACACTGAGGCATGGTGTTGATAGCAAGCAGATTCACCACAATGTCTTTTAAGGCAGCTTAATGGATAATATACAAAAAATCCACAATAAAAAAATACTATATTGTTATAGCAACTCTCTTTGTGCCACCAGCACAGGCAATTGACTGAGTACTCACCAGCATTTAAAATAGTAACCTGTTATAAACCAAGGAATCTAGAATTTTCTTACCTTGCAACAGTCCACAAGCACTTTGTCTACCAGCAGTTGTCAAAAGTGTTTTGATTGTGCTACAGGATTCTGCATCAGTGGCAAAAAGCCTATCATCATTGAAAGACAGTGCTAAAATATTCATGACATTCATCAGAAAATATATTTAATAATTTGATTGATGTATCCAAAGGCCTACTCATAGGTAAATTTGAAGTGTGCATTTTCACTTACAAACTCAATGCTTTGGGAGTGGTTTTAATCCAAGTATGAATGAAAGTAATACATGAGCATAATATCATTTGTGAAACTGCTTGATAATGCTACTGAGTTATAGGTCTTTCATTATGTCAGTTAGTCCTTAAAACCTTCTGTAGTATAAAATTGCATAGATATTCCAGTTTTAAACTTTAAATCTTCAATAGAGTTTATGCATTGTTCATTTCTTATGATCTGGACAAGGAGATGCCAGCTGGGGCTTACATTGCCATTTGAAAGAGGTGTTACTATGGTTCTGGATCATCTGACTCACAATCTTGTTTGAATATGAATAAAAAGGAACAATCAAATGCAATCCTGTGGTATTTTCCAAGAATGAATATCCACTTTTTGTATTTCAAAAAGCATTTTGTTCACATTTGTCATTTCCTGTATTTTTAAGAATGAAAAATATTTAACAATATTATGTAATTTTGTAAATACAAATTTTCTAATTCTGTTACTTTTAAAAAGTGCAATGCATGTGTGATTTTAACTCTTGATATATTTGTAAATGTCAACTGTGGTCTTCAATATAGGTCGTAATTTTCTTTAGACAAAGCTTTTGTTATTTTTGAAATGTGTCTGTTATTCAAAGAAAGTTTTGAACATGCCACAACAGTTTCTGGATTTCACAAATCTTTACTATTAAACCAAACAAAAATAAAGTATGATTTTTGTAAATAAATTAATAAAACAGCGTCTTTGTTATATGTATTCTTTCAACTTGTTTTGCTGAATTGAATGTCCTGTTACTGCAGTTATCCCAAGACAACTGCGCGATCTTCCTGTGGTCAGAGGAAGACCTGGAACACAACCAAAAAGACCTGTAACCCGCTCTCAGTATTTAAAGTTAACCTTCACGCGTGTTCACGTCACAAAAATTTGTATTCAGAGACGATTTTGTTACTTTACTTATTATCAGCATTATTACAAAAAAAAAAACTTATAAAAATACCTTTTTCAAATTATTTATTTCTTTATTTTGCCAAACTCTTAAAATTATTTTTATAGAGACTCGCACGGGTCGTGTTAGATTCACCAAAGCAGACTGTTGGTGACGCGTTCAGCGTTCTACTCAAAACTGTTACCCCGTTTAAAGATTTTTTTATATTGAAGCTTTTCAAACATCCTATTTCTAGAAGACGATTTTAATCTTTGATCAACGTTTTAGGGTCATTAGAGGCCGACGAAAGAATGTTTTACCTTTTGAACAATTCGAGTTTGTTTTCATCCTTCGGGTTTCGTTAAACAAGAGGTTTAAATGGTCCTGTAATTTGTATAAAATGATATGTAAAGTGGAACGGATTGAGAAGCCGTAACAGTTTTGCGAGACAAGATTTTTAATGTCTGGATAACCGTTACTCGTACACAAGTAAAATATTTATTTTGACGCTTACATGTTATCTTCCGAACAACTGGACGCTGCTGTTGCACGGGAGAGTCCCCGTATCAGAGAGTCCCCACTGTCATGTACAGGTTAGTCCAATCCTAGATTTTGACCAACTCACGTATCTGGTCTGTATGAATCAAATGGAGGCGGACCCTCAGGTAAAATCGGTATTCGTACGAGATTTAACTATTGTAATTTATATTTATTCCCAATAATTAGTTTTCTTCTGTATATACGTTGTATATTTGCACACTGGAACATCTGGATGGTATATCCATTTTACCGAATACCTACTAGGCTGACCTGTGATTTTAAATTGTATGTATGAATATGTTTGAAAATAGGCATGATCAGATTATTCCTCTCCTTTTTTCCTTATAATTTTGGTGTATCTGGCCATTTTATGTACTAAAGCTTAATATTAAAAATCTCTTTTTCTGGTGGTTTATACATGTACAAGGCTTAAATACAGGTGCAAATAATCAGTGTACATGATTATATTTTCACATTCAAAAAGAAACTGGCTGTCTTAACTTTAAATTATTTATGATAGTAGTAGTTTTGTAAGATTTGGGAGTATGAAAAACCCTCATACCAAGTCTTAAAGATGGAAAATATCTTTTGTGTCATATGCAGGGCTTTATCAAGCGCAGTTATACACGTGTCAACTATTTTCTTCACAGTCAAACTGGGATAGGCTATCTGTGCATTTGACAGCTTCAGTTGGCTTGTTTGAATCAATTTTCTTTTAACTCAGAAAAAAGTTTCCGTCAGTAGCCTTCGCCTGTTGAAATATAAATTCTAATTTCCATAGATGGGATTGTCAACCATTTGTGTACTTGACAATGCATCCCCCTGATCCTCGGTGGGTTGAGCGCTAGTATAGTAATCGGGCATTCTTTGCCTTACTTCTGCATAGGAATAAGTGCAGGACTCCTCATCGGCTGTCATAGGCGATAACCGAATGTTCTGGCCCGTTTGGGCATATGAATAATCCTCGCTGGTTGGAGGCATTTTGGGTGCTGTGATTTGATGTCTTTGCTTCATTGGCTGATCAGATAGTTGGTCGATGTGATCTTCCTCTCCTTCCTTCAGTGGTGTTTGATCGATGTCAATAGAAGTCGAAGTTAAAAACCCTTTATTTTCTTCCTGCAATTTAGATTTCTTCGCCGGCCTTAGGTATAATACAGAAGCTTCTCCATTGGTCACCGTGACGTTGGCGGTACTAGTTTGACTCAAGCGATTGTCTTCTTCTCCGAAGTTGAACACCGGATTCTGAGCCAGATTATCAACTGGAATCTCCGAATAAGCTCTTGAGTCTCGGGAAACCATATTTTCAATTATTTGGGTCGTTATGTGTCCTCGTTTACGCCTGTAAATGCAATAATTTTCACTAAATATGTGCATATGTTACTTTGATTTGACTTAAGTTCATTTCCTCAATTATTTCTTTTTTATCATATATTGTCATATTTTGTATGTGATAACATTTGGATTACGTTATACTGGTATTTATAATCTGCTAGATTCAAAGCATTGTGGAACTGAATTTACAATTTAAAGAATAAAAAGTTAACTGTGATCTACCTTTTTCTGATAAAAAACACAATAAGTACTGAGAGGATAACTAAAAGTAATGCCGCGGCAGCGATACTTCCTATACCCGCATCTAAAAAAAAATTAAAGACAGTCTCTATTCATTTCTAATTCTGCTTCTTCAACCACAGAAATGTTTTATTAGTTACAGCTCACTTTAAAACAAAGACAGGTTTTTATCGTCTTAGATTTATCTTTTTAACCAATGTCTATGAATTGCATATAGAAAATGTGCACAAATCAGAAATACTTAAGTTACCGGACAGAGGGGAAGAAAGCGCTCTGTCGCCACCAGCTGGCACCTGTGTAGGAGTGGTGGAGTCGCTTTCCTTCGAGGTAAGTGACGATGTCAATGTAACTGAGGGCGTGGAAACACTACTTCGATAAAACACTGGCGTCATGATATTAATAAGACTTTTTGTAGATGGATGTAAATTAGTGGGAAGAAGGGTGCCTTCTGTTGAACTTAGCACTTCAATGGAGGAATTTTCTCCAGATTTCGTTGTGCTTTTTTCCTTTTTTCCTGAGGTTGTAGTTTCTTCTGACGACATAGTGTTAACATTTGCTTCAGTAGCTGTTGGTTCATAAGAGGTCAGTCTCGAGTTACGTATATTTGTGGTAGATGTTAGATCCACAATGTATGCGCTAGTTTCTGTAGACTCTGAGGTCTTTTCTCCTACCGTTGTACTTTGTGTAATGTCTGAAATGTTGAAAGTTATACATGTACTATACGCATTTCAAATCATCCCAGAGTCATATTTTTAAGTCTAAACACCCTGCAAAACTGCTTATCTTTTTTTTAATTTAGATCTTTAAAACAGTAAAACACCTCAAGATCTTGATGTCGATACATTTTGAAATGTCAGTAAAGTTGTGGCAGCCTAAAGGAATTCTTTTAATAGTTAAATGGTACAAAACATTAAATTTGTGAGTAGAACAAATTTGCTTTTCATCTCTCGAAAATTGATTTGGCACCATAATATGATACCTTTAAGGGGTATTCTAAGAAGGAAAAAATATGCAAAATTCTCGATATATATATATATATATATATATATATATACAACTCCCCGTATGGTATTGAAGCAATAACGACCAACACAAATTACATCTGTCACAGTTATGTAATATTACTATTGATAAAAGATGTAGGCTACCGTATTGGCAAAGAAAGTGGTTTTCTGTATTGCAATTTTGGTCATCCCATTTCCATTGTCCGTCGTTCCAAAGGACTCCACATTGGTTAGGACCACCATTGTCAGGCTGACCGTTTGCCCAAAATGAATAATTTCCATACAGTCGATCTTCTGAAATACAATTATCATTACACAGGTCAGTTAATACAATTTGAGTTACTATGTAATTGTAATAGTTATAAAAGTTAATCCAGTAGAATTGCAACCCAAAGACCGAAGTTTTACAAAGTTTTGCATTTTAAAAGTGTATTATTAGAAACCGAGGACAGTAAGTAGCTCAAGCGTGCAAGGACTGACATCTACCCAAACGATAATCAATGACGCCAACATTGGAAATATAGACAACCAAGGCTGTTGATAAAAAGCATGTGTCGAGTTTTGTGATTGATTAGCAGTAAACGACCTGAGCATGTCAGATTTCAAACAATAAATAGCAACAATAAAGAGTCCAAATGCACAGACTTGTACAATAGGCAATAGATGACAATGCTTTCTTTCGGATTGGATCGATTGCATCATAAAGGCTAGTTTTGCGATCGATTGGCTGTTGAACATAAGTCAAATTCTTCTTCTGTACTGAAAACACTGTGTTAGAATGTGTTTTTCAGTAGATTTGTAGATTTGAATTCCATTCCTTGCTGAGATGAGCATCCTAAGGTTATAAAGTTCAGTTATTCTGTTCACTTCATATATAAACCCGTGTGAATCGAGGTTAAATTTGACCCCGGATTAGATCTAGACTCACAACATCAAGCCCTTACCTTTCGGTAAAAAACAATGCGGAACTTTTTCCAACTGTGATTCTTGATAACAACACATCCTACTGTAACAGTATGTTTTAATTTTGTCTTTGCATGCATCAATAGAACCGCAGCTTGGGGCACAATCTATTTTTTGGTTGTCGTCGACAATGCAACTTCTGTTCTCTAAAATTTAATGTTGAATTTGACAGTTTATGGATTTATTCTTAAATTACTTGAATTTAAATGAGTACATATTCAAGTATTACAAACATCACTTTAATGATAAAAGAAATGAATATTACACTCTAGCTTCATAGTATANATTACTATGTACTATATTTTGCTTTTATATCACCCTATTTTATTTGAGATTACCCTTTCCTGTGTTTACTTGCAACTGGACTTGTGTTATCAAGTGTATTGCGCTGTGTTGCGCTGTATTGCAGTGTTTTGCGCATTTCAGTCACACCCGTTTACATCGGGCATTCTGGTTTTTCTGATATATCTCCAACATGTACATGTAATATAATATACGCTGTAAATTACCGTCACGCAGTCTAAGATCTATCTCAAGGTACCAAACTCTGCCTTGCATATGCCTTTCAGTACGCATGAATATAAATCAGCCATGTTCACAACCATTCAAAACCAACTTACACAGTATTCTTCAGTCATTTCTGTTCCAGTATAACCTGGTGCTTTGAGATCAAACGCCACCCTCCGACGAAAAGGAAACTCCAGTTGCCTTTACATGCGGAGAGATACGAATATTAGTTTAACATTTATTCCTGTCATCATTTCCAAGTGATAAGATAGAAAGTATTCAGATTGTTTGAGCAAATTTTATCAAATGTTTTAATAGTTTATTTGAGATTCAATATATATGCTTATAGTTCACGTGTGATACAAAATAATGTATACGAAACTAAATTAGCTAACAATTGAGGAAATTACGGAAGAGACTGGCTGGACAATGACAACAGCAGAGGGACGCTGTGTGAGTGATTAGACTTCATAACTGGTCAGTGATTGACGTTTTGTGCAATTATGTATTAGGAGGACTCTGATATATAATTGACAACTAATTGGATAATTTTCAATCCCAATCAGTTAAGGTCAACTTGATGACAGCCATATATGACGCAAGTTTTACTGCAGTTGGCGACACTTGCCGTGCGTTTTCTCTTGCGCTGCTAATGTTGCAGTGACATTAATGTGCAAAGTGCTACATACTTGTGAAGAAGAGGGAAGTATTTGAAATGTATTGTTTGCAGTGGCTTCTTCCTGTACTTCTCTTGCCAAAGCCAGTGGACCCGGCATTTTTATACAACCATGCTATGTTCATGGTACTGTATCTGACTAGTTTCTTTCTGGAGAAGAAACCATGTACTATTTGCAGCATAGTGTTTCTGGTGGCCCTATTCTTGGTCTGTTACAGCTGTACAGGGAATTGTCTGTTTTGGACATGCGAAGAGGAGGGATGCTCAGAAGGCAGCAGCTGCAGTAAATCCTGATTACACTGGATTATTTATATTTAATTTTCCCCCTGTACTGTACATTGTGATACATTCAGTGGAAAGTGAAGTTTATATACACTGAGGCATGGCGTTGATAGCAAGCAGATTCACCACAATGTCTTTTAAGGCAGCTTAATGGATAATATACAAAAAATCCACAATAAAAAAATACTATAGTGTTATAGCAACTCTCTTTGTGCCACCAGCACAGGCAATTGACTGAGTACTCACCAGCATTTAAAATAGTAACCTGTTATAAACCAAGGAATCTAGAATTTTCTTAGCCTTGCAACAGTCCACAAGCACTTTGTCTACCAGCAGTTGTCAAAAGTGTTTTGATTGTGCTACAGGATTCTGTATCACTGGCAAAAAGCCTATCATCATTGAAAGACAGTGCTAAAATATTCATGACATTCATCAGAAAATATATTTAATAATTTGATTGATGTATCCAAAGGCCTACTCATAGGTAAATTTGAAGTGTGCATTTTCACTTACAAACTCAATGCTTTGGGAGTGGTTTTAATCCAAGTATGAATGAAAGTAATACATGAGCATATCATTTGTGAAACTGCTTGATAATGCTACTGAGTTATAGGTCTTTCATTATGTCAGTTAGTCCTTAAAACCTTCTGTAGTATAAAATTGCATAGATATTCCAGTTTTAAACTTTAAATCTTCAATAGAGTTTATGCATTGTTCATTTCTTATGATCTGGACAAGGAGATGCCAGCTGGGGCTTACATTGCCATTTGAAAGCGGTGTTACTGTGGTTCTGGATCATCTGACTCACAATCTTGTTTGAATATGAATAAAAAGGAACAATCAAATGCAATCCTGTGGTATTTTCCTAGAATGAATATCCACTTTTTGTATTTCAAAAAGCATTTTGTGCACATTTGTCATTTCCTGTATTTTTAAGAATGAAAAATATTTAACAATACTATGTAATTTTGTAAATACAAATTTTCTAATTCTGTTACTTTTAAAAAGTGCAATGCATGTGTGATTTTAACTCTTGATGTATTTGTATATGTCAACTGTGGTCTTCAATATAGGTCGTAAGTTTCTTTAGACAAAGCTTTTGTTATTTTTTAAATGTGTCTGTTATTCAAAGAAAGTTTTGAACATGGCACAACAGTTTCTGGATTTCACAAATCTTGACTATTAAACCAAACAAAAATAAAGTATGATTTTTGTAAATAAATTAATAAAACAGCGTCTTTGTTATATGTATTCTTTCAACTTGTTTTGCTGAATTGAATGTCCTGTTACTGCAGTTATCCCAAGACAACTGCGCGATCTTCCTGTGGTCAGAGGAAGACCTGGAACACGATCAAAAAGACCTGTAACCCGCTCTCAGTATTTAAAGTTAACCTTCACGCATGTTCACGTCACAAAAATTTGTATTCAGAGACGATTTTGTTACTTTACTTATTATCAGCATTATTACAAAACAAAACTTATAAAAATACCTTTTTCAAATTACTTATTTCTTTATTTTGCCAAACTCTTAAAATTATTTTTATAGAGACTCGCACGGGTCGTGTTAGATTCACCAAAGCAGACTGTTGGTACTCAAAACTGTTACCCCGTTTAAAGCTTTTTTATATTGAAGCTTTTCAAACATCCTATTTCAAGAAGACGCTTTTAATCTTTGATCAACGTTTTAGGGTCATTAGAGGCCGACGAAAGAATATTTTACCTTTTGAACAATTTGAGTTTGTTTTCATCCGTCGGGTTCCGTTAAACAAGAGGTTTAAATGGTCCTGTAATTTGTATAAAATGATATGTAAAGTGGAACGGATTGAGAAGCCGTAACAGTTTTGCGAGACAAGATTTTTAATGTCTGGATAACCGTTACTCGTACACAAGTAAAATATTTATTTTGACGCTTACATGTTATCTTCCGAACAACTGGACGCTGCTGTTGCACGGGAGAGTCCCCACATGTACAGGTTAGTCCAATCCTAGATTTTGACCAACTCACGTATCTGGTCTGTATGAATCAAATGGAGGCGGACCCTCAGGTAAAATCGGTATTCGTACGAGATTTAACTATTGTAATTTATATTTATTCCCAATAATTAGTTTTCTTCTGTATATACGTTGTATATTTGCACACTGGAACATCTGGATGGTATATCCATTTTACTTAATACCTACTAGGCTGACCTGTGATTTTAAATTGTATGTATGAATATGTTTGAAAATAGGCATGATCAGATTATTCTTTTCCTTTTTTCCTGATAATTTTGGTGTATCTGGCCATTTTATGTACTAAAGCTTAATATTAAAAATCTGTTTTTCTGGTGGTTTATACATGTACAAAGCTTAAATACAGGTGAAAATAATCAGTGTACATGATTATATTTTCACATTCAAAAAGAAACTGGCTGTCTTAACTTTAAAGATTCAGCTGATTTTGTTCGATAATTGTTTATGATAGTAGTAGTTTTGTAAGATTTGGGAGTATGAAAAACCTTGTATCATATGCAGGGCTTTATCAAGCGCAGTTACACACGTGTCAACTATTTTCTTCACAGTCAAACTGGGATAGGCTATCTGTGCATTTGACAGCTTCAGTTGGCTTGTTTGAATCAATTTTCTTTTAACTCAGAAAAAAGTTTCCGTCAGTAGCCTTCGCCTGTTGAAATATAAATTCTAATTTCCATAGATGGGATTGTCAACCATTTGTGTACTTGACAATGCATCCCCCTGATCCTCGGTGGGTTGAGCGCTAGTATAGTAATCCTTTAAATCGGGCATTCTTTGCCTTACTTCTGCATAGGAATAAGTGCAGGACTCCTCATCGGCTGTCATAGGCGATAACCGAATGTTCTGGCCCGTTTGGGCATATGAATAATCCTCGCTGGTTGGAGGCATTTTGGGTGCTGTGATTTGATGTTTTTGCTTCATTGGCTGATCAGATAGTTCGACGATGTGATCTTCCTCTCCTTCCTTCAGTGGTGTTTGATCGATGTCAATAGAAGTCGAAGTTAAAAACCCTTTATTTTCTTCCTGCAATTTAGATTTCTTCGCCGGCCTTAGGTATAATACAGAAGCTTCTCCATTGGTCACCGTGACGTTGGCGGTACTAGTTTGACTCAAGCGATTGTCTTCTTCTCCGAAGTTGAACACCGGATTCTGAGCCAGATTATCAACTGGAATCTCCGAATAAGCTCTTGAGTCTCGGGAAACCATATTTTCAATTATTTGGGTCGTTATGTGTCCTCGTTTACGCCTGTAAATGCAATAATTTTCACTAAATATGTGCTTATGTTACTTTGATTTGACTTAAGTTCATTTCCTCAATTATTTCTTTTTTATCATATATTGTCATATTTTGTATGTGATAATATTTGAATAACGTTATACTGGTATTTATAATCTGCTAGATTCAAAGCATTGTGGAACTGAATTTACAATTTAAAGAATAAAAAGTTAACTGTGATCTACCTTTTTCTGATAAAAAACACAATAAGTACTGAGAGGATAACTAAAAGTAATGCTGCGGCAGCGATACTTCCTATACCCGCATCTAAAAAAAAAATTAAAGACAGTCTCTATTCATTTCTGATTCTGCTTCTTCAACCACAGAAATGTTTTATTAGTTACAGCTCACTTTAAAACAAAGACAGGTTTTTATCGTCTTAGATTTATCTTTTTAACCAATGTCTATGAATTGCATATAGAAAATGTGCACAATCAGAAATACTTAAGTTACCGGACAGAGGGGAAGCAAGCGCTCTGTCGCCGCCAGCTGGCACCTGTGTAGGAGTGGTGGAGTAGCTTTCCTTCGAGGTAAGTGACGATGTCAATGTAACTGAGGGCGTGGCAACACTACTTCGATAAAACACTGGCGTCATGATATTAATAAGACTTTTTGTAGATGGATGTAAATTAGTGGGAAGAAGGGTGCCTTTTGTTGAACTTAGCACTTCAATGGAGGAATTTTCTCCAGATTTCGTTGTGCTTTTTTCCTTTTTTCCTGAGGTTGTAGTTTCTTCTGACGACATAGTGTTAACATTTGCTTCAGTAGCTGTTGGTTCATAAGAGGTCAGTCTCGAGTTACGTATATTTGTGGTAGATGTTACATCCACAATGTATGCGCTAGTTTCTGTAGACTCTGAGGTCTTTTCTCTTACCGTTGTACTTTGTGTAATGTCTGAAATGTTGAAAGTTATACATGTACTATACGCATTTCAAATCATCCCATAATATATATATATATATATCCCCGTATGGTATTGAAGCAATAACGACCAACACAAATTACATCTGTCACAGATATGTAATATTACTATTGATAAAAGATGTAGGCTACCGTATTGGCAAAGAAAGTGGTTTTCTGTATTGCAATTTTGGTCATCCCATTTCCATTGTCCGTTGTTCCAAAGGACTCCACATTGGTTAGGACCACCATTGTCAGGCTGACCGTTTGCCCAAAATGAATAATTTCCATACAGTCGATCTTCTGAAATACAATTATCATTACACAGGTCAGTTAATACAAGTTGATGTGCAGTTACTATGTTATTGTAATAGTTATAAAAGTTAATCCAGTAGAATTGCAACCCAAAGACCGAAGTTTTACAAAGTTTTGCATTTTAAAAGTGTATTATTAGAAACCGAGGATAGTAAGTAGCTCAAGCGTGCAAGGACTGACATCTACCCAAACGATAATCAATGACGCCAACATTGAAAATATAGACAACCAAGGCTGTTGATAAAAAGCATGTGTCGAGTTTTGTGATTGATTAGCAGTAAACGACCTGAGCATGTCAGATTTCAAATAATAAATAGCAACAATAAAGAGTCCAAATGCACAGACTTGTACAATAGGCAATAGATGACAATGCTTTCTTTCGGATTGGATCGATTGCATCATAAAGGCTAGTTTTGCGATCGATTGGCTGTTGAACATAAGTCAAATTCTTCTTCTGTACTGAAAACACTGTGTTAGAATGTGTTTTTCAGTAGATTTGAATTCCATTCCTTGCTGAGATGAGCATCCTAAGGTTATAAAGTTCAGTTATTCTGTTCACTTCATATATAAACCCGTGTGAATCGAGGTTAAATTTGACCCCGGATTAGATCTAGACTCACAACATCAAGCCCTTACCTTTCGGTAAAAAACAATGCGGAACTTTTTCCAACTGTGATTCTTGGTAACAACACATCCTACTGTAACAGTATGTTTTAATTTTGTCTTTGCATGCAACAATAGAACCGCAGCTTGGGGCACAATCTATTTTTTGGTTGTCGTCGACAATGCAACTTCTGTTCTCTAAAATTTAATGTTGAATTTGACAGTTTATGGATTTATTCTTAAATTACTTGAATTTAAATGAGTACATATTCAAGTATTACAAACATCACTTTAATGATAAAAGAAATGAATATTACACTCTAGCTTCATAGTATGAAATAGGGCCTACATGTATTACGAAAACTAGAAACATTTCTCCATTTTAACATAACGATTTTTGCAGAGCCGATTTTTAGCTGCATATAGCAATGGTTATTAAACAAATTTTAAGTTGGACAAATTACGTGAGTAGTGCCACAAAAGTGGTGTATGCCCTATGTGACAAAACTAGGCAAAATGCAATGTCAAATGTACTTCAGTGTCCCGCAAAATTAAAAGACAAGAAGAGGTGGTCCAATAAACCTCATTTCGATCACAGCATATTCGTTTGGAATACTTCCCACTTTTTAGCAGTGTAAGTTACAAAATAAATGAATAAAATAAAAACATGGCAAATATAATTCTAATAAATGACTGCCTTAGTACAGTAGATCCTACCACATGTATACTGAGATTTGGTCTACTGGATCATAATCACAGCCGGTCCAACTTTCCAGCGTTAGAGGTCTGTGTGTGTGTGTGTGTGTGTGTGTGTGTGTGCGTGAGAGAGAGAGAGAGAGAGAGAGAGAGAGAAGGGGGGTCGACGCGAATTGAAATGGTCTGCATGCACATGTAAATTTACCCTGTCCGTCCCATGAAAATCTCGCTCCATGCCAACGCAAGCCAATCCACAAAGATGTTTCGAGTTTATTTTTCATTTCATCCGCCTTTTGTGCCAACATACTCTGAGTGGTGTTGTCCAAGATGATCGCTAGTTTCCCACCACTATTTTTACATTGTCCGAAAGCATCATCCCATCCAACTTTTTTGTTACTATAGACGTAACACTGGTAATCTACTATCACTGACGATAAATTATTTTTATCGTTGCAAAGTTTTTGGATATCATTGGGAAGAATGGAACTTTCTGCAAAGAAACAGAAACTGGCAAAGGTTTACGTACGTAAAGTAGAAGTGTACAATTTTCATGTAAGCTTACATTTTTAGAGGCCAATGAGATGAAAACTGACAAGAAGTGCAAGTGTCGTTAAACGTCCGGGAAATTCACCACACGTGTATTCCGTCTCCAATCCCACAATTTTTATGTCATCTTATTTATGATCAATCAGATTTACCATTCTTAAAATTTAGAGTTCAGATTTCCAGATAATGTTACCCAGTAATGACATTTCCGGGATAAAGCCTTCTCACCTTGACAATTTACTTGCATCAAAAAACTGAGTGTAGTAAGTAACACACGAGCCCAAGGAACGGCCATGATTACATGAACGGAAGTTGCTTCTCAAATGTGTTCTCATGAATAATCCTCAATTAAACTATCCACAAAAGGATAAAAAACGGCCATTGCTGATGCACTGTCCTGACTGTCTGCTGACCTCTGACCCCTCATCAGCCTAAATATCCACAAGCTCTATCCAAGTTATCTTGGCAGTGAACCTATACTCTTGTTGACATTGCAGAAATGATAGTTATATTTGTACTGATAATCACGTGAGGGTTACTGGTCTAAGCGGTCGTTTGCTCTGTGGAAGTGAGATCATTACTAAAGACGATTATTGGAAATGGGAAATGCACCGTTTTGTGCTTGCAATCGAAATGAAAACATTACATCAGAATTGTTCAATCTGATGTTGGTATGAAAGATTAATGCATTTTAAAAGTTATGCTAGGCAAAAACTTTTTCTCAAAACTTACACCAAAGAGGAAGGGCTTTCAAGTATTTTTGATAACATCAAGCTATTGTTGTCAATAACTTATTAAGTTTAGCATGTTGTCAATAAATAACAAAACAAGTTATATAAATCATAACCATTATTCCTTAATAATCATATTTATGACACATTGCACCAAGGCAGTATCTCTGTTCTGGAAAATACTGCTGGGGATTGCGGCAGACAAAATCTTATTGGATTCTATGAAACTCAGTTGTTTTTCTGCTAGAATTCAGAAATTTTCAACAGAATCTAAATATTATTATCAAACTTTGGATTTTAACAAATTTCCCTAGAGGGATAAAAACAAGTTGTGACTAGTCAGCATTGATACAGCATTTAAAAATAATGCTGCTACTGGTGCATCTTCATTCATTTTTCATTGTCTCCTAAACAATTTATATTGTACTAAGTCAAAATGGCAGTAGTTTTCAGCAAGTGTCATACAACAAAATGAAGATTGGAAAAAATTACAAATGCTGTGCTATATCTTTTCAGCTTGACTATGTGGCAAAGTTGCACCAATCAATCATTATCAGGATGATGCAGAGATCATATCCATGCTTGAGGTAATTAAAATCAAGGTACAAAATGAATTTGTAGAAAAATGAATTAGTTGGTGTGCAGCTATACACCCTTTCTTTTTTGTACTCCCTTTACTTCGTGCCTACAGTCAATAATCCAATGGTATGGTAGAAGATCATGGGGTAGTCTTATCATAACTGTATGGTGAATTCAAAAGAAAGATATCTATATGTGCTATCACATAGCAACTTCAAGATAACAATGGGTAGCATTTCATATTTTACAGGTTAAATGAGAGCACTGACACTTAGATTGTGGAAATTACTAAATCCCATCCTAAATTTATCTCAATTGCACATTTCATATGCATAGCCATGTACTACAAAAGTCTGATTATCTAGTTTAATATGACTGATTTCCACTGAAATCAAGATGCAGAGTCATATTCCGAGTCTCCCTCTGGAGAGTTTTGTCTGGACTTTCGTGTAACTGTTTCTTGTAACCTCTTCAGTAATGGACGGTGATGAAGCCAATGTTCTCCTTGTTCATGGAAGTGCTGTAAAACACAGGGAAGTGATAATGAGGATTACCAAAAAAATCCAAACAAAATCTATGGGACAGCTATCTTGTACATTTGTCAGAGAATTCCTTTTATTCTTTCCACATGGGTTAGCAATTTAATCTGTTTTCACCAGAAATTTAAGTTAAACTGAAGACATTAGATAACTTCTTTAAGTTGTTAAGAAAAGAAATTTCAGATTGTCTCTTTGGTAACAATTTCAACAAAGGATAATTGATTGGAAGATAAAAACCTATGTCTATCTGATAAGTTACTCATCCATATATATTATTTTTACCTTGGTTTCCCACTTCAATCCTTTTTCTAGCCTTTCCTTTGCCTCTTCCCTTTGCCTTTGTTCCAGCTTCCTCTTGAATTCAGTTGCCTTATCTACATTTTTTTCTTTCAAATGTTTTGTAACATCTTGCCACAGTCTGTAACAAATAGGTTTAGTATTTTTATTATAAACTGAAGATCACTTACATATATTGAGAATCACATAATAAAAAATTACTTTAGATTGGGGAAAACAAAATACACATGGATTTCACTTGGAAAAAGAAGGCAATATTCATGTAAAACATACTTAGTTTTCATGTATAAATACTTAAACAATATGAGGAAAATTAATTTACTTCTTACATAGCCCAAGGAGTTAACATGAGTTAAGGAACAAAATAATATAAGGAGCAGTGGTCTGCAGTGAGGTGAGACAAATGTGGAATGTGGTTTAAATAAAATCAACATTCCCTTCTAAAGCTACTCAAACATTTTCACTACATGACCACCAATACTGGCCAGGTACTGCACAAGTATCTAAACTGCTTTTTATCTAAGTACCTACCTTCTTGACTCAAACTCGCCTTGTTCAGTACGCGGTTTCACTTTCTTTTTGATGATAGGCATGCTTTTCGTATCCACAAACTTTTCACTTCTCTGAAACAAAATGCATCAAATTCAAATTTCTCAGGTTTGTTTAGAATAAAGAAATGATAAATCACCTGATCACTGTTAACTTTACAAATAATAAATAAATAATGGCTCCCCCTGAATTATACTGTGGCCACCTAATAAAAATAATAATAATAATAATTTTCCATTCATCATCCTTGATAAATGTAGGTTTTTGCCCCCCTCCCCTCCTCCCAATTTATATTAAATCACCCCTTTATTGTTCTGAGTTCACATAACATTATTCCAGTGTACAATACTCAGCATAGGAGGGCTTCTCCTCTCCCCCACTGTGACTCACCCCTGTATTGTACTGTGCCCACATGACACCATTCCACTCGCCATCTATGGTACAGATAGGCTTTTTGTCATTGGGTGCAAATATGGCAGCTGCCACTTGATGTTTCTTGCCTCCATAAAAAGGCTGAAAGAGAGAAAAAATTTAAATATTGAAAATAAACTTCCAATCATGAATCAGTGCTGCTAATTCAGCAATCTATATTATCATCTGAAGTTTTAAAAACTTTACTTGTATTCCATTTATAACTAGGATACAAACATTCATTAAGGAGTGGAAAATATAAATCATTACACTTTTTATGAAAAAGTCACAGTTATTTAATCTCTAATACCTTTGTTTTAAATTCAATATTGGCATAGTATCCAGTTTTGGCACATTGCACCCCAACCTTTCCACCAAGTTCAATCCATGGCACTGTTAAAATGGACCTAGATATTGTTAGGAAAACAGATATAACTTATTTTGATCCTGATTTTACAATAATGTCATACCAAATGTTACTTATCAGTGCTATTTATAAAACAGTCATCACATTTTAAAGGTAGTAAAGATAAGTATCCTTGATAAACAATACTGGTCAGTTTTACAATTTATGTGTTGTCTCTATGGATCTCTTCAATGCCATATTGATCTCAGCTCTCAGTGGAGCATACAATTCCAGCTGCTGTATATTTGGTGCTTGGAATTTTTATTCATAATTACCAGCACTATAACAACCTTTTTTGTATCAAATTAATTTTTTGATGTTAAAACATATAAAAACCACAAAAATCCATAATGGTCAGTGACTGTGTTGAAATTTGTTAGGAACCAAAAAATTCAAAATCCCAAAAATGCACATGGATGAAAGGCTGTAAAACATGGATATTATAAAGGTAATATTTCAATATCATCATTTATAGAATTTTGTATAATAAATAATTTTTCTTTATTATCTTATGAACCCAGTTTTAAATGACATAACATTATCTTAGTCAATCAAAAATATAACCACCTAATCTTTAAAAATGAGACCAAAGGTCCAACCTGATAGCTTCCACTTACCTTCCATATCCAGTAGGAAATGTGAGCACATATTCCTCATCATGGTCTAATACTGATATGACTGCTTGGCCTATCATGTAGACACCTATCGACAGCCCTAAGAACTTGGACTTAGTCCAAATGTAACCATCAAGACTGATCCTCTTGCCTGAATGTTCTGCATAAAAGGCTGAAACTGAAAAAAAAATCACATATGTTATATACAGACTCAAAAGATTTAAAACATGGGTCTTCCATTATAAATAATTGACTGGAAGTTAACACATACCCCATATTGGAGCAAAAAGAATTATTAAATTGTTTCTCCATAATTTTTGACAATGGCAATAGATTGGCTAAGTGTGCTATATAGGGGGGCTGCACTCAAGATGGTTTAAACCAAAAATACTGATGTGTTGACTCTATGATGTTGACTTTTATTGTGAACTTTAACACAAATGTTGGGGTACAACTGGGGAACCTGTGCAATCCATGGAGTTCTACTTACTTGGAGGGTGGTGGGACACTTGTTCTGCTATGAAAGCCAGGTTGTTCTTGTGAACCCAGGGCACAGGCCCACTGTCTGAGACCTCCTGAGAATGTGGTGTATGCAAGTTTTGTATCAGCCATAATAAATAACACTATTAGCAAAGATTAAGAGCATCTTTATACCATCTTACCCTTTCCCTCATCTGATTAACAAGTTCCCTCACAACACAAACTGATGCTTTATCTAAAATAATTAAATCTGAATAATACATAAAATGATGCATGTGGGTCTTGATGATATAATTGGTACTTAATCTCAATGTCACAAAGGCCACCAATCTGTTTCTGAGTCAGAAGGATGATAAAGATTACACTTATTTGTACTTACATCTGAAGGCTCCATATTAGGGATATCCCAAAAACACTGGAAGGTTTCTCCAATTATAGGATTATATGGTTTTTTTGCAATATCACTGCGCCTGCCTGCATGGAAGGCTGATAAGTACCAACGCACTACCTGAATCATTCGCTCTTTGGGATCTTTAAAGTCAACAATTCTGAAAATTAAAAGACATAGAAATCAGAGAGAGCAGATTAAATAAACAACATCTGCACTGCTGTTTTTCATGAAGTATACTTCACACTCAAACAAATGTGTATATAAAGGAATATCACATGTTTCATGCTACTGCAATTGTTAGTTGTCTTGTTTTAAAAAGCTTAGGTATATTTTATCAATAGTTCTCATATATTTGAAAATAAAAGTAAAAATAACCTGATTATGGTAGATTTACCTACTTACCCAACAAATAAATCTGGATGAGCGAAGAAATCTGCAAACATTTCTAATAGGGAGCGCCTCTCTAGTATGAAGGTTGGAAGGACAATTTTTGTTAAATCCATCCCAATTCTAACTTGGGACAATAAGTGAGTTACAATACTCCCTTGGCCTTCAAGTGAGCCCACTAAAATTAAAAAGAAAATGACATTCTTAGTGAAAGATGCTTCAATATCTTAAGTACATCCATCATATTGCTTATAACACTTAAAAGCTAACTACTTCCCTACAAATGTAATTTTTTAAAATAAAGTATACAATGTTGAAATTTCAATATTATATTTCATTGTCTCAATGGGACTGATGATTAGTAAAGTACAAGGACAGGAAACCAATCAAACCACTTACAGTCTTCCTGATCGACTTCATCATAGAGCTCTGAAAATACAAGCAGAATTTTATGTAAAAGACATTGTTGCATAGAAACTTACTGAAGACATCTTTTTACATATGGAATGTCATACACTCAACAATGGTTTTACTAAAGCATCATTTAATTTTAATTTCTTGTAAATGTAAATTTCAACATTCATATTTACCATCAAAATAATCATCTTTGGAAGCTATGACTTGAACAGGCTCAGCTTTTGGTGGTTCATCTTCAGTAGCAGACCTGCAAAAGTATATGGAAATTTACTAAATATATTTCTATTTTAGAAAGGAAAAAATTAGTTCATCCTTTATGAGTCTAGACAAAGCAATGTCTGTATTAAACTTCCAGTGCTAATAAAATGTAAGAATTGCTTTAAAATCTTTATAGCCTATGCCGTTTTATCCTATTTACCTCTCCAGTTCTTCTGCATCATAGAATTCCTCATCCTCACTGCTGGAGTATGATGTCATGGGCATTACTCTGGGTGGAACATGCATGTCACTATTGGAGTATGCTGACATCATATGTGACTGTGCCCCCACACTGCCATCCTGCTCCATATCCCCACCCTCCTCTTCTAACAATGCATCTACTGCTGGTGATATGCCATTCTCTTCTGAAAAGGGAATGGGAATTTCTGAAACTTTCTGGATATATATCTAATCAATCATGAAAATGACAAGAGTACCAGAGACAGGGCTTACAGTAAGTTTATAAATGACAAAACACAAATAACAACATTCAGGGTTTTGAAATTGACAACTATATTTTCTTCTAAACAGTTCCCATTACCAAAATTAAACATTAGTCAAATCTAATACTATGAAATTTCTTCATGTTATCACATGTAAAAAATACACCAAATTCCTCAGTCCAGGTAATACTAAGGTAATGTATTTTGATAAAAATCACTTTTACATTAGGCCAAGTGACTACCTAAGCCTCCACTAGATGCAGGCAAAGAATGTGATGTAGTAGTATTATGGGGTGGTACATCAATACCATTGCTGGTAGCCATTGAGTTTGGCATAGGACCAATAGGTGGCAGCTCAGTTGTGGATGCTGCTGGAGATGTAGAGAGAGAACTACCCAACTTGGAGGCAGAAGAATGGAAGAACTTTGAAAAAGACAGTGAATGTTCTGAAAGAGACAGAACACCAATAGATAGGTCTGACAAATAACTAATAGCATCCATGGGTTCTCTTTATGTCTTATAGTGGGAGATATTAATGAAACTGGGGGGTTATATTGAGGAACTTAAACAGACAAATATGCTCCTGATGAAAACACATTTTAAATTGAATAGATGAGAAAATTTTAACTGTAAGTTCTAAAAAATTTTTTTACATCTCAATCTTTCAACTATCCATACAGTTTATATACCATGCCACATTCAGAGAATTTATATACACACAAACAAATATTTACATACAAATATATAAAGTGTTATAAGCATTACACATCAATGTTAGTCTTAAAATCATAGAATCACATATTCATCACTCTCTTAATTTTTATAAACTTGATTTTTTTTCCAGATATTCCAAGAACTTTTGTGACTCTACAGTGCAGAATGTGACCCCTTTGATAATATATAAAAATGAGTCTAGGCCTGGAAATTGCAATATACATTAATACTTATTCTCCCAGAAAGAAACTTTCAAACTGAAATGTTTGCTTTGAAAGGAGCAGGTACTTCTAGATACTGTACTTTTTCTACCTATAGACCCTGCAGCTGCTTGTAATGGAGGTGTTAAAGGTCCATTCTCCACCATGGCCTGGTCAGCTATTTGTTGCTGGAAAATGCCAGTATTTTGGAAAGTTAAAAAGCCAATGCAATAATTTATTTAATAGTATCTATTAAAAATACAGAAGCAAAAAGCCACCAAATTATTCTAGATGCTGTAGGGTAAACTGTAGTAGAAATTGAAACTGCTGACATTATACATAAAGAGGGCATCGTTAAAGCTGCTGTTGTACTCACTTTGGACATCTGTAAAAGCACTATGGACTGTTTGATAGATTCAATCATGGTCTAAAATTAGACAGTAATACAAGATATAAGACATGGATGCAAGCTCCATTAACAAATTGTAGGAGTAACAGATCATTTTTAGAAAATATTCTATGACCAACTTTATACTTTTAAAACACACGGTACATTTTCATGTATCATTCATAAGGTCTATCAAACTAGCTAAGTAAACAAATCATTATCTTCGTATTCATATGAATGTGTCTACCTCTGCAGCTACTTTGATGACACTGTATTTCTCTCTGGCTGCTGGGTCATCACACTGCTCAATCTTCTCATCCAAAGCCTGTAATATTAAAAAAAATTGGTTAGTAAGAAAACAGTATAACTTAACAAAATTGGGATAAATACATACATTTAAACATAAAGTACTTTTACTACAGTTTTGCTAGTTTTTTTATCATATGAAGGTAGAGCTAAAATTTTAGTACTTTCAATAAATATAATATTGATGACATAATTTACTGTATTTATATCCCCTCTCAAAGGAAATCATACAAGTTTGAGGATAACAAGGCACATAGTTACCCATTTATATGTGTTATTGTGATTAAATAAAAACCATTTGATTGCTTTCACAGTAATGTCACAATAAAATGATAGTACTGACAAACCTTACCAAGTTCCATATATTTAAACATTCATGTAATTGTGTGTATAATAACAACCTTCAATACACTATTCAGGCCTATTCTGAGTATCACATATTTTTAAAAAATGCATTACTATAAAGACCACACTGGCAAATACAAAACAGCATTCTAAAAAACACAGTATCTTGAACAGACAAAAAAAAAAGAAAGAAAGAAATGACCTATCAATGGAAATACTTAGCTACTCACTGGCAGATCAATGATATCAAGGAAGCAAAACTTTAAAAAAATTATCCCCCTACCTGAACTGGTGCCTTTCAAAATTGGTGCACATTGGAAACATTTTCCGCAACTAACCCCAAAAGAGCACCCCTCCCCAACCCCCATTCTTAGAAAGAGACATAGCTGAATCTATTATTTTGGCTTGGAAAAGAGGGGAGGGTATCTCCACTTATGCCACCTTGAACCTATTCATACCATACCTTGGTCTGATCTATCAACAACTGCAAGTAAGCATCTGTCTCTGCCACTTTGCTATCAAATTCTGCTGTACTAGGGATGTGCTTTGACTCCCTCTGCTATAAACAAAAACAACTCAAAATGACTTGAAGAAATAATGCCATTAATATATAAATATTGGACTTCACACTCACCCTAGATACTAATTTAAAATAATTTAAACTAAAATCATCTTATGAGACTAAAATGGCCCTCTACATGCAAAAAATATAAATTGAGTTATCAAATACCTTTTTAATTCTATTCCCACTGCAAACAATGGCAATTTCTGTTAACAGGAATGATGATGCATAATTTGCTGCGCCTCAACCAAGATAATGCAACAGTGAGTCACTCAGTGTGATTCACAATAGGAAATTTCTCTTCTTTTTTATTTACCTTACTCAGTGGCTGTGTGTGCCTGAGAATAGCCTCCTCCAGGCCTCCAATCCACCGCTCACGTTCTTCAGCATCTCGAGCTGAAGCAAAAGACATTACATATATATATTATGCACTAGACATCCATTTATTCTTGTGTATTGATCAGAATATGATCCACATGTAAGCTAATTGACTGGATGATAATACTGTGCACTGGATTGGTATTACTTTAGCAGACACTTCTACATAACCAATATTAGCCTGTGTATGTCATTAAGGGAAATGACTTGCAAAAATAATAATAAATAAATTACTCAAATGAAAGGCACAGGTTTTACGATGCACACTAAACAAATGAAATTCAGAAGAGAGGATCAAACATTTATTGAACCAAATTTCCAATGGATGATTCAGAAGGTGTCCTCGTGGAGGTGCAGTACAAATGATACCTCAATATAGGTCAAATCAGATTAACTTCAACAACAATGAAATGACCTGGCAAACAAATAAGGTCAAACACAACGTATCTTTTTCTCCTTTAACACACACACACACACAGAGAGAGAGAAAGAGAGAGAGAGAGAGAGAAAGACAGAGAGAGAGAGGGTCGTACATATGCAGGCATGCATGCACGAACAATAAATAGAAGTACATTATCCATAAATGCATGCTTGAATGCTCCATCTTCAAATGTCTAAAAATTTAGAATGAAAAAAATATTACTTGAAATCTTTTCTAGATAATCCATTACCTTGAAAATGGAAGGTTTTCTGGTCTACAGTGATGGTAAATGTACTGTCATCTTCATCATCAATACCAATTATAGCACCCTTATGAGCAAAATATTAAATAAAAAAATGGAAGACATAATAATTGCTCAATTAAATTTTTTATCTGTACGTGTCAGTGGTGTAAATATTGAATCAGTCCAGAAACCACTAGCAATGGTTTAACCTGTGGATGCAATCACCCTGTGGGCATCAACCAAGACAGCCTAAAAAGAGGCTGACAGCAGTGCATGATATCATGCAAGCCTAAAATAGTATAAGACGGTTAGACCCCATTCCCATAGATTTTAGATCGATCTATCCCTGTGGGGAGTCTCACTAGATTACTGCCAGCTTAGCCGGCTTAAGCGTCTGTCCCGCCTACTAAAAGCTGTAAGGGGATAATTAACTATGGTGCGCGCTCGGCTGACTGCAATTTAGCGTGAACCCCCAGGGAGTTAGGTCGATCTAAATCTAAATCTCTGGATCGATCTAAATCTCTGCGAATGCACTCTACGATTCTGCATGAAATGGGGTAAATTTTTGAGTGATAAGGGGAAAACTCTATGCACCAGGAATTTTGTCTTCAAAGACAATACAGAAATCACATACAAAGCATGGGGGGACAGAGGGGTCCTTTCTTTAGAAATTTGGGAGACACAAAAAACTTTCACAATCTCCCCCTCCCCCCTTCCAACACACCAGTGTCTGCACACAGGCGTCTTAGAACACCTAACTACATGTACCAAGTAAACAATATGACTTTGTTTCAGATTCACACTCAAGACTTAATTGTAAGGGACACCTGTAATTTTGTGTCCTTAGCAGCGCGACATGCCTCAAACTGAGGGACAATACTGATTTCAAAGTGTGACTGATGCAGCCCAGATGCAACACTATGTACTGTTGTGTAATAGACTGCAATTCGGCAGAAACAACAACTATAAAAAAGCCCATCTATATATCCTGTCAGCCATTATTTCTAACTCCACTCTCTTCCAAACTGCAAAATATCACTCGATTTTAAACCTTTTCACAAACTTTTGGTCTATCTTGGATGATGCCCAATATATAATATAAGCACAGAGAAACAAGTATACACTTCTTAAAACCTTAGTTCCTTATTATACATACAAGTCTTGGTTTCAACTCCAAAACTGATTTGTAGTAAAAATTCAATACACTGTTGATTGATAAAATAATTTTGGAAAATAATTATTGTGAACATTTTGAATATTGCATTTTTATGTGTACAAAAAATAAGTATTTACTGATGGACATTTTGGACTCTTAGCTAAAACTTATTTTGAAATTCATAAAAGATCGAAATTCAGACATGCTGAAACTGTCGGTCCGATCGGTCATGAACGGGAAAATTTGTCTGGACCGGTAAAAAACTGGACTTGGTCGGTCCAAAGGACTGACAAGAGTTTTAAGAGCCGCAATTTTTAATTTACAGTCAACATCCGACATACGTCACTAATAAAATTATATAAAATCCAAAGCGTTTTTTCCCTTCCATTTCAAACCTATCACATTCACAAACAAAGTAAGCTACCCTAATCGTACTGGTAGTATCTGTCTCAAACGAATAGAGTGATTTTGAGTCCGACAAAAATCCATACGGCCCAGCAAATTTTTCATTACTGCCGGTTCAAATGTCCGGCCATTCTGAAAAGTTTTCAGCATGTCTGTAAATTACACACCCATGAATTCTAATACTTTTATCATTATACATATCACTTGGTTAGCAGTACAAAAACTAATACAATATATACATCCTTCCCCATACCAATATCATACTAGTAAATGGTTGCAAGTAACAGCAAAAATTTTTCTATTTAGTATGCATATGTACTTACTTTAATATTTTTTAGAAAACTTTGCTTTTATATACACTTTTTCAAGCATGCTTAACTATGTAATTTGACTTCAAAAAGATTTAGATATGGCAAATGCTGAATACTATCTATCTGAAGGTAAGAACTTGAGCTAGCAGTTTTTGCACTAATTTCTCTTGAGCATAATACTGACCTTTAATCGAACACAGCCTCTTCTGGAGCCTCTCATCATCTTCTCTTTAGACTAAAAAAATAAGATGATTCTAAATTATAAATGCAAATCTTGTCAAACAAGACCAACATTTATTTCCCTCAAGACAAATTTTTGCAAACTGAACATCCCAATCCAAACATTTAGTTATGTTCTTGGGATGTAGTGAATACAGTTTCTGATTAACTCCCAAACAATCAATTATTGATTTATGAAATGCATACAAAAATATCCAAGGATTGCAAGTGTTAAGGTTTTATAATATTTCACAAACTTTCTTCACCTCTCTATTTTCTGCAGTAAAAGTTTGTTATCTCTTTGTTTCACAAGGAAAGTAGCTAGCATTTGCAACTCGTCTCAACTCTCTAAAGTAAATTCAAGTGAACAGAAGAAGTAAATATAGCATTACCTCTGGTTTCAAATAAATAGCTTGAATAACATTCCACTCATTACAAAAAAAAAAATAATAAATAAATAAATAAATAAAAACACTATACTGTCTGGGGAACAGACAATGATATACTGTTTGGAGCAGAGGGCTGGTTAACAGAGTTAGCCCCATTTCTTGATGTTTGTTATACTTACATTATGTGGATACTTAGTACATATGAGAAATGAAACAAAAGTGCTAATGCATGATCTTTAATGCTGGTTTTCTATGACAGGTAAAATGCCAAAACACGGAGTTAGGACCTTTGTCTCTCTCTCTCTCTTTCAAGTGACACTGAAATGTGCTGATTAACAACTTGTAGCAAATCAAATCTTCAGCAATATATTAAGGATTAAAAACATTAGTAACAATGCTACAGGTTGGTAATAAGGTCTAATGCTAGACGAGAGCATGGTTATCATATACATTATCAATATTTGGAGTAAGCAAGAGTCGAGAAACAATGCTTCCAGTCTGACCATTTAGAATTCTGCAAACTCTAACTAAATCCATTAACACTTATCACCAGATGCACCATATTTACTTCAGAAACTTTCATTTTGTGTGAAACTAATGCAAAACGAATAGGCATGAAAAAGAAAAACACACGATGGCAGTAGTCACCCGGTAGTTACATAGGTAATCGACCTGGATGCCACTGCACGATGCAGTGAGAAGCATGAAATACACATACACTTGTACAAATCTAAGCACATGATATTGCAGACAATAGTTAAAGGATGAAGCACATACCGTATAGTATGAAAGCAGTCCAGTATTTTCGTCGAGGACGAACCACCGGTACTGCCATCCCTTCATAACATTCGTCCACTTGCTCAGCGGACCCTCTATAGTCGCCATATTTCTGCGGAAGTAATGTGTATATTGCCTCATTTTCAATAACCAATTACCTTTTTGGAATTTCGAACCAACCAATCAAATTGGAGCACGAGATTTAAACACCCTGAGATCAAAATAATGGGATCAGGTACTCGTTTCAGATCATATTTTTAGCGGATTTTATAAAGCGGATAAAAATTCCACACCAAGTTGCACTATGGATAAGACAGGAACCCTTATGGGTCCTTACAGGGCAACAAGACTGGTAAGTTGAAATAAATAATTTCATTATTTATTCATTCAAAAAAAATCTGTTCTCATTAGGTTGAGAAGTAATGTCTACTGAGGAGTACAAATAAAATTTGCTGTGTAATTGAAAAAGTATGTATACGTCTGAATTGATATGGTACGTAGAGAACCAGACTAAGTATTTGAAACCCTCTCTTTCTTATGGATTTGATTTGGGGGTAAAATATTTCTCTCCGCTCCACGCAGATATATTCCCGTAGACCCTATGTACATCAATATAGCATTGTATTGAAAATTGTAAGATTGTTCATCACAGCCAGAATATTTCTACATAGATTGACAAATATCAGTTTATCAATATGTTACTGTACAGTGTCAAAACATGTGGTGTATAATGTCATATTTTTATGAGTTTTTAAATCTTGATCTCATTTCATTGTGTTGTTAATGTAATACTTATCACAAGGAATGGATGTTTGATGCAACCACGCTCGGCTGTCACCTTGATTGGATAGTAAACGATTGTCGTAAAATCGCTAAATGATATTAAAACCGGGTGCATAAACTTGAAAACCACCTAGGACAACCTTAGACTGCCACATTAATCCAATACAATGCAAAAATAAACTATAACTAGTGGTTAAAGCTTTCAAACCGAATGTCGTAAAGTCCCCATATACCTCCATAGAGACAATAAAATAGAGTGAGCTTGTGAAACAAGAGTAAACCATTTTCAACATAATAATCGAAATAAAATACTGCCGGGCATCGGAGCGGCCTAAAACTTGGCACGCTTACCGCAAATACTGCAGGCTACATCATCCCGTCGCTCGTTTGTAAGTTCCGTGCATGGCATACGCACAATCAAACCGTATATCCAAATTCCACCTCTGATGTTTATTTCGGTCCTCTCTAACCTCCCATTACGAAAAAGAAGCCATGCCATTGGACAATGCGACCTCTGCGGTTACGTCATTTCCTGAATTGGATTGTAGACAGCCGAGCGTGGATGCAACAAACAAAATACATGAATGGCAATTTGTTACAACAAAGAAAAATAAAGAAAAATAAAGTAAAATTTTTAAATATACCTTCAAGAAATTTCCTGTGCTTCTTCTACTGGGATGTCTTTTTAGAATGCATCAATTCTAAACATGCTTGGTACAGAAGTGAAGAGATTTACTGGTCAAGTTATTATTTTATAATGATGGATTGTTTACTGTAAACATTGACACATTTCCCATCATCCTCCACACTACATGTCCTTATAAGCATGTATAAGAATGCCTGAGCCTTGTTATAGAACTATGGGTCATTCAAATGTTTTGGCGTGTTAGAGACTATAATCTTTACAAAATTTCATTTGATAGTTACATACTCTTCTATAAACTTTTTAAAGAAATTCAAGTTTTATGTTTTCACAAATAAAATGCTCTCCCATTGTTCACTTCCTTTGCCATGCTTTTGAAAAATCAAAATGCCCAAATGGAAATTAGTGTTATATATTCAATATAACATTTTATTGGTTACTTATTGATGAATGGAAGTTTTTTTTTCTGCAATTATCTGCTGGAATTAACCCTTTCTGCAATTTTTAACACATTTTGTAATGTTATGATTGCCTTTTCACATGGAGTATTTTATCTTTCATTGAAGAGAGAAGGGAAGGGTAATATGATGGTACAGGTTGATACTATAAATACAAAGGGAATACCCTTAAAAAAGACACAATGAAGATAATATTTCGCAGCAAAATCTGCTGTACTTGCCTCTTAATACATACAATAACCTGAATTTATCCTGAACACTTTTTCAAACAAAAAAGCAAATCAAAACAACCTGACAGTAAACACAGGAAGGCTTTAAGTTGTTCATTTTCATTGCCATTTTGTTCATTTCAAATTTTATGAAATGGCAAGCTTTCTGTACATGCCCAAACATTTAATTCCTGTCCTGTTCTTATACAGAATAAAAAATCTACATTTTAAATGTAACAAAGAAAGAATTGACTCTTACAATGTTGATATTGCCTGTGTCATTTCCTCTGTAATAGAAAGCAGTTGTTGATCAGCTGTTGGATAGTTAATAATAATAATAATAATAATAATTTATTCGAGCATTAAATGTGGCAGTTACATTTGTTAGCCCTCTATACTACAAATATATAAATAAATAAATAGTTATACATCACTATGGATTACTACTAATACAGTGTTTAAGATTATTAATTACAGTGTATACGTTGTTTAAAATACTTATTACAATTGTAAATAGTTCAATACACTGAGGGAACACACATTTTCTTTGATAGGCTTATAGCTATATGTATCTAATGTGCCATACTTAAGGTTCATATAATATATAGCAGGATGAGGCTACTTCAGTGTGGCAGATGCTCATTTCTTTTGGAAATTGCCCTCTGAATGTATTTACCAACAGCGTACAATTCTTTCTCATTTTCTGGGCTTAGTATGATTTTAACCTTCTCGTCACTGCTTGCTAGGTGATGCATGTCACATTTAGGGAATTGTTTTAACATGCCCTCCCTCTCTTTTACATGGTGTCTACATTCTAGTAGGAAGTGCACTTCGTCCTCGATTGCAGGACAGTGGGGACAGAATCGTTCCTCGCGTGGTGTTTTAGGTCTGGTGTAGCGTCCTCTTTCCATTTCCAGGATATGATCACTGACTCTAATTTTAGCCACTTCCCTTTTTAATGACTATCAACTTTTGTTGATAATGCCTATGAAAAATTAATGTAGTCTGGTGATCACAGACCAGGCAACATGTTTGAAGTTTTAGCTAGCAGATCATGTAAGAGATGTTATGACTCAATTACATGGCTAATTAATAGGATTACTGCCAAAATTTCTTATCTTTAATATCTTACAGATGTCAAAGTTGAATTTTGGATTGTAATCCTGATGGATACATGTTTATTTTAGCGGAGGCACCTGTTGACATGCTAATAAAATGACATGCAATATCGTTTTATAACAAAACAACAGTGTGATATGAGTTTGTTGGGCTGCAAATAAGTGTGGTTTGATGAGGTGTTGTTGCATGAAGATTGTCTGCTGATTTTTTTTTTTTTTTTTTTGACAAAGAAAAATAGATAAATGGATAAAAATGATTGTTGCATGAAATATTACTAGAACTTTTGAACATCAAAAATTAAATTATTCTGTATTTTTGCAGTGGAATGATATCATCACCACCTTCCGCAGTGGGATGAAAGTGGGACGTCATAGGAAGGCCATGAAAACCTATGATGATTGCTTTGTGGCCTCTGAGGCCATTGACTGGATGCACAACTGTTTGCAGACAAACCCTAACTTTGGACCAGAAGTAACAAGGTTAGACAGTTAAATCGCATTGATAACTTTTTTTTAAACCTGAAAGTATATTTGTAATGAATGAAAAATTTTCAGTTTTCTTAGTCAGTATTCTGCATTTATAGTATTTAGTATGTAGCGTAATATAGATCTCGTTATCAATTTTGTTTTCATTTTGTTACAAACCTATTTAAGAGTTTTGTTGATAATGCCTATGAAAAATTACCTAACAAACATATTATAATTATAATAAGTACATCTTTCTTGCCCCAGGCAACAGACCATTCAGCTGATGCAGAAGTTTTTAAAATCAAAGGTTTTTGAGGATGTCAGAGGAGCAAAACACAATAAAGAACAGTTTGAGGACAATTCAAGGCTTTACAGGTTAGAATAGAAACTAGGGAGTATCTGGTTTGACTTTTATTTATCTGAAAAGTGAGTTTTGGTGTGTTTACATAAAAAAGGGTAGAATTTATGTGTAAGTTTAGTGTGAACACAGTGATATTTCATTTGAATCCTTGAAGTCTCTCTCATTTTCAGGTTCACTCAGACATCCCCTCTCCGCCCCATCCGTACTCCCCTCAGACAGAGAAATGGCAACAGTGACCACTTGGCCCCTTCCAGACACCTAGACTATGACCAGCTTAAGAAAGTGACCTGCATACCAGAGGCTGGACTTCCAGAATGCAAACTGGTTGCTAAGCCACTCAGTACAGAGGAGATAGAGAATGAGTACAAGAACATTACCTTAGGAGGGTAAGGACTATACTATTAAAAATGAAACAATTTAAGTGTTCAAACTGTCTGGTAATGATGTGATAAAAATATAGTTAAAAAGCACCCTTTATAAAGAGTAAATTGATTGGACAGATGATTTTACTCTTATAGATTAGCCAAAATTATTACATTTTTAGGTCTTGGTTACATTGTCACTTTGCACAATTGAAATTATACTCATTGTGATAAAAGTTCTGCATGTTTTACTATTGTATGTCTTAAGCTTGATCTTACTTATTTGAAGATTAAGCCAAGGTATCATTTGTAAGGTCAACACCGTAAGTAGTTCAGAGTATATAATGTCAACAGAAGCCATTTGTTAGAGTGCACTAATAACATTTGTCTTTTTAGCACCCATTTGGGAAATGTCTCTGATTAACCAAATATAGTACTGTTTTTCTTATTTAGTTTGCGCAGGATTTTAGGGGTTGAATCTCTGGAGGGTATATTAGACAGAGAGGAGGTCAGTGGAAAGTACATTTTCCATAACATGAACTTTGTCAACAAGAATGGAATTGTTACAAATATTGAAAGAAAAGGTAAGTTGTAAAGATGTTGATATTGATATTGGGTTAATTCAGAGTCTTCTCATTGTTAGTTACAGTTTTGGTTCAATGATTTATTTTTAACAAAATGTCACCCAAGGATTGAATTGCCAGGCTTTTTACTACAGAATACTTTAATAATTTTTATTTAAACTTTTTGACCACTTCAGACCAGTTACCAGTGTGGATTTTATCTGCCATGAAGTGCCTGGCTTACTGTGAGTACTGAGTACTAAAACATATGCTTTCTCACAATATTAAACATTCATTTTGTTTACTGGGCTCAGTCTAGCACAAGTTTTATTATATCTAAATAGCTTAATTTTTAAATCACTTTTTAGAGAAATGGAGTCAAAACAGTGACATAAAAGGCAAACTTTTTGTTGTTGATATTTCTTTTTGCCTTATAAGAGTCTGACCAAATATTTAAGTGCTTGCATATGCTTATGAGAGAACTGCATTTCTGAAAACTGTCAGAAACAGTGTTTTACACAAATTTATCTGAAAATACCAGGTTATACATGTAAATAGATTTTCAACTTTTGTTGTATAAATTCCACAAAATCATTTTCCTACCTCGTTAGTGAATTCACGTGCTATTTTGTCTGCAGGGCCTAACAACAAAGATGACCGTCTCCCAGACTATCCTGGCTTTGAGAGAGATGTGTTTCGTGTGGTACAGGATTACTTCATTGCTTTAGAAGAACCACTGCTTACCTTTGACATGTATGACGTTTTCATCAATGTGTTGTGTAAGTATATAGCAGATGGCTAACATGGCAGTTAAGCTGATATAACCATAATTTTCCTGTTGCACCAGTCACAAACTGTCAAAATATTCTTCTTAATTACCTCATCTCCTCAGTCCTCAAGCACCACACTATCAAAAATTCACCTGCATTATATGGATATCAAAACCCTTCCATAACATGTTTTATTTTAAAGTGCAATGATTTAATAATCATTATATTCATCATATTAGCAGTAACATCTAGTATCTGTAATAAACCTCTCCTTTTAAAAACCGGTAAAGCATTAAAGAGGTTCTCCAGATGGCCATATAAAGCAAGCAAAAAAAGAAACTGGACTCGAACACTTTGGTGTTTCTGGTTGACTTTTATTACATATTTCAAATAGTTCACATATAGCAGCATGTTGCACATTAAAGCATTAATGGCATGGGCATGTGTTTTTGCTATGTTACAGCTAGAGCAGAAAATATGGGAAAAGAAAAGGAGTCTAGCAGCACTAATAGTAGCAAATCTACGAATAAGACTGGTAGTCGAACCAGTTTGAACTCTTTTGCTTCAGTAGAAAACCTAATGCTGAATCTGACCAATCAGGGCTGGGGTAATATGGCAGCAAAGAATCCCTTTGATAACTATGCCAGACAAAGTGTGAGCTGTCTCAACTTGTCCAGGATAACTCCTGTACCTGAGCAGATGCTTTACAGATATGACTCCACAAACAGTGTAACCCATTCTAAGTATGAAACTGAGTTCAGTGGGGAGGGCAATGCAGCCCATACTGTATATCACGAGCACCCTCAGACATTGTCCTCGGATCAGGGTCATGGTAGCTCTTATAACACAACCACCTCACACAGCCGCAGCAGGCAGGCTTCAGCACCATCAAACTTGAAAAGGACATCTCAGCAGTTTGCATCAGTCCACAATCTAAACCAGGAGGACTTGGACAACAATGTCAGGGATGTGGAACCTAACCTTCTTACCTCACACAACAAATTTTACTCAACAACTCATCTCAATACAGCAGAGCAGTTTTTGTCGCAGGGTGGACTTCAGCAGCACAGGGATATTATGGGCTCCCAGAATACTGCCAGTACATTCAGCATGGCCAGTACACATTATGGGGGGCACTCACAAGGTGCATCAACTTTTGGATACTCAGGGGGACAGGTGACTAGTATTTACGGCTCAAGACTCAGTCGTTGTCCCTCAGGGTGGGACTTTAGAGGTTCCACAGCCACACTGGACAGACCAAGGAGTGTCCGTTCAAGAGCCTATGATGAAAATAGTGAATCAGAGCCACCTAGACCCAGGGATCCGCCCAGTTATAAACCTCCACCAGCTTATAATGTTGTTGTCTTCAACCGTGAGCATCAACCTGTCATATCAGGGGCTGCTCTGAGGAGAAACATCAGCAATAACAGTAACAGTGGTAATGGCAATAGTTCCTCTTCCACAAACTACTACTCTGCCAGAAGCCAGCAGTGGTCAGAGTATGAAACTGCCAGGGCCAGTCCTTATGACAACAGATTAGAGTCTGTAGATATTGCAGAAGAGGAATTGTCTTCAGGGTACAACAGGTTAAACAGTGATGTTGACAGGTATAACAGTGATGTTGACAGGTATAACAGTGATGTTGGCAGATATAACAGAGATGTTGGCAGAACTTCATTCAGGAATGTGAACAACAATGGCACTAGTGTTGGTAGGGTCAATGAAAGCAGGAATGAATCTAGACCTACAGGTACTACTGCACTTGCTGCAATATATGCACTATTATGTAGTTCTGTACAAGTAGACTGAACTGAATACTAATCATAAAAATTTGCACTTTAGTTACAGGATATATTTTATTTTATTATTATTATTATTATTTTTTTTTTTTGCATGAGTAGATAAAGGACTTCATTACATGAGCTTGCATATTCTTTATATATTTTGTGTAACTACTATCTATTTAGAATGCTGTAGAAAGGATATTGCAACCTTTTTTAGCATGTGATTGATATAGTATTTTATGCACATAAACATATTGGTAAAATCCATTCCCCATGCTAATATTTCTGTTGTTGGTCTTATTGGTATTACTTACAGCTAACATAGTGTTATATAATTTCAGGTCTGTTCATGACTGAAGAAGTAGTGGGATGTGTTCAGAATGCTCTACAGACGTGCTGCCTGTTTCTTCCTCCAGCAAGGAAAAGAAAACTTCACTTATTATTAAGACTGATGAGCCTAACAAGTCACAACAGAGAACTTGTTTTAACTGATACCACCACAACAAGGCAACTGGTAAATAGAGTGCAGAATTTGTGTTTCTTGTATAATATTACATGTTCAAGCAGAAGTGATCATTAATTTATTGCTCCAGTACAACCAACAGCATGCTGTGCTGGAAAAAATACTTCAATTTTTAGCACGTTTTACTTGTCTCTCCCATGCATAATAAATATAGCTTGCAATGTTTGTTACATGAAACAGCATTTAGAACAGAAACGGCTGACATTTTGCTCGTGAACTTATTCTACTATTAAATCAGGTGCTGAGCACTTTCTCTCGCTGTATCCTGCGCAGCAAGGAAGAGGTGGACCTTGACGAGCTGCTGTCTATGAGGCTGGTTGGGTTCATGATGGACCACTATGAGGACATTTTATCTGTACCAGAGCACCTCAAGAAACAGGTGGATGACAGAATCATCCATCTCAGGAGGGCCAGGGTAAGGAGATGAAATACATATATACATTAAATGTGCATTTAACTGCATGGTTGTTCTGCAGCTGCATGGATTGACTTGAAATGTGTATTTACAAAATGTTTATAACTAGTAATTAAATGACTTATTTCAAGCAGCCTGTTGGCAGAAACATAGAAGCAATATACTATATTAAAATTCCATATTTTATAGTATTCTTTTTTGTTTGTTTGAAATAATTTCAATTTTTTAACTGTAATTGAAAGAAAAAGCTAAAATATGTCACTTCAATTTGGCCACACCCATTACTTTTAAATATTTTATTTTTGTTCATTTATATAACCATATGTGTAATTTGCATTTTACTAACATAATCACAATTGTGTTATGAATGGGTCCACAGAATTGTCTCCCTGTACTTGTCTTTGACATCAGGTTGTTTAATTGTTAAACAGCAGTTTTGTTTTAAAGCACACCACATATACTGCTTGCTTTTGGTCTTTTAAGAACTAATAATCTACTTTTTCTATGCAAGTTTACCTGTTTCATGCTCAAAGTAAACATACACTTTGGTCAGTGCTTGCTTTCCCAGTTTTCAGAGCTGCTACACTCTTAACTGTCATGCACATAAGATAATATAAGAAAAGCAGAAGTAGTTTCAATTTTCATTGTTTTGCTTATTTCATTTGCTTTTCTATCAAATAGTATCGCATCTCATTTATTTCAAATAAAGTATTGTATTTGAAGTATAATTATTTATTTGACAATGGCTATGTAGTGCTCTGCTCAGTTTTGCCATGGTCTTGGTATTTTGTATAAATGAAAACTAATGTATTGATAGCTTATTCTTTGCTTTGCTTTGCTTTCTTGTGCATCAGTATTTAATAGTCAAAGGCTTACAATAATAAAATGATTACTCTGAATCTAGACATGCTGTTATCCCTCTGCAATATGCATGCTCAGCACATCAGTTCTATTGATACTCTGTTAATACTGAAATTTTCTCACTGCCATTTTACTGCTACTGCTACATGCACATAGCAACTGCATCATCACCACTTGTGTTTTGTGCAGAATTAACTTTTTGGTTTACATCTTTTCTATCATGAATTCCTCTAACATATTAATAATATTAGATATCTCTTGGAAGAAGGTAGATTGGTGAAGTTTGGTGAAGATTAATTTAGTATAAAAAGTACTGGTCTAAATTAGTAAATGGTTTGTTGGTTGTAAAGTTTAAAGGTAGACTGTAATTCTGAGAAACTAGAGATTAGGTTTGCATTCAGAACTTTTGCCAAAATGCCCATGACCTTATTTTTCTATATAGTGATTGAAAATCCTAAGTTCTTCAAGTATGTCAGCCAATCAGAAATAAAAGAAAGTGCTGTAGTCATGGAAATGCCAAGGTGGTGATGTGTGATAACAGAGTTGGTAATAACCAGTACTTAGAAACTCGGGTGTTTGTATACCACAGTTGAGCTGAACATGCATTTATTAAATTATTTTGCACCTGGTGTTGCTTTGCTTAACAATCTTTACATTGTGTGGTGTGCTTTCTCTTCCCACATTGCAGATAGTTTACACACTGGATGATACTCCAGGACTTACTTATTGTGAACAGGTAACACTGAAGGAATATGAGAGCCAGAGACTGGGCCACTCACAGAGAGCAGTATCAGAACTGCTAGAGAACATCATCAGAGACAAAACTATGGGAGATAAAGAGAAAAAGAAGAAACTGAAACAGGTGATTTTTTTTCCTGTGGAAAATAATTTAAAATAGATGTTATTTACAAATGCCAGAAAATGCATATTAGGAAAAGATTACAGAAAATAGATTTTGTTTTGGTTGTGTTGAAATGATATTTATTTATGCTGAAAATGGGGTTGTTTAACTTGACCCATATCCTTAACTTAAAACACACTGAACCTGTCCAATATTATTTCTTTTCAGTTCAAGAACAGTTACCCAGAAATCTATTCTCACAGATTCCCAACAAGTCAAAGTGAAGCAGACTTCTTTCCAGCAAAACCCAAGATCAAACAGCCTTTGCTCAGCCGTCCTTTGCAGAGATTGAGATCATTGAGGTTCTGAATTGATCAGGGATTTGATGGAGCTTGAATAGACTTGAACATGTTGAAATCCTGGAGAGTGATTATTGGCCATTTTATGCATGTTTAGTTAGATTTCCGACATCAAGATCAATGCAAGAATGCATGAGGAGTTGACTATTTGTTTGTGTGATATCATTTGACATAACAAAATTTTATCAATGTATAAAAGAAAAGATATAAATATTTGTTTGTGTGATATCATTTGACATAACCAAATTTTATCAATGTATAAAATAAAAGAATTAAATATAAGCTATAAGCACTGTTATATGTTTAGGAAGAATCGCTCAAATATTGCAAATTCTTTAAAATAGTTTTGATTTATCTGATAAATCTTTCATACTGTTTAAAAAGTATTGTGGTTTTATAAAATATTCCTATGTTGCTTTTAGAGTCTTTTTTACTTCAACTTTAATGCTACAGAGAAAGATGTCTTTGTGTGAGAATTTAGTAATGAGGTTTATCTATTTTCTGTTCCAAATTTCTTGCTGTTTGAATATTTTTTGTTTCCTCCAGTAGTATCAGATCCTTGAAAATCTTGAATTTTTTCATTTATATGTGTTTATACCATCTTTTTAAAAGATTGCCATTGTTCATCATCTGATTCATTTTGTATGTCATATTAAGCACCAAAATTACAGTAAGCAATTCACAAATTTTCATTGTGCACATTGTGTTTCATGTATAAAGTGTGGCAAATGGGAAAAGAAAAACCATTTATTGACTATAAAAGAAGCATGGGATTAGGAACTGTTGCAACTTATGATAGTCAGAATGTGATGTTAGACAGATATTAAAAAGTTGCTTTTTGTGAATTAAGAAACTTAGACAATCACTTGCATATTTTAATGCCTTCTGGTCCTGTTTCTTTTAAATTGGGTGGTCAGTAAGTAGGTTTCTATAAAAAAATTGAGTAAAAGTTCCAGTTTTCATGATATTTGCTGTAACATGTATCCAGAATGGAAGTTTTATTTTCTGAGTTGAGTGTTATTTTTAATGTAAATGCTAATGAAACTAGTCAAGTTTTTTTTCTCTCTCTCTCTCTCTTTTCCATTTGCAGCATTTTTGTAACAATGGTTAAGGAATTGTCATTGAACAGGTTGAGCGAACAGGGTGATTGTGATACATTCAGTGCCAATGATTAAGTTGTAGTTGAAGGCTTTTTTCCTGGTAGTCGTAATAAATTGATATATTAAACGTAGAAGAGCAAAATGGTTTTATGGTATTTTTAATACAAAGATTGCAATCTTTTGCTATTGATAATGCTTTCTTAATGCTAAAGGTATATCTATATCATTTTTCACTTAGTTTGTATCAGGGCAGTTCTCACATTTAATCAGTTTAATTTAATCTTGCAGTATCCATTGCCCATTTATTGTAAAAGACATAAATGTTGTCATATTTGTATTGTACTGACTGCTGCAGATGAATGTACTGCCTAAATTTTTTTTTTTATGGAACAGCTGGATGGGCTGTGCAACCTTTTTAAGTATTTCACCACCGTGATGACCCAAAACTGAATTGTAAATAGTATTGTAAATGAAAGACAATACAGTTTAACAAACTATTCATCTTTGTTTTGAAATCTACTCTCAATCGTACAGAAAGAAGATATGAAGGCTTTCCGTAGCACTGCAGTCCTAGCAATTTAGAAATCGGATCTGTCAAAAAGTAATAACATCTACTGTCAGTTTCAATAAAAGCCAAAAGCCCTGTGGTCGGATAATTATTTCAATGTTAACAGAAATCGTTAAAACGCAAGTCTTCATAAATGAACATAGCAAATGTAGTTTATTTTTGTATTTCCTTTTACAATAAACTGGATCTGCCATGAATGAAAGTTAGGTATTTTCTCATGCTAGACATGAATGCATTTTTTTCTTGTAATCTTGCAACTGTCATAAAAACGAATAACAATAGTGGTCATGTAACAATCTTTGAAAAGAAATTTATGTCTAGCTAGGTACATAGATGTTTTAAAACAGTTTCTAAGGTTTGCATAGGTTACTCCCAATTTTATTCCTTTAAATTNCTTTAAAGGCTGAGTACGCATGCGCAAGCATATCTCATTTAAGCCCTCCCTCATTTTTACACTCACAGAATTACAATCAAACATCGACTTAACCAAGGTAAGTCTCGTTTAATTTTAAATTTTTATATAATTTTGATTCATAAAAACTCCTCAGTATTTTACAGTTTTTGACTTCATTATTATTTTCCCAATACTTAATCATCACATTTATAATTAAAAATTATGACAATAATTCAGATTGTCTAACAGTCTAGATTTAATGCTTCATTTCAGAGGTGCACAAAGAAGCTAACTACATGATCAAAATGTCTACATTCAGAGGTTCTCTTATCAAGCTGTGATATCCATTTAAACTATGCACTGGTGTAAGTCTGAAATCAGTTTCCAAGCTGTGCACACACACACACACAAATAAAAAAAACTGATTGCCATGTTCTACTATCAACACCAATATAACAACTAATAATAACAAAACCATTACTTCCTGAAGTATGTTGTAAATTGCATAATGCTAAAATCCAATAAAATAAGACTAAATATGGAATGTCAAATACAAAATATCTGTTCTAGGTTTACAGTATAAAATGCTGTATGTTACTGACTTATGCTGGGAAGAAAGATCAATCTCCATCTTCTCACAATTATCTGGTACATTCTAAACTACTGAGCCACTTACTAAGAGCACCTAACTTAACATACTGTGAATACACCTCAATACATTCATGAAATGCCCAACACAATTGTTTTAAGATGTCCACAAATCAGTTTTTGAATGTCCACAAGTGCTTTAAACATTCATATTTATATATACGTATATCACACTCTAATGCACTCTTGGCATTAAAATATTTATTGCTCATTGTATGAGAATTCTTGTCTTTAGCAGTCTTGTCTTGTATGCACAAAGATATGACATGTAACAGATCTTTAGCTTATATCACAAATTAGAGAAATAGCAAGGACAAAGGACAAAAATAGGAAATCATACAAATGCACAAAACAAGCTATTAAACTTACTGAAAGTTTGCCTTTCTACCTAACCATGTCAGTAACAAAATTCTTTTGCAGCCCTAATCCTTAACACGCTGACACATTAAAAAAACAACATGGCTTTATATTGTATACTCATAATTTGATGGTTTTTGATAAATGACGAACATATTTTTTGAAAAAAAAAATTAAGCTGTAAAAATACTTTTCAGGTCCATGTAAATGGAATGAAAACCTATCTTACAAAACATAAAAAGTACTGTCTTACATCATGGCACAAAAATATTACTTCACAATTCACTTTGCTCTCTCCAAATTCTGCCTAACTGATTCACTATTTCTCTGATGTTGACAAAGTCTTCTGAAACTGATCTACATCTTCTATGGAGTCTCATCCACAGTTTAGAATGCTACAGTAAGCACAACTATCACAATCATGACAAGCTGCATTCATTTCTTTCAATTTGTTTTCCTTTCCCCTTGTGTTGTATTGTAAATCAATGTGCTATACTTTCTTTGGTGCAGTTGTTGGTGGAGGGATATAGAGAGGTACAACTTCAGCTGGTTTGTATTTTCTAAGAAAAAAAAAGTAATAAAGTTGCAATAAGTTGCTTCAGACAGTAAATAACTTCAGTCTGCTTTAACTGCCAACTACATAACCTGAACTTTCGCTTGGAGTCATTTCACATAAAACATCTGCAACATGATTAAGTCACCTCTGAGGTTATCATTAATTAATTAAATCATTAATGGTAAAAGTACTGGTCCAGCAGTGTTAGGTTCCTCAACATTATTATAATGATGACAAAACACAAAACAAAATGATGTCTACAGAGCTGGCTACTCACGAGTATGGTGCTGCTGGGGTGCCCACCACAATGAATGGATTTCCTTTCTGGAACAGTCTCCATGTACTCTAAAATTACAACATGGAATGATGTAATACTTCCCTTTAATACAGAGAATAGTTTATCCTATAAATAAGTAAAGACATTTATAAAGACATTTATACTCGAACTGAATTAGATAATTACATTTACAGCTGTGATTCAGCAGAAACTGTGCATACCTTGTGGAATCCTCGAATATCAAGATCCCATAGTTTCAAGCACTGAAAAGATAAAATATAAAATATGCCAACACCTGATATTATCAAGCCTTTTTCTGTAACTCACATTACAAAACTCATGACTGAATAACAGCATATAACTTTTAACTATACACTTTTTGAAGGTAAAATGACCACCAAATGACCACAAAAACATTAATAAGACTATCTAACCTTGGCTATTCCTTTCCAAGTAGAAAAATCAGAAGCATGATCCATCTTGATATATAAGACATGAGTGACATCTGCTTTGACATCGGGAATAAATGACTCATTGCAGGGGTCTACACTGTGATCCAGCACTGTGGCCCTCTGTATTATGTCATGTAGTAACTTTTCATACTCATCTTTCTTCATTCTGGAAGCAAATATCAAATAATTCATAAAGTGATAAATATGCTCATATGACACACAAAAGAAAAGATGATGACTGATTTTTTGTGGTGTTTAACTATGTAAATTACCAATGAACTTTACAATAGGGATAATTTTACTTTCAATGTTATCCAAACTTCGAATAACAAGCATAAAATTTAAACATGGTCTTATACACGAGACTGAATCAACTTACTTGTCTATGGCTTTTAACTTGACTTTAGCCTGTGTATTCATTTTATGTCTGCTAAAATAGCTTTCTTGAAAGTATGGGTTCATATTTAGTCCAACAGATCCAAAATGAAATGTTCTTGATACATCTGGGATAATGCATTCTCTGTCCTTCCTCTGTCCAGGCATTCTCATCCACATGTCCCAATCCCACAGCTTCAGAATAAAATGAATATTTCATAAATAAATAATATAAATATAAATCAATATTATAAGAGGCATAAATTCATCTTGTGCATGGTCATGAAATGACGAGTTTTTCAAGTTTTAATCTCATTCCAGAATTTCATCTGTGACTCTACATACCGTTTTTTTAATGTACGTAATACATAAAGTAATCACACCGATTCACCATTTATGCTTCCTTGTCCTGACATTTATTTACAATCAAAAACTTGGATATCTATATAAAAACAATTTCCCAGGCACCAAAGCAGCTAGAGATTTATTTATGCTTATATTATTCCAATGTGTTTCTTTCTTACTTTTTCTGGGGTTGGCCACTTTGATTCCAGCTCTTCCTTGTATAATTTTTTCTTCAGCAACCAACCTAGCCCAGGCATTGTCTCTATTCTGTATAAGAGGCTGGGGTCCTTGGAGGAGTCATCATAACCCTGGCAGTAAGAAAGCAGAAATGTAAATTCACTGTTACCTAATCACTTCCATATAAACTACTTGTGTCCTGTTATTAATTGATCTTGAATAGGTGCATTTTTTTCATGCAGCGCCACAATAATAATTCAACACATGAAAAATTTCTTTTTCTAGAGTTACAGATGTTCTGTCATAAAAAGCATATTATTTATGTAACACATGTTGAATGGATTTTACTTTCTTTTTAACATGTGCTAAAATGGGAGTTTCATCATCTCAGGGATGCATCAAGGGAGCAAATATCCAAAACACAATATCTCTCTTTGAAGCAATAAAATTTTGAAAATTACAGCTTTACTTTCAGTCAAGGAATCCAAGCAATGCAAGGAATACAAATCACTCTGCTATAGCCAAATGATGATAAAAAAATGTATAACTTTTGGGAATATTTGGTTGGTACTTGACATACTGGTAGATTAGTACAAAAGAATGGTGGCGGACCCCAGGAAAATCCGTTAATTGACTTTTATAGTCTCAATTATGTCTCCTATAAGGTAGCTAACCTGTTGAAAAAATTAAACTTCACTAACTTGGTCTTGGTTTTCTTAAAAATCTAGAAAGATCATTTTCAAAAAATTCAACCTCCATACCTGATCATTCCATGCTGATACACAGTACAAACTCTCATCTTCTTCTAATAATGGCAGTGTTTGACTAAAATAACTGGAAAAGAGAATGTATATTTTACATTCACCATTTAATTTCACATACATAATGCACATAACTTTCCAAAAAATCTTTATTTTGTAAATCTTTACATATCTGGAGTAGATACTATGAAAACATTGATTTCTTTCATCAAGGACCTACTCAAAGAAATCTGGAGATATGTCCATGTCTTCTTCTATAATGATCATGTACTTAGCATTCTGAAATGGAAAATAAAACCACCTGTTCACTGGAACAAGTTGGAATTGGTTTTCCTTTTGTAAAATACATCAATTTCAATTACAAAATCACATATCCTCAAAAATTAAAAATAAACAAAGTTTACACTTATTACAAAATTACCACATATCATAAACAATATCTCTTACTCTTGAAATGAATAATAAATATATTTACAAGAAATTTATCATTGTTCTTGCAAACACTTTCTATCATTTTGCAACTGAACAGTATAGAAAAAAATATATGGGACAAAAGACAACACATTTTAGCTTATTTCAGTATTAAGTAGTAAGAGGCTTACTGGATGTAAATTGAAAGTGGCAGTCAGGCTGCTTTTATAATGCTGACAAACTCTGGCATTCTTGATCCCCAGTGGTGTGTGCTGGACTCCACGCAAGCCATAAAGCTTGGTCACTTCCAATGGTTCCTGCAATTATATCAAATCTTCAAAATAAAAGAAATTACATTTAGTAGACCAATGCATTTTCAGAAAGACTTCATTTACAAGGTCTTTACCACTGCATCTACATACCTGATATCTTAATTGCCTAGCCCTTTAGACAAAAATAGATAAATGAAAAAAATTTAATAATAAAAGCAATGCCATAAATGATAGAACAGCTACATCCAATTACTATCAGTAGATTTTTTTATTGATATCCCTCTTGTGCAATTCAGAAAGAAAACAACAAGCAATTCACATGCAATAAACTTTGATCATTGATTTTTCCTGAAGTAAAAATGCAAATCCGATATTAACAAGAAACTACTCACCTCAAAATAACCATCTATAAACACTGTAATCAAGTTGGGGTTGGCACCATCAGCTGATAATAGAGACCTCAGCATTCTGAAATGTAAATGAATCCATCATCATTAATACCCAAGTCCAAAAAAATCCCTAAAGATTGAAAAAAAAAAGAAAAAAAAAACATGTCACATCTTTCAGTCTTAACTGCTTCATATTACCTGACAAATTCTATAAAATTTTAACCAAACAACAGCGAATCAACAGTTAATTCTGTACACAGTTTTTGCCTCCTGACATTGTCCACTTAATATTGTCATCGACCTCAGTTGTTCTGATAACCTCAGGTTCCAGATCTATGTTGTGCAATTACAAGGTAATTGTTTGAAGTTTTCAAACCAAATGTTTGGATTTACAGTACAATTTTGATAATTTGACAGAATTTAAAGTTACTAGCAGAGATTTACTTTGGAGAAATGACTGGGTCAAAAGATAATTCCTGGAAATCAAGGAATTCCTTGATCAATCCAACCCTGATACTACGATATTCCTGAAAATTACAGTACCTATAGAGATAATGTGGCCTGTTACTGGCTATCACTGCTACTGGGATATCAGATACTTTGTTGTTGGAAATCTGAAAAAATATTATATAAATGTTTCCAAAATACAGAATAACTACCAATTTTTAATGACATCACTTTTTCTTTATTTTATGACTTTTACAGATATTTCAGCTAATAATATGACATACCACATTAACAAGTCAAGAATATGTGTTTCAGAAAAAATCAATTTACAAGACATATCAGTTGCAATGTTTCTTCATAATTTCTACTCCTCTGGCAATATATGTCTACAGGAAATAGCAGCATGTTATACATCAGGGGAAGTCTTAAAAATGAGTGCATTATGCACTGTTATAACAACAGCAACACCAACTTACAGTGTCTGGTTGAAAAGTGATAGGAGCCGGATCAGTGCAGCTGCAGACACTCCCATAGCCTTCCACCTTGTCACAAAATGATCTGCGTCTTTTGTTCACTTCATCATCAGGCCAGTCACAACCACGTTCTGTAATAAATTCAAATGTGTCTATTAGCATCATGCTGGTGTTAGTAATATGTATGCATCAGTTTCCAAAGATGTTTGCCTTAAGACCTAAATGCCTCCAAATCAAGATAATGTGTATATGAGAAGTCTTAATTTATTATCTCAGTAACATATTTTAAATCACTAAGTGAAAATTACCTAACCTTTTTAGACAAATATACTTATGACATATAGATAAAAACACTTTCTTTCAAGGTCACCTTCTCATTAAAGCTGGAATTTGAAAAGAGTGTAATCTAAGTAAATTCTTTGTTATGTCATTCATTTGCAACCTCCTCTTGACTTCAGCAACATGAACAATATAACTTTATCCAACACCTCTATTCAAAAGAATATTATGCAATTGTTGCAGCCACCTTCTTTTTCCTTGAGTGGTACATCCACCTTGAGCAGCACGGCTTCTGCCCACTCCTGGAAGTTATCAGAATGGTTGTGGTCTTCTGCTAAAGCTTTACCATCTGGAACAATAACATAACAGGCTACAAACAGGTAATCAGACAGGTGTGATGGAGGGTTAAAGCAGGCATGTGAAACCAACAGTTGGCAATAAAACGTGATCAAAAATTTCTAAGAAAAACAAAACCTAGAAATAAAATCCCTTTCATAACCAAATTAATTATCCTCCAAATCAACTGAGACAGAAAACATTCCCAGTTGGATCCGTTACACAATAAACAATTTTCTTCAATAATCTATTAACCTATAATTGACAAACTGCATGATATTGAATATGACTTCATCAAACCATCATGATATCTTCTATTGCTTGAACTCCCGATTCAGATTTCCAATTCAACAATTGCCAGTACTAGAACTGATGTATGATGGACACAGTTCACTGAAGAAGAACACGAGGATTCTGGCTCTTATTGGAAAGCAATCATCTTAATGGAGTTTCTTCCACAGAAATCAATGACTGATGTGATCTGCTGATTCAATTTAAACAGATTTAATAGTGTCAAGGTCTACCTAACAGTTACATCAATATGCATTCACTTCCAATAATCTTTCAATTACTGGCACTTCATTACATCTATTCTATCAAAGTATCATATACTGTTACTGAAAGAATGCAGCAACATAGTCTTCTTGACACCAGTACATTCAGCTGAGGAACACTTTCAAAACAATTTAAGTCATGTTTACAATTTTTGGGATTAATACTTGTACATTGTTACATCTCAATAGGAAAACTATCAAAAGATTTACGTTTTTGTCTCTTTGCAAAACAGGACTTCTTAAGAGAAACTTTTTTTCACATACATTTTCTATTGATATGGATGTCTTGAATTTTATTTTCAGAGAGGCGAAGCTATTTAAATACACTTCTCACCTTGTAAATCTCTGTTTTTTTTGTACAAGTTCAAATCAGATAAGACAAACTTCCCACACCCTCGAAGTGATTACACATTTTTTTTTTCCTGAGAAGAAGCCAACTTCATTCCCTCTAATAGAAAACATAGCACAGGAAAACCAATAAAAATCAAATAGAGTGGCTCCTAATTGATGTGTTCTCCTCTGCTGGCATTTAGACTTACTGCTGTTTGGTCCGCTAAAACTCTTATGCACAATTATCTTCAAAAATGTCAATACTAGAACCGATAGAGTGAGTATTTAGAAAGTTAATTTCACTCCACCTCTTGGCATCAGAGATAGGTACTTAGCGCCAGAAGAAAATACGATATCACGATTACTGATTTATGGGAATATTAAGTGAACAAAAAACTTGATTCTGAAAATAATGAAAAAAATAATAACTCAATGAAAATCTCCAATGAAGTAAATACGACTGATTTGATCAGTGCAATATGGATTAATTGAGAACTGTGGAGGACAGTTATAAATAGCAACATTTCAAATCCAATAGTGGGTGTCTGCCTAAAGGGATCTTGGATTTTCTGCATGCATCTCAATTTGCTCAACAAATCTTCCTTCTTGCTTTTCATTTTTATTACTCCCACCAATTCAGCTGATATGCAGGAGACCCCATATCACAAGCCTGCTAAATTTAAATTGTCTTTTAGAAGCAGCCAATATTTACCACAGTAACTAGAGATCAGTAAGGAAAAATCTATACCACCTATCCAGAGTTTTAATTACTACTGATTATTTGTTGGTGTTGCTCTTGCATAATCAGTTGAAAAGAGGTTTATTAACTGTTGAAGTTGTTGATATGTAATGATACAAATTCACACTATTGTCAGATTGTTTTAGGAAGTTGAAATGAAATTTAGGGTAAAATTTGATAGAAAAACCTGGCACATCAATCTCACAGTCACACAATAAGTTACCAAAGGTTACTGATCTTTGAACAAAAATTGATTTCGACTAGGTTGTTTTGCTTCAATCGAAGTAACATTAAGTAAACACACCAAAAGAATTTCTGTGAAACACATCTATGACATAAAATTTCAAGCTGCAAATGACTACGTGGGGTCTACTTCTTGTAATGGATTTCCCTATAGGAGTATATATATGTAATTAAATCAAACATTGTCCCTCCTGCAGAACAGACAAATTTTTACATAAATTCCCTTGCAATTTTCAATGTTGATCACTGCCTACAATCCTTTGCTAGCCCGTAGCCAGCAATTTCAAAAGGGGGTTCTTTTTCCGAAAGAAGGGCCTTTTAAGATGAAACCTCAATCTACAGAGATCAAATTTTAACCAGAACCTGACAAAAAGGGCAGTTCTTTCAAACCCCCTGGGCCTGCTCTGTATTTGTACAATAGGCATTTTTTTATTGATTCTAAAAGCTGCTTTTTTAAAGTCTACTCACCCCCTTTGTATGTGACCATTGCCCATGTGTCCCTGTATTCAAGACCCTTAACCTTAGTGCTGCCTGCAGCTACCAGGTAGTCTCGAGCACGGTGTGTGAGACTAAAGGAACCTTCATCCTGAAACAAAAATGTTAATTCTTATCATATTTATAACTTTTGTTCAATAAAATACAGGTCATTATCTTTAATAATGAAGAAATTTTGCTCATCTTGTTTCATACCATCAATTTATAAATTTTGTCCTTTTTTTTTTTTTAGAAAGTCATATCATTTTCATCATCAAAATGGTAAAATAATTCTCTTTAAAAGTAATAGTGAATAAGCCTGCTATGTACTTCATATGTAATAGCATGCAGCCAAATTTTTACAACTTTAAGTATTTATCCTAAGTCCATGCAATTGCTAACTTTCTTTCATACATATATGATAACTTCACACCATGTGACACATACTTTTATAGTAAATATGAGTATTCTTCCTGGAGTGACCATGTTGAGAAACAACATTAATGCTTCATCTTCCTTTTTGGAGTAGGTGTCAAACACACGGTCAGCCATCACTGCACCCTGGTGAGGAGGGAAATAATCATGAATAACCATGAAAAACACTGCGGTGATTTCACAATAAATATTAAAATAACAGCATCTTTTTTTTATGCATTTATTTAAGCATTATGACACATGTGTAATGCTGCATAATCTGCCCTTTAAACTAAGGTTCAATAAGTTGTGATGAAGTTTCTAGAATTCTAAAATTTTAGATAAAGTCTTATCTTTACCGTGGCTTGGTTGAGAACTACAACATGGATACCTCGGCCATGAGCCCCTGGTGCTGCATCTTCTAAGATCTATAAATTGGAGAAAGTATTTATATCATCATTTATCTCAAATTATATTACATATAATTGCTAAATAAGAAACTGTGACTTCAATATAAGCTAATCCAAGTATCATTTGATCCACTTAGCTGGTTTATTTTGTTGTAAAACTTAAATGACACTGAAGATGTCATCATCCTCTGAACTCACCGTGGCTCCATCTACAGTAACAGAGACCTTGCTCTGTGAAGACATAATGTCCAGGGCCAACACTTTGGGCTTCTCCAGTGGTTTACGTCCAGCACTGTTGGCAAATTCATCTTTGCTGGGAACATATGGAGGACCTATAGAAACCAGAAAGAACAAACTAAACAGTAAATATGCAGGCATCCCTCTAAATGTCACAGTCAGTCCAAGTAATTCATGGTTGTGTATGTCTGTATGTATGCACCAAGAATAATAAGAATTTAAATACTCTTAGTCTTTCTTTGCCATGCACAGCAGTTAATATGTAAATTACATTACACAACCGTGACAGCCCACATATAAAGTAAGATAAATACTACAATACAGGGTGGGCAAAGGTTAACTATTCCAGTATGATATATGGGGTCACATTTCATGGCCTAAAAATTGCATCAGAAAAAAAAAGAAAATACATCTGCTCTTTACAGATGGATTGCTTGTGATATCAAACTATACTACTCTGAGATCTGTCAGTCCTTCTACTGCAACTTTCATAATTTGAGGTTAAAAAAAACATTTTTTCTGATTGAATAACATTTTACATCAATTACTTCAAACCGCATAAGCTTTACAGTAGTGATAAAAACATCTGATAATTTCTGTCCTTTAAGTGAGACATTAAAGCAATAATAAATCTTCCTTTGAGATTCAAAATACATTGTAAACAACGCCTGGAAATATATTCTATTGCATTTTCCCACTAAAACGACTGTTATTGTAGTAAAACTAAAATCTGTGCTTGTCACTTGGGCTTTCGATGCCTTTCTTCGCGGTCGACAAGTGCATCTGTTGCCAATGACATTTAGGTGTCACACGGATTCTCGCGTTCATTCGAGACCAAAATAACATGGCGGGAAACCCTCAGACGTAAGTTGCGAGTTTTTGTACAGTGCGTCGGATAACAAAAAGCCCAGAATTACACACATTGTAGATATAAATGCATTTTAAGCAAAAAGACGAATATATCTTATGAATCTTAAAATATTGTTATATAGTGTTGTTGTTGTCTGCTTTTCCCGCGGTTTTAAGTAGGTCACCAGATCGCTCAATATGAGAGGGCTCCGTCAGTTAAAATCTCTTAAGAGATTTTAACAAAAAACCGTACGTTTAGGAAAAAAACCCTGAATTAACTTTGAATGCAGGAATGGGGTCGTTGACCATTGGTAAGTACGGGAAAATTGCCGTTTTTTCCAGGAAAATCCAATTTTTGGCCAAAACGAAGAGTTATTATGACTTTAACTATAATGTCCAAAGTAGACTTTAATATGATAAAGACTATCATTTTGTACCTATAGTGGAAAAGGATGATGGCTAATCTTAGTGAGATTTTGTTTGTATGCAGATAGTTTCATTTGTAAAGAAAATACACTAAAATATTTAAATATTATCATATCAATACATTTTCTTCAAACTGACATGTAACTTTAAGACTGAAGTAAAGTTCTTGTTGATGAAGTATTTCCTGCCTTGTAACACCAGTATTACAGCAGCACAGCAGATCAATCTGGTTAATCAGTGAATTCCTCTCAGTGTGGCTCTAGTCCACAGGAATTAACACAAATGGGTTATCAACCCTGCCTCATCACCCATGACAGGATCAATAGTTATCTATCAAATTCTGAAGCACAGAACTTCCTCCCAGAAATATGGACAGGAAAAAATACAGCAATTTACATAATGAGCTGCAATTTCCGTTTATCTGATGGTCACCCATCTGGGATAACTCAATCAACCTGGCAATTATGACAACCAATTTTCTCCAACTATTGGGCAATAATAACATCCATTGTTATTGAAAATTACCAGGATCAATGATAATAGTTTAGCTATACACATGGACTACACCAGGGGCACAAATTTTGTTATTATAATAAATATATTTAATTTCAAGAGAGTAACTAGGGCTCCACTTTTTGATATGTTGTTACTGCGAGAGTATATTTTGCAAAAAGAGGTTTCCATTTCTACACTGTTAGATCTAATACTTTTATGCATTGTTTTCCCAACTATTTCAACGTAAAAAGTACAAACTAGTTTACTTATTTAGATTCTGGAATCTGTTTAAATGCTTTACCTAGGCAACTATTTCTGCTGAATTGTATGTAAGTAGACTTCAGTGTTTAGTTGCTGGACAGTTTTATGCACTGGTTTTATCAAGAATGCATTACCATATTTTCTAGTTTTTATACATAGAATGCAAAACCATAGGCAAACATTTGGCCTCCCTTCCTCCAGGCTGTAAACATAAGCTAGTGTATCTGTCAGTATAGCATGTACAGAATCTAAACTAGATCATATTGGCTTCTTGCCACTTATACTACACTTATTTGGAAAATAAAACTTCTGTTTAAATTATTGCCTAAAAACATATTATGGGCAATGTTCCTGGGTATCAAAATACACTAAATATTTATTTTTGATTATAAGAATATGATTTTTTTCAAAGTTTCCTTCTTTCAAAATAATATTCAGCAGCAGCTTCTTTTTCTTATTTGATACATACTATGACTTGAAATTATACAAACTGAGAAGGTGCAAGTGTACATCAAAGGTTTCTTCAAGCAATGCCAATATGACTATTCAATCAAAGCTGTTTGTTCAAACAACCAAGATACTTCACTAGAACAAGTGTGCCCCAAGGTGTGACACATTTTGAGGTAAAGTATTATAACAGTATAGATTAGGCCAGCTGACAGTATCCACCAGGGCAAATCTTGCCAAACTAAAAACTTGTTTCTGTGCCTGACTTAGGTTGAGAAAATTAAAAGATTCTGCACATAAAATGGGGTGCATATGATTTTGATGACTTATGCATGATATGGCAAATGCTGCAAACACTTTAAAATTAAAGAAAGGTTATGCAAATCTCTCCTAAGTCGATTACAAACACTTTACCCAGTGGGTCTATCTGTGAGTTTACCCTCCAGCAGACAACCAATGTTAGTGGCAATTTCAGACATTCATGCCTGCTGCCACAGACTCCATTGGCCTGTGGTAAGCGGTGGTTTTTGTTTCCCAGCATGATTTTGATACATCAGTCTGGGTTACTAGATTTCATCATCTTGTAGCATTTTACTTACTACTTAGATTTAGATCAGAGTGGCCTGGGTTCTCTTTATAACACTTACTTCATGCTAGGAAGTTACTTCTATCCAACATGGTTAAATATAATTCACTCCATGCAACCAAATTAAAAGTATCCAAAATACTGATTATTTGTCCTTGATTTATTGAAAACTTAAAACTGATTGCTTGGATAAAGATTTTTTCATGGAGCTTAAAATTAGAATTGGGCAACCTTTTTCGGTTCTCACTTACACTAACAACCAGCTTATGTGCCGCTCTTTGTTGTTGATATATAATAACCAAAACCATTACACCTCGCAGCAGGGGCTGGTTTAAGGAGAATAAAAAACACTTTAAATTAGAAGCAAAAAAGAGAAGAAAACATTACAATAACCAGATTTAATACTTGAATAGACAAAAAAAGAAATTTTATATTCACTCAAATGAAATATGGGGTAAATTTTCCACCATTTTGTCTTGATTACTTTTATCGATCAAAAGGCCATAAAAAATATCAACAATTCATGAAAACAATTCCACCTTTTTTGTGAAAAGAATTACCATGAAATACTGCTTTGCTTTATCTTTTAAAAACACATCGCTGAGCAACTAATGACTTTTCTCAAGAAAAACATCTAGTTGCACCCCTATTAATATTACACCTGACTTCACCTTTCTTTGCTGGGAAAAACTTCTGGCTACAGAAATCCAATAGCAGACCACTAAGAAATAATTTTAATGCTTTTTTAAACAATTAATTCTGAGAGCAGGCCCAACTGTAGTCATTAAATGTCTTCCCTCCACTGCTCACCAAAAGCCAGCTGGTAATAGATAAAGAAAAATCAAAGTAAGCTACTAACTTTATTACTGGCAAATGCCTAAGGCCTGACATATATTCTTTTCAGTCCGCATTTTACCTCAAAATTAAAAATTCACTCTGCCAGACAATTTCACTGAGGCAGTCAACAGTTGAGAAGGTTAATCTCACTACTGCTGGAGCCCAGGACATATTTGGTGGAAAGACTTACCTGAGGTGGATTGGGTAGACTGTAGTTTGTGACTTGTGTTTAATATGAATGTCAGATTGATGCCAACTGTTACAACCAGAACTATAATCAAGCCAGCCTGAAAGTAGAGTAAAACACAGAATTGTATAATCATTTCTTCACGCATTTCAGAAAAAGAAACTTAAACATAACAAAGCAATTAGGTAGCGAGAAAAAACATTTATTTGACCATATTCTATATTTACTCTAAAAAGATAACATTTTAGTTAATATTCATTTGATCTATTTCATTTCTCTAAATCCAAACTATTTTCTTGTTTTCATTTCAACTATAAATAGCACAACCAACATGCTCAATTACTTGCATCAGAACTAGGCGTGTATTCTGTGCAAAATCAAATTATTGCCTTTACATACAAAAACACTGGAATGAATTTTATGACTGCACTCTACAGTTAGAAGAAACACACATCAATTCTGATTGGCAATCAAATTAACTGCATCTTGATATAATACTATCTTTCAAATTGTCAGAATGCAGTCTTATGTTTGGCATCAGCTCTAGAATCTTCTGAGACCAAATAAAGTAATCTTTCCAATGATTGAAGGCTCTGGCACTGGTAACAGACAGCAATGTTCTGAGTGTTGGGCAGATTCCATTCAAGAAAGGGATGTTAATTGGTTTTCAAATTAAATACTTGGTCTTGTTTTCAAACTTGCAGAATTGCAGAATGCATGACTAGTACTGGCAATTAATCTGCACAATGGAAAAATGTTTACAATAATGGATGTTGAACATTAAAATCCTTTTTATAAGTATTAACGGATGTGTTTTAAATTTATATCTTTTATCATAACCATCTAAAATTTAAAGATAAAAGTGAACATGTGCAGAAAATTAATGTATTATGTGAAATCTAGCTTTTCTAATTCTTCTGAGGATATCTTCCTTTGGAAAAAAACACATACAAAGGTCTGGATAATTCATGAGATGCCTCTCCTCTCACCAGCACAGCTGTTGCAAGAACACTTGATGACTTAAATGGCTGTAGACTATGTACAGCAACTGCTTCTACTGAATTTAACATCATTTCTTCAGCCTTAACTGCTTTAAAATGGCATAGCTTTCATAGCCCTGAACTTTTTACCTCCTGCATACTTGATGGTTTAAATATTAAAAACTAATCTTAGGCCAAAAAGCAGCTGGTTTACTATGCACAGTTGCCAGAAAGAGCTTATATTTTTCATGTACATAAATCACAATACTTAATCCATTCCAAGTTAACATCCTTTACTGCTATTTCCATCAATCAACCAAAAAAAAAAAATAATAATCTGGTATTCATTTTCCGAGTTATTGAACAATTTGCTAGAATCATAAAACATGTAAAACTGCACTGTGATAATAGATGATGACGCACACACCTAGATGCCAGTGTTATAAAACAAATACAGAAGTGCAAGGTTATAAGTAGCGCCTTTCTTCCTAGGACACTAGAGGAGGACACTTCAGAGAAAAACCTGATGACATTTCAAATGAAATTTGCCATATGTAATCAACAACACATGGGTCTAGCACTGAAGTGCTACTTAATGATATTGATGTCACACATTGGTCCTCTTGTTCTCCCAGGTACTACCTTTATTGCCAGAATGCAAATTATACATTTTTCAATATTTGCACATGCAATTTGTTTTCATATGTACAGTATCGGTAATCTATTAGGTAGATCATACACATCTCTTACTCAACATTGCATTTAATAGAGTGCTATAATTTTCCTGTAGACTATTATGTAAACTTATTTTCCTATGTAGCCCTTCAGCTGTAGAACTATCAAACAAACTGGTCTGGAAACCACTGTAGTACATCTATTACTGCAGAATTGCTACTAAAGCATAAGCACAATTGAGAAATAAAGAAAGCTACACTGGTTTTATCTGCAACAGCATAAGTGATAAGACAAAATTGTATGCTTAATTAAAACAAGTATGCTTAGATCTAGGCCTTTATATCCACACCAAGGGAGTTAGATGATACTTTTGAATGCAACAATTGATTTAAGCAACATCTGATCAATCTTGAAACTCTGTCCACCTATAAGTTTTTGTAGTTATAGTTATTCGGGTGGAGTAAACTTCACAAACATGGCAAACAAACTTTCACTTAGGCATGACTCATAGATTAAATCAGCACATCTTAAATGAACATTTACCACACAATTGACTTCTCTCCCAAACCTCATAAAACAAAACTGATTGTCATCTTAAATCTCATCAGAACAGCTGAAATTCAGTTCTTACACAGTGATAGTATCACCATGCATAAAAATGCAATTATCTTTTAAATGAAACATACTTAATCTACTATGCAAAGAAAGAGGGCAACAGTAGATTGATCTAGGACATCTGCACCATGATCGAATATTGGTCAGAAATCTCGATTCCTTAACCTCTAATGCAAGATCATGCAAGACAACATCAAACCTCTGAAAAAAAGTTAGCAGCTAAACTGTAAATTTTGAGTCAAAATTAAAAGCAACTGACCTGAAAAACTCTGGTTAGCATACGTCTCCTATTGGACTGGGACACATGGGACCTGTGAGGCAGAAGGGACCCATGGTGATGTCTCTTTGGCACAAATGGCTGGGCCTTGGGATTAGGTTTCCAACTCTCCATCACAGCTGATATGTAAAATGCTTCTCTTGTCTGTTCCTGCCTTTTTTAGGAGTTCACATCTTGTCTGCTAGAAAACCAATTCTGAAATGAATTGAAAAACATTAACACTGGTTTTTTGAAAGTCACTCTTTAAAGCTTCTGCTCATCTTGTGCTGCATGCCTGATAAGTTGTGAGAGGGATGAAGTTTAAAGTTTAACTACAGGCAAAACCTGTCACAGACAGTGTTCTGAAATGAATTTAGTTCCTATGCTACCTGGAAAACTGTCAGTTGTTCTATCTACCCAAGAGTGAGTGTAATCAGATCACTGACAAGTTCACTTGCCAGGGCTCCTGCTCCTTTACAGCAGTATAAGCAAGCCACAGTTCAAAACATTCCGCAAAACATCAATACAATCCAAATGGAGAGCAACTTCACCAGCACATCTGATACTAGCATTGAGTGAAAGATGAAACCCACTGTAGAGTTGCAGACAGACTAGTAGTGGGTAACTTGACAAGTCTTCATTACAAACTGTCAGGAGACTTCTACTTGCCACATTAACTAAGCTCCATTTTCCTGCCTCAATGAAACATCTCTGCCCTTCNTACCCTTTTTGAAGGTAAAATGACCACCAAATGACCACAAAAAATGTTAATAAGACTATCTAACCTTGGCTATTCCTTTCCAAGTAGAAAAATCAGAAGCATGATCCATCTTGATATATAAGACATGAGTGACATCTGCTTTGACATCAGGAATAAATGACTCATTGCAGGGGTCTACACTGTGATCCAGCACTGTGGCCCTCTGTATTATATCATGTAGTAACTTTTCATACTCATCTTTCTTCATTCTGGAAGCAAATATCAAATAATTCATAAAGTGATAAATATGCTCATATGACACACAAAAGAAAAGATGATGACTGATTTTTGTGGTGTTTAACTATGTAAATTACCAATGAACTTTACAGTAGGGATAATTTTACTTTCAATGTTATCCAAACTTCGAATAACAAGCCTAAAATTTAAACATGGTCTTATACACGAGACTGAATCAACTTACTTGTCTATGTCTTTTAACTTGACTTTAGCCTGTGTATTCATTTTATGTCTGCTAAAATAGCTTTCTTGAAAGTATGGGTTCATATTTAGTCCAACAGATCCAAAATGAAATGTTCTTGATACATCTGGGATAATGCATTCTCTGTCCTTCCTCTGTCCAGGCATTCTCATCCACATGTCCCAATCCCACAGCTTCAGAATAAAATGAATATTTCATAAATAAATAATATAAATATAAATCAATATTAAAAGAGGCACAAATTCATCTTGTGCATGGTCATGAAATGACGAGTTTTTCAATTTTTAATCTCATTCCAGAATTTCATCTGTGACTCTACATACTGTTTTTTTAATGTACATAATACATAAAGTAATCACACCGATTCACCATTTATGCTTCCTTGTCCTGACATTTATTTACAATCAATAACTTGTATATCTATATAAAAACAATTTCCCAGGCACCAAAGCAGCTAGAGATTTATTTATGCTTATATTATTCCAATGTGTTTCTTTCTTACTTTTTCTGGGGTTGGCCACTTTGATTCCAGCTCTTCCTTGTATAATTTTTTCTTCAGCAACCAACCTAGCCCAGGCATTGTCTCTATTCTGTATAAGAGGCTGGGGTCCTTGGAGGAGTCATCATAACCCTGGCAGTAAGAAAGCAGAAATGTAAATTCACTGTTACCTAATCACTTCCATATAAACTACTTGTGTCCTGTTATTAATTGATCTTGAATAGGTGCATTTTTTTCATGCAGCGCCACAATAATAATTCAACACATGTAAAATTTCTTTTTCTAGAGTTACAGATGTTCTGTCATAAAAAGCATATTATTTATGTAACACATGTTGAATGGATTTTACTTTCTTTTTAACATGTGCTAAAATGGGAGTTTCATCATCTTCAGTTAAGGGAGCATGTGCAAATATCCAAAACACAATATCTCTCTTTGAAGCAATAAAATTTTGAAAATTACAGCTTTACTTTCAGTCAAGGAATCCAAGCAATGCAAGGAATACAAATCACTCTGCTATAGCCAAATGATGATTAAAAAAAATGTATAACTTTTGGGAATATTTGGTTGGTACTTGACATACTGGTAGATTAGTACAAAAGAATGGTGGCGGACCCCAGGAAAATCCGTTAATTGACTTTTATAGTCTCAATTAAGTCTCCTATAAGGTAGCTAACCTGTTGAAAAAATTAAACTTCACTAACTTGGTCTTGGTTTTCTTAAAAATCTAGAAAGATCATTTTCAAAAAATTCAACCTCCATACCTGATCATTCCATGCTGATACACAGTACAAACTCTCATCTTCTTCTAATAATGGCAGTGTTTGACTAAAATAACTGGAAAAGAGAATGTATATTTTACATTCACCATTTAATTTCACATACATAATGCACATAACTTTCCAAAAAATCTTTATTTTGTAAATCTTTACATATCTAGAGTAGATACTATGAAAACATTGATTTCTTTCATCAAGGACCTACTCAAAGAAATCTGGAGATATGTCCATGTCTTCTTCTATAATGATCATGTACTTAGCATTCTGAAATGGAAAATAAAACCACCTGTTCAGCGGAACAAGTTGGAATTGGTTTTCCTTTTGTAAAATACATCAATGTCAATTACAAAATCACATATCCTCAAAAATTAAAAATAAACAAAGTTTACACTTATTACAAAATTACCACATATCATAAACAATATCTCTTACTCTTGAAATGAATAATAAATATATTTACAAGAAATTTATCATTGTTCTTGCAAACACTTTCTATCATTTTGCAACTGAACAGAATAGAAAAAAATATATGGGACAAAAGACACAACACGTTTTAGTTAATTTCAGTATTAAGTAGTAAGAGGCTTACTGGATGTAAATTGAAAGTGGCAGTCAGGCTGCTTTTATAATGCTGACAAACTCTGGCATTCTTGATCCCCAGTGGTGTGTGCTGGACTCCACGCAAGCCATAAAGCTTGGTCACTTCCAATGGTTCCTGCAATTATATCAAATCTTCAAAATAACACAAATTTACATTTAGAAGACCAATGCATTTTCAGAAAGACTTCATTTACAAAGTCTTTACCACTGCATCTACATACCTGATATCTTAATTGCCTAGCCCTTTAGACAAAAATAGATAAATAAAAAAAAATTTAATAATAAAAGCAATGCCATAAATGATAGAACAGCTACATGCAATTACTATCAGTAGATTTTTTTTTATTGATATCCCTTTGTGAGAAATCAGTTGCAATTAAGAAAGAAAACAACAAGCAATTCACATGCAATAAACTTTGATCATTGATTTTTCCTGAAGTAAAAATGCAAATCCGATATTAACAAGAAACTACTCACCTCAAAATAACCATCTATAAACACTGTAATCAAGTTGGGGTTGGCACCATCAGCTGATAATAGAGACCTCAGCATTCTGAAATGTAAATGAATCCATCACCATTAATACCCAAGTCCAAAAGAATCCCTAAAGATTGAAAAAAAAAAGAAAAAAAAACATGTCATATCTTTCAGTCTTAACTGCTTCATATTACCTGAAAATTCTATAAAATTTTAACCAAACAACAGTGAATCAACAGTTAATTCTGTACACAGTTTTTGCCTCCTGACATTGTCCACTTAATATTGTCATTGACTGCAGTTGTTCTGATAACCTCAGGTTCCAGATCTATGTTGTGCAATTACAAGGTAATTGTTTGAAAATTTCAAACCAAATGTTCGGATTTACAGTACAATTTTGATAATTTGACAGAATTTAAAGTTACTAGCAGAGATTTACTTTGGAGAAATGACTGGGTCAAAAGATAATTCCTGGAAATCAAGGAATTCCTTAATCAGTCCAACCCTGATACTAAGATATTCCTGAAAATTACAGTACCTATAGAGATAATGTGGCCTGTTACTGGCTATCACTGCTACTGGGATATCAGATACTTTGTTGTTGGAGATCTGAAAAAATATTATATAAATGTTTCCAAAATACAGAATAACAAACAATTTTTAATGACATCACTTTTTCTTTATTTTATGACTTTTACAGATATTTCAGCTAATAATATGACATACCACATTAACGAGTCAAGAATATGTGTTTCAGAAAAAATCAATTTACAAGACATATCAGTTGCAATGTTTCTTCATAATTTCTACTCCTCTGGCAATATATGTCTACAGGAAATAGCAGCATGTAATACATCAGGGAAAGTCTTAAAAATGAGTGCATTATGCACTGTTATAACAACAGCAACACCAACTTACAGCGTCTGGTTGAAAAGTGATAGGAGCCGGATCAGTGCAGCTGCAGACACTCCCATAGCCTTCCACCTTGTCACAAAATGATCTGCGTCTTTTGTTCACTTCATCATCAGGCCAGTCACAACCACGTTCTGTAATAAATTCAAATGTGTCTATTAGCATCATGATGGTGTTAGTAATATGCATACATCAGTTTCCAAAGATGTTTGCCTTAAGACCTAAATGCCTCCAAATCAAGATAATGTGTATATGAGAAGTCTTAATTTATTATCTCAGTAACATATTTTAAATCACTAAGTGAAAATTACCTAACCTTTTTAGACAAATATACTAATGACATATAGATAAAAACACTTTCTTTCAAGGTCACCTTCTCATTAAAGCTGGAATTTGAAAAGAGTGCAATCTAAGTAAATTCTTTGTTATGTCATTCATTTGCAACCTTCTCTTGACTTCAGCAACATGAACAATATAACTTTATCCAACACCTCTATTCAAAACAATATTATGCAATTGTTGCAGCCACCTTCTTTTTCCTTGAGTGGTACATCCACTTTGAGCAGCACGGCTTCTGCCCACTCCTGGAAGTTATCAGAATGGTTGTGGTCCTCTGCTAAAGCTTTACCATCTGGAACAATAACATAACAGGCTACAAACAGGTAATCAGACAGGTGTGATGGAGGGTTAAAGCAGGCATGTGAAACCAACAGTTGGCAATAAAACGTGATCAAAAATTTCTAAGAAAAACAAAACCTAGAAATAAAATCCCTTTCATAACCAAATTAATTATCCTCCAAATCAACTGAGACAGAAAACATTCCCAGTTGGATCCGTTACACAACCTGTAATTGACAAACTGCATGATATTGAATATGACTTCATCAAACCATCATGATATCTTCTATTGCTTGAACTCCCGATTCAGATTTCCAATTCAACAATTGCCAGTATTAGAACTGATGTATGATGGACACAGTTCACTGAAGAAGAACACGAGGATTCTGGCTCTTATTGGAAAGCAATCATCTTAATGGAGTTTCTTCCACAGAAATCAATGACTGATGTGATCTGCTGATTCAATTTAAACAGATTTAATAGAGTCAAGGTCTACCTAACAGTTACATCAATATGCATTCACTTCCAATAATCTTTCAATTACTGGCACTTCATTACATCTATTCTATCAAAGTATCATATACTGTTACTGAAAGAATGCAGCAACATAGTCTTCTTGACACCAGTACATTCAGCTGAGGAACACTTTCAAAACAATTTAAGTCATGTTTACAATTTTTGGGATAAATATTTGTACATTGTTGCATCTCAATAGGAAAACTATCAAAAGATTTATGTTTTTGTCTCTTTGCAAAACAGGACTTCTTAAGAGAAACTTTTTTTCACATACATCTTCTATTGATATGGATGTCTTGAATTTTATTTTCAGAGAGGTGAAGCTATTTAAATACACTTCTCACCTTGTAAATCTCTGTTTTTTTTGTACAAGTTCAAATCAGATAAGACAAACTTCCCACACCCTCGAAGTGATTACACATTTTTTTTCCTGAGAAGAAGCCAACTTCATTCCCTCTAATAGAAAACATAGCACAGGAAAACCAATAAAAATCAAATAGAGTGGCTCCTAATTGATGTGTTCTCCTCTGCTGGCATTTAGACTTACTGCTGTTTGGTCCGCTAAAACTCTTATGCACAATTATCTTCAAAAATGTCAATACTAGAACCGATAGAGTGAGTATTTAGAAAGTTAATTTCACTCCACCTCTTGGCATCTGAGATAGGTACTTAGCGCCAGAAGAAAATACGATATCACGATTACTGATTTATGGGAATATTAAGAGAACAAAAAACTTAATTCTGAAAATAATGAAAAAAATAATAACTCAATGAAAATCTCCAATGAAGTAAATACGACTGATTTGATCAGTGCAATATGGATTAATTTACCAGAGGGAAACATACATTTTTATCTTAATATTATCCTGAGAACTGTGGAGGACAGTTATAAATAGCAACATTTCAAATCCAATAGTGGGTGTCTGCCTAAAGGGATCTTGGATTTTCTGCATGCATCTCAATTTGCTCAACAAATCTTCCTTCTTGCTTTTCATTTTTATTACTCCCACCAATTCGGCTGATATGCAGGAGACCCCATATCACAAGCCTGCTAAACTTATAGAAGCAGCCAATATTTACCACAGTAACTAGAGATCAGTAAGGAAAAATCTATACCACCTATCCACAGTTTTAATTACTACTGATTATTTGTTGGTGTTGCTCTTGCATAATCAGTTGAAAAAGAGGTTTATTAACTGTTGAAGTTGTTGATATGTAATGATACAAATTCACACTATTGTCAGATTGTTTTAGGAAGTTGAAATGAAATTTAGGGTAAAATTTGATAGAAAAACCTGGCACATCAATCTCACAGTCACACAATAAGTTACCAAAGGTCACTTATCTTTGAACAAAAATTGTATTTCCTCTAGGTTGTTTTGCTTCAATCGAAGTAACATAAGTAAACAAACCAAAGGAATTTTTGTGAAACACATCTATGACATAAGATTTCAAGCTGCAAACGACTACATGGGGTCTACTTCTTGTAATGGATTTCTCTATAGGAGTATATATATGTAATTAAATCAAACATTGTTCCTCCTGCGGAATAGACAAATTTTTACATTAATTTCCTTGCAATTTTCAATATTGATCACTGCCTACAATCCTTTGCTGGCCCGTAGCCAGCAATTACAAAAAGTTGTTCTTTTTCCAAAAGAAGGGCCTTTTAAGATGAAACCTTAATGTACATAGATCAAATTTTACCCAGAATGGACCTTTCCTGACAAAAAGGGCAGTTCTTTCAAACCCCCTGGGCCTGCTCTGTATTTGCACAATAGGCATCTTTTTCTGATTTTAAAAGCTGCTTTTTATTCAGTTTACTCACCCCCTTTGTATGTGACCATTGCCCATGTGTCCCTGTATTCAAGACCCTTAACCTTAGTGCTGCCTGCAGCTACCAGGTAGTCTCGAGCACGGTGTGTGAGACTAAAGGAACCTTCATCCTGAAACAAAAATGCTGGTTCTTATCATATTTATAACTTTTGTTCAATTAAATACAGGTCATTATCTTTAATAATGAAGAAATTTTACTCATCTTGTTTCATACCATCAATTTATAAATTTTGTCCTATTTTTTTAGAGAGTCATATTATTTTCATCATCAAAATGGTAAAATAATTCTATTTAAAAGTTATAGTGAATAAGCCTGCTATGTACTTCATATGTAATAGCATGCAGCCAAATTTTACAACTTTAAGTATTTATCCTAAGTCCATGCAATTGCTAACTTTCTTTCATACATATATGATAACTTCACACCATGTGACACATACTTTAATAGTAAATATGAGTATTCTTCCTGGAGTGACCATGTTGAGGAACAACATTAATGCTTCATCTTCCTTTTTGGAGTAGGTGTCAAACACACGGTCAGCCATCACTGCACCCTGGTGAGGAGGGAAATAAACATGAATAATCATGAAAAACACTGCGGTGATTTCACAATAAATATTAAAATAACAGCATCTTTTTTTATGCATTCATTTAAGCATTATGACACGTGTAATGCTGCATAATCTGCCCTTTAAACTAAGGTTCTATAAGTTGTGATGAAGTTTCTAGAATTCTAAAATTTTAGATAACAAAGTCTTATCTTTACCGTGGCTTGGTTGAGAACTACAACATGGATACCTCGGCCATGAGCCCCTGGTGCTGCATCTTCTAAGATCTATAAATTGGAGAAAGTATTTATATCATTATTTATCTCAAATTATATTACATATAATTGCTAAATAAGAAACTGTGACTTCAATAAAAGCTAATCCAAGTATCATTTGATCCATTTAGCTGGTTTATTTTGTTGTAAAACTTAAATGACACTGAAGATGTCATCATCCTCTGAACTCACCGTGGCTCCATCTACAGTAACAGAGACCTTGCTCTGTGAAGACATAATGTCCAGGGCCAACACTTTGGGCTTCTCCAGTGGTTTACGTCCAGCACTGTTGGCAAATTCATCTTTGCTGGGAACATATGGAGGACCTATAGAAACCAGTAAGAACAAACTAAACAGTAAATATGCAGGCATCCCTCTAAATGTCACAAACAGTCCAAGTAATTCATGGTTGTCTATGCCTGTATGTATGTATGTACCAAGAATAATAAGAATTTAAATACTCTTAGTCTTTCTTTGCCATGCACAGCAGTTAATATGTAAATTACATTACATAGCCGTGACAGCCCACATATACAGTAAGATAAATACTACAATACAGGGTGGGCAAAGGTTAAGTATTCCAGTATGATATATGGGGTCACATTTCACCTAAAAATTGCATCAGAAAAAAAGAAAATGGTATCAGGACAATTCCCCCCCGGACAATTCCCCCCCGGACTATTCCCCCTGGACAATTCCCCCCCGGACAATTCCCCCCAGGACAATTCCCCCTCAGACGATTCCCCCCCGAAGAATATATATATTTATATACAAATATAAAGTAAAGAATACAAAGTTCAAAGTTCTTTTCATCCATTTTTTAATATTTCTTAGTGTGATGATGCAAATCAAGGATAGATAATATTAATTCTATTAAACAATTTATTTTCTTGGAGTTCAAGTACATGAAATGTTCGAGATAGAAGTACAGAACATTTTATTAAAAATCTGATCAACGAATATATATCTCAGGTAAAGGAGGGGTAAATAGATGATCTCACTCATCCAGGTAGCCCTTTGATGAATTAACTGTTACTTTTAATTGCTTTATTTCCCCCCCCCCCCCTTGATTCAGCAAGTCTTGAATCAAGGTGCATCTCTAGGGAGAGGTGGGGTAAACAGATTTTCTCGCTTATCCAGGTATCCCTGTGACTATCTGTCATTTTTAATTGCTTGACCACCACCCACCACACTAAAATATTTATAAAATATCTGTTTACCTGTTCATCTGTTTACCCCACCTTTACCTGACCTGAAGGATAGGTGGTTATACTTCCAATAGATACTTAATAAATCTTCCTGTACTTGTACTCAATGAAAAGGGAATTTGTTATAAAATAATTTGTTTCATGGTGAAGTTATATTATCACACTAAAAATGTTAATAAAATAGATGAAATGTTTTAAACTTTACACTTTCTACTTTATATTTGTATATAAATATATATTTCTTGGGGGGGAATCGTCCGGGGGGATTGTCCTGGGGGGGAATTGTCCGGGGGGGAATTGTCCGGGGGGGAATTGTCCTAGAATCAAAGAAAATACAACTTCTCTTTACAGATGGATTGCTTGTGATATCAAACTATACTACTCTGAGATCTGTCAGTCTTTCTACTGCAACTTTCATAATTTGAGGTTAAAAAAAACATTTTTTCTGATTGAATAATATTTTATATCAATTACTTCAAACCGCATAAGCTTTACAGAAGTGATAAAAACATCTGATATTTTCCGTCCTTTAAGTAAGACATTAACTACAGAATGTTGCTATAATGTCCAAAGTAGACTTTAATATGATAAAGACTATCATTTTGTACCTATAGTGGAAAAGGTTGATGGCTAATCTTAGTGAGATTTTGTTTGTATGCAGATAGTTTCATTTGTAAAGAAAATACACTAAAATATTTAAATATTATCATATCAATACATTTTCTTCAAACTGACATGTAACTTTAAGACTGAAGTAAAGTTCTTGTTGATGAAGTATTTCCTGCCTTGTAACACCACTCTTACAGCAGCACAGCAGATCAATCTGGTTAATCAGTGAATTCCTCTCAGTGTGGCTCCAGTCCACAGGAATTAACACAAATGGGTTATCAACCCTGCCTCATCACCCATGACAGGATCAATAGTTATCTATCAAATTCTGAAGCACAGAACTTCCTCCCAGAAATATGGACAGGAAAAAATACAGCAATTTACATAATGAGCTGCAATTTCCGTTTATCTGATGGTCACCCATCTGGGATAACTCAATCAACCTGGCAATTATGACAACCAATTTTCTCCAACTTTAGGGCAATAATAACATCCATTGTTATTGAAAATTACCAGGATCAATGATAATAGTTTAGCTATACACATGGACTACACCAGGGGCACAAATTTTGTTATTATAATAAATATATTTAATTTCAAGAGAGTAACTAGGGCTCCACTTTTTGATATATTGTTACTGCGAGAGTATATTTTGTAAAAAGAGGTTTCCATTTCTACACTGTTAATACTTTTATGCATTGTTTTGCCAACTATTTCACAAACTAGTCTACTTATTTAGATTCTGGAATCTGGATTGTTTAAATGCTTTACCTAGGCAACTATTTCTGCTGAATTGTATGTAAGTAGACTTCAGTGTTTAGTTGCTGGACAGTTTTATGCACTGGTTTTATCAAGAATGCATAACCATATTTTCTAGTTTTTATACATAGAATGCAAAACCATAGGCAAACATTTGGCCTCCCTCCCTCCAGGCTGTAAACATAAGCTAGTGTATCTGTCAGTATAGCATGTACAGAATCTAAACTAGATCATATTGGCTTCTTGCCACTTATACTACACTTATTTGGAAAATAAAACTTGTGTTTAAATTTTTGCCTAAAAACATATTATAGGCAATGTTCCTGGGTATCAAAATACACTAAATATTTATTTTTGATTATAAGTATATGATTTTTTTTCAAAGTGTCCTTCTTTCAAAATAATATTCAACAGCAGCTTCTTTTTCTTATTTGATACATACTATGACTTGAAATTATAAAAACCGAGAAATAAAGGTGCAAGTGTACATCAAAGGTTTCTTCAAGCAATGCCAATATGACTATTCAATCAAAGCTGTTTGTTCAAACAACCAAGGTACTTCACTAGAACAAGTGTGCCCCAAGGTGTGACACATTTTGAGGTAAAGTATTATAACAGTTATAGATTAGGCCAGCTGACATTATCCACCAGGGCAAATCTTGCCAAACCAAAAACTTGTTTCTGTGATTGCTTTATGATGGGGTTTCTAATGTTAAAACACAAGAAAATACACTCCTGACTTAGGTTGAGAAAATTGAAAGATTCTGCACATAAAATGGGGTGCATATGATTTTGATGGCTTATGCATGATATGGCAAATGCTGCAAACACTTTCAAATTAAAGAGAGGTTATGCAAATCTCTCCAAAGTCAATTACAAACACTTTACCCAGTGGGTCTATCTGTGAGTTTACCCTCCAGCAGACAACCAATGTTAGTGGCAATTTCAGACATTCATGCCTGCTGCCACAGACTCCATTGGCCTGTGGTAAGCGGTGGTTTTTGTTTCCCAGCATGATTTTGATACATCAGTCTGGGTTACTAGATTTCATCATCTTGTAGCATTTTACTTAGTACTTAGATTTAGATCAGAGCAGCCTGGGTTCTCTTTATAACACTTACTTCATGCTAGGAAGTTACTTCTATCCAACATGGTTAAATATAATTCACTCCATGCAACCAAATTAAAAGTATCCAAAATACTGATTATTTGTCCTTGATTTATTGAAAACTTAAAACTGATTGCTTGGATAAAGATTTTTTCATGGAGCTCAAAATTAGAATTGGGCAACCTTTTTCGGTTCTCGCTTACACTAACAACCAGCTTATGTGCCGCTCTTTGTTGTTGATATATAATAACCAAAACCATTACACCTCACAGCAGGGGCTGGTTGAAGGAGAATAAAAAACACTTCAAATTAGAAGCAAAAAAGAGAAGAAAACATTACAATAACCAGATTTAATACTTGAATAGAAAAAAAAGAAATTTTATATTCACTCAAATGAAATTTGGGGTTAATTTTCCAGCATTTTGTCTTGATAACTTTTATCGATCAAAAGGCCATCAAAAATATCAACAATTCATGAAACAATTCCACCTTTTTTGTGAAAAGAATTACCATGAAATACTGCTTTGCTTTATCATTTTAAAACACGTCACTGAGCAACTAATGACTTTTCTCAAGAAAAACATCTAGTTGCACCCCTATCAATTGATTAATATTACACATGACTTCACCTTTCTTTGCTGGGAAAAACTTCTGGCTACAGAAATCCAATAGCAGACCACTTAGAAATAATTTTAATGCTTTTTTAAACAATTAATTCTGAGAGCGGGCCCAACTGTACTCATTAAATGTCTTCCCTCCACTGCTCACCAAAAGCCAGCTGGTAATAGATGAAGAAAAATCAAAGTAACCTACTAACTTTATTACTGGCAAATGCCTAGGGCCTGATATATATTCTTTTCAGTCCGCATTTTACCTCAAAATTAAAAATTCACTCTGCCAGATAATTTCACAGAGGCAGTCAGCAGTTGAGAAGGTTAATCTCACTACTGCTGGAGCCAGGACATATTTGGTGGAAAGACTTACCTGAGGTGGATTGGGTAGACTGTAGTTTGTGACTTGTGTTTAATATGAATGTCAGATTGATGCCAACTGTTACAACCAGAACTATAATCAAGCCAGCCTGAAAGAAGAGTAAAACACAGAATTGTATAATCATTTCTTCACGCATTTCAGAAAAGGAAACTTAAACATAACAAAGCAATTAGGTAGCGTGAAAAAACATTACCATTTATTTGCCCATATTCTACATTTACTTTTAAAAGATAACATTTAAGTTGATATTCATTTGATCTATTTCATTTCTATAAATCCAAACTATTTTCTTGTTTTCATTTCAACTATAAATAGAACAACCAACATGCTCAATTACTTGCATCAGAACTAGGCGTGTATTCTGTGCAAAATCAAATTATTGCTTTTACGTACAAAAACACTGGAATGAATTTTATGATTGCACACTACAGTTAGAAGAAACACACATCAATTCTGATTGGCAATCAAATTAACTGCATCTTGATATAATACTATCTTTCAAATTGTCAGAATGCAGTCTTATGTTTGGCATCAGCTCTAGAATCTTCTGAGACCAAATAAAGTAATCTCTCCAATGATTGAAGGCTCTGGCACTGGTAACAGACAGCAATGTTCTGAGTGTTGGGCAGATTCCATTCAAGAAAGGGATGTTAATTGGTTTTCAAATTAAATACTTGATCTTGTTTTCAAATTTGCAGAATAGCAGAATGCATTACTAGTACTGGCAATTAATCTGCACAATGGAAAAATGTTTACAATAATTGATGTTGAACATTAAAATCCTTTTTATAAGTATTAACGGATGTGTTTTAAATTTATATCTTTTTTCATAACCATCTAAAATTTAAAGATAAAAGTAAACATGTGCACAAAATTAATGTATTGTGTGAAATCTAGCTTTTCTAATTCTTCTGAGGATATCTTCCTTTGGAAAAAAAACACATACAAAGGTCTGGATAATTCATGAGATGCCTCTCCTCTCACCAGCACAGCTGTTGCAGGAACACTTGACGACTTTAATGGCTGTAGACTATGTACAGCAACTGCTTCTACTGAATTTAACATCATTTCTTCAGCCTTAACTGCTTTAAAATGGCATAGCTTTCACAGCCCTGAACTTTTTACCTCCTGTATACTTGATGGTTTAAATATTAAAAACTAATCTTAGGCCAAAAAGCAGCTGGTTTACTATGCACAGTTGCCACAAGAGCTTATATTTTTCATGTACATAAATCACAATACTTAATCCATTCCAAGTTAACATCCTTTACTGCTATTTCCATCAATCAACCAAAAAAAAAAAATAATAATCTGGTATTCATTTTCCGAGTTATTGCACAATTTGCTAGAATCATAAAACATGTAAAACTGCACTGTGATAATAGATGATGACGCACACACCTAGATGCCAGTGTTATAAAACAAATACAGAAGTGCAAGGTTATAAGTAGCGCCTTTCTTCCTAGGACACTAGAGGAGGACACTTCAGAGAAAAACCTGATGACATTTCAAATGAAATTTGCCATATGTAATCAACAACACATGGGTCTAGCACTGAAGTGCTACTTTATGATATTGATGTCACACATTGGTCCTCTTGTTCTCCCAGGTACTACCTTTATTGCCAGAATGCAAATTATATATTTTTCAATATTTGCACATGCAATTTGTTTTCATATGTACAGTATCGGTAATCTATTAGGTAGATCTTACTCAACATTGCATTTAATAGAGTGACAATGTTGTACCAGTAGAAAACTAGAGATGCTATAATTTTCCTGTAGACTATTATGTAAACTTATTTTTCTATGTAGCCCTTCAGCTGTAGAACTATCAAACAAACTGGTCTGGAAACCACTGTAGTACATCTATTACTGCAGAATTGCTACTAAAGCATAAGCACAATTGAGAAATAAAGAAAGCTACACTGATTTTATCTGCAACAGCATAAGCGATAAGACAAAATTGTATGCTTAATTAAAAACAAGTATGCTTAGATCTAGGCCTTTATATCCACACCAAGGGAGTTGGATGATACTTTTGAATGCAACAATTGATTTAAGCAACATCTGATCAATCTTGAAACTCTGTCCACCTATAAGTTTTTGTAGTTATTCGGGTGGAGTAAACTTCATAAACATGGCAAACAAACTTTCACTCAGGCATGACTCATAGATTAAATCAGCACATCTTAAATGAACATTTACCACACAATTGACTTCTCTCCCAAACCTCATAAAACAAAACTGATTGTCATCTTAAATCTCATCAGAACAGCTGAAATTCAGTTCTTACACAGTGATAGTATCACCATGCATAAAAATGCAATTATCTTTTAAATGAAACATACTTAATCTACTATGCAAAGAAAGAGGGCAACAGTAGATTGATCTAGGACATCTGCACCATGATCGAATATTGGTCAGAAATCTAGATTCCTTAACCTCTAATGCAAGATCATGCAAGACAACATCAAACCTCTGAAAAAAAGTTAGCAGCTAAACTGTAAATTTTGAGTCAAAATTAAAAGCAACTGACCTGAAAAACTCTGGTTAGCATACGTCTCCTATTGGACTGGGACACATGGGACCTGTGAGGCAGAAGGGACCCATGGTGATGTCTCTTTGGCACAAATGGCTGGGCCTTGGGATTAGGTTTCCAACTCTCCATCACAGCTGATATGTAAAATGCTTCTCCTGTCTGTTCCTGCCTTTTTTAGGAGTTCACATCTTGTCTGCTAGAAAACCAATTCTGAAATGAATTGAAAAACATTAACGCTGGTTCTTTGAAATTCACTCTTTAAAACTTCTGCTCATCTTGTGCTGCATGCCTGATAAGTTGTGAGAGGGATGAAGTTTAAAGTTTAACTACAGGCAAAACCTGTCACAGACAGTGTTCTGAAATGAATTTAGTTCCTATACTACCTGGAAAACTGTCAGTTGTTCTATCTACCCAAGAGTGAGTGTAATCAGATCACTGACAAGTTCACTTGCCAGGGCTCCTGCTCCTTTACAGCAGTATAAGCAAGCCACAGTTCAAAACATTCCGCAAAACATCAATACAATCCAAATGGAGAGCAACTTCACCAGCACATCTGATACTAGCATTGAGTGAAAGATGAAACCCACTGTAGAGTTGCAGACAGACTAGTAGTGGGTAACTTGACAAGTCTTCATTACAAACTGTCAGGAGACTTCTACTTGCCACATTAACTAAGCTCCATTTTCCTGCCTCAATGAAACATCTCTGCCCTTCTCTGCCCCCAGTCTGACAAAGACATCAGTTCTGTTTTTTCAGCATTATTAGTAGGTAAATTAATCCTTTGTTCTAAAGTAGGGTTTTAGAGGGTTTTTTCGCATTGACTGAAAAGGTTAATTAGAGAGCCAAGTTGGAACTTTTAAAACACAAAGGATAACAGTCTTCAGGCCTTAGTATACCAGTCATTTCATTCAGCTTGGACCTGAAGGCTTAATATTTGCTGGCTCATGACTTCAAAAACAGACCCTTTGGCAACTTACACAAATTAGTGATGCTTTTTCCAGGCACAGCAGATTCATTAGTGAATAAAAAACTGGCCATAAACTACACACTGGGTTGTAAATGGATATAAATAGAATTAAACAAAACTTACTGAAATTGTCTCTTTTATTTGAACAGAATTTCATAAATGCTGAGAACTAGAACAAAAAGACACTAGCTCAGCCTTTCCTTCGATTTAATTTACTAGTTATGAGGTTCTTCCTTTTTTAATCCTTCCCTTGCACAATCCTTTCAACTTGTCTTCAAAATTTTTGTCAATGCTACCTACTGAGACGACAAGTGGTTTGAAATTCCATTCATCTCCTGAAAGTCAACTTTTAAATGGCCTGTTTAATGGAAGTTGACACCTGATTTAAGTCAAACTCCCCAATGAACCTGATAGTAATCAAATGATGTCAGCAATGCATACAATAACTCCTCAACTTTCCTTACTTAAATGATATTGATCAATATACCTATTTCTGACATTTGTCCATACCTAAACTGTCAGAAATATGACATGTTACAAGGCAGAGACATTTCTCTCATCAAGAAAACCAACACATACTTCTTTACTCTCTATGGTTGGAAAGCTGCTGCTAATGACAGAAATTTACTCCCAGTCAAATTACAGTTGCCACGTTAGACACAGTCAATTTTACATTCAAATATTCCCAAAATCTAATGCATTATCACACTTTTTGTGCTTTTTAAAGGGTTTGCTCTGCTGCAGGAAGTGGTAAAGGGTACATTATAAGAATTGATCAAGATGAAGTACACTCCAATGGAATTACAAGGTTGGCATTTTTTTCTCTCAGTGCAATTAGGACCAATTACTCATTTGATCCAATTTCACAGGGAAAAATGCTTTAAAATGATTGTCAATATGTTTTTAATGTTGATACAGAGTGCAAAATTTAAACAGCAGAAAACTAGAGGGTAAGTAAAAAAGTCAAAACTCACCTGCCTGCCTGCAATACATAACACAAGCATACATCCCCACACATGTATATGACACAGCTATGAAATTTCAGAACCTGGCCACTGCCGAGTGTAAATAATGTTATCTAAGTTACGAGGTTGTGATGAATGCATACACCCTCCCAACATTGCCTGACAGAGGACAGATANCAAGTTACAAAGCGAAACATGTTTAGTCAAGTTAAAGACTTAATTACCGGCCTAACAGCGGCGATAGTGACTCCCGCTGTGAGCGACTTGCGCTGTCTATCGTAATCCCCCTATCATTAACACTGTCGGGGGCACACGCACGTTCGCCGTGCGTGTGCTATTAAAGTGACCGGGGACTAAATAGCTACACGGTACATATTAACCTTAAATTCCTATAGCCTGTGTCTGCCTCGGTCACAAAATAACTAACTCCAAGTCCATCACTGGGTTATGTAAAACATTTTCAAAATGTAACAAATTTTCTATTACCTCTTTTCCCTTCATCAGGGCACAACTTACCTAGACATGAATGAGTACTACATACTTCCTGCTGCTCATTTCAGAGGTATACTGAAGTATGCTACAGACAGTGCAAGACTACCCGAGACTACTGCCTGTATGTTGACCATATGTTTTACCTGTGCCCAGGTGTGGGGGAGAAAACAAACACCAGGAAGTGTCCCTTATCTACTTGAGAACAAGCAAAACAACCTTTAAACACAGAAAATATTTGTGTCTGCGATACTGCAGTGTTGACATATACTTACGACAAACAATCAGACATATTTAGGTGACTTGTTCTCCATCTAACAGGATCTAAAGGTGTGTGAATGTGATGAATACTAATTGTTAAATTGCAAGCAATAAACCAGGCAGCTTGGCATAAGCAAAGAAAGGACTAAGGTTTAAGTTTTCAATACCATCCAAGTAGAAGATTTCTAATATTGCTATATTACAATTACAGCACAATACATTCGTTTATGAAAAGCTTTCTGCAGCTTGAAACTTGGTAACTGAGACTTCGTGATCCCCTTGTGCAAAAAGAAAAAAGAGAAAGAGAGAGAAAGGAAAAAGGAAAAAGAAAAGAAATATATAAGTTTTTATTTTTTCCTCCTATCAAAAACAGTAAAGATATTCTCTCTCTCTCTCTCTGGGTATGTGCACACCTCATGCAAATCTGTAGGGACATAAATTTACAACCAAGAACCTTTTTATTTTGACTTTAAAAAAATGACTTGCAGATACATGAATTTGAATGTTATCAATGGACGAGTCTTTTTATAGACAGTTACTTGCATCAATAAAAACAAATGTTTCTATAACCTAAGGGTAGCACTAACACTTGCCAATTTAGCCAAATGCTAAAACTGACTTCAATTGGCTAAACAAAATAGGGTTGATATGATTTGTTTTAGTCAAATTTAAACCATTTTGGAAAAAGTAATGAAAAAGTAGTGATTTGGCTAACTTCCCCGCTAAGTGAAAAAAATTGCTAGTGCTACCCCAGATAACAATTACTATCTATTACTCTGAACAACTGCAAAGTATTCCCATCATGGCATAGCCAATCTTTCCGATACTTTGCGATAGATATTTATTTGTAATACTTACCAATATGTAATCAGAATTCAATGGTTAGCTACATGTCTGGTATCAAATGATACTTGATTGAATCTGGCATCACTGCTGCCCTACAGATTGTTACCAAGCATTTAAAAGTCCTAACTTCTATATCTCACACACAAAGAACCCAGCACCATGGTTACATGTTTATGCAATCACAGATTATACACAAATTAGGATACTAAAGGTTATCCTATATAAACCTCCCCTCACCCAACCTTTCAAAATCAAGTAGACATACCAGATTTGGAAACAACCCCTTTCAAAAAGGACAGGAGAGACACAATGAGGGTTAAAGAAGCATGTTTCAGAAACTCTGCATAGCAAATTGCCCAAATTACATGTAGCATGTAGAAATGTTCTTTGAGCAGAAAAAAATCCTTAAAGGAAAAAAAAAGCACCTCCCTTCTCGATGCCTAAGATCCACCAATGCTAATACTCACAAACAACAATTTACCTCCCATCCATCAGACGACTAAGTACATTTCACAGACAGTGATTCCTTCAATTAAGGTAAATAACCACTACAATCAACATTTCTTCTTGCTAACTGCTCGTGTGATTGGTCAGAGATTTTCATGCAAAAAGATATTAGTGTATGGATGGTTACCTTTACAAGACCAAAGGGACAATGAGTTACTGAAATGACCTATAACACCTGAGCCAAATTGGTACAAGACAAACAATAATAATTAAAAAAATCCTGATTATAATTCTAAAACTTGCTGTATATTCCACAAAATAAACAGTAGCTAAAGTGAAAGGATACTCACCTCAGGGGTAAATATATTTCACTTTGGGTTTCAGAAGTAAGCAGCCTAAATTTTTGACTTTTATATATGTTTTTCGACTACTCTCTAGTAAAAGATTTAACAATTGGGTTATAGAAAAGGAAAAGAAGAAGAAACATCTATAGTAACATAGCCTATGTGGCTGATGAGCATTAAATAACTTTTACAGGCCCGTAGCCAGCAATTTCAAAAGGGGGGTTCTTTTCCTGAAAAAGTGGACCTTTTCCCATAAAACCTTCATGTACCTAGATCAAATTTTACCCAGAGTGGACCTTTTCCCAGCAAAAGGGGCGGTTCTTTAGAACCCGCCGAACCCCCTGGCTATGGGCCTGTTTTAAGTAACATATTATAACATCTGAAAATACATTTCCCATTTGATAAATTCATAACCTGTATTAGCAATATCCACCAATATAATAGGAGCTCCAATAATAATAAAAAAAAACTCAATTTTTCAGTATGGATCCAAACTGCTCCAAATCTAGCATGAACCAAAATAGGAGCCCACTATTCAAAATACTGTACAGAGGGCATGTTACTCATTTCTCAGCACCTCCAATCTACACATATTGGCAACTGTTTGAAAGCAAAAGATTCTTGTGAATAACTGAGACTAATATCTTGAAGATCAAGATCTCCTTAAAACCAAGTCTCTCTGGGGTAGCACTAACACTCGCAAATTTAGCCAAATGCTAAAACTGACTGACTTTGGCTAAACAAAATAGGGTTAATTTGACCGATTTTAGTCAAATTTAAACCATTTGGACAAAAAAGCGATGAAAAAGTAGTAATTTGGCTACATGATAAAAATTGCTAGCGCCACTCCAGTCTCTGATAAAAATTTGCTCACTTCAACACTCCTTATTAGATACTCTCTATTTTATTTGAAGTCACTTACCCCCAATGAACAACAACAATAAATAAGGTGTACAGAATATGGGAGATAGCAATTAATAGTAGGATTTTGTCATTCCTTAAAGGCAACTTTTCCAAGGGCTATAGCAAATATTGTTATGGGATAAACCTAAAAAACTTTGCTTTAACAAATTTTCAATGATATCTGAAGTGGGGGTAAAACAGAAGTTAGATTGAGTTCCCATTTTTAGAACAGGATAGGTCTAACTCTGTGGGGGTTCATGTATTGCTCACATACAGTTGGCACATTTTTTATTTTTTTGTGTGTGTGTGTGTGTTTATTTATTTATTATTATTTTTTCATGTTTGTCTACTACCAGAGGCTGACAACTCAAACACATACCTTCTTACAGAGCCTCACAGCATAAATACTATCCACACTAAGCCACAGGGCATTCCTACAAAAGGGCGACAGATTTGGGATCATGCTTTAGCGGGTACGATGTCTTGTCATGCTGTCTCGCAGTAGTAATACGTACTCTACTACTACAACTACCAGTACAATTTACACACACTGTCTGACATTCTGAACCTCTGTAGAAGAAAATTGTAAGACATACAAACGTCACTAAATAGGGTATAAATTACCTTATATATTATTAGGAACCTCCTGAATAAGTCACTGATAGTAGCACACAACGTGTAACATAGGAATACCCCTCTACAGCTCGGTATGTCGGTTTCTTGACTTGAAAACATGTCAGTGTGATAGGAGGCGCTGTAAGTAATGCTGTGCGCATGCGCATTTAAGCGCCATGGAAATGTTATATAGCACAATAACGTTCTTCCAAATTGGGGCTTGATGGTCTAAAAAGTTTAAACAATCTTATTGTATAAATGATATAGTGTTTATTTAGTATTTTTCGATATGATTTCCCGGTCCCTATGCAATTACCTCCCAAACATATCACGTTACATCTATAGTCTTTCATTTTGCAATATTTTTACTAGTACATGTACTGTAGATCTTTTCTTTCAAAGTGGCTAGCTTTTATCAATGTGTCAATTAAATCTGAGTAGATAACATGTAGTTATGAAAATAATTTACTGATTTTTCAGTGTTCACAAATAAGATGTCACTGGTTCTCATTACAACTGAACGAGGTTTACGTTTTTGTAAAACATTTAATAACCATCCACTAAATTACCAAACTATTCAAGTAGCAGAGGCATTGTGCGAAAGACCTCGGTTTGGTACTATACTGACCATACTGCATAAATACCGATTCTACATATAGAAAATAATGTCTTTTTGAATTAAATAGGCCCACAGTAGCTTATCACAGGGGCGGATCTAGGATTATTTGAAGGGCCGCGGATGAGGAGCCATCCCTCAACCCCCCCCCCCCCCCTCCCCTTGACTTGGCCGGGCACGGGGCCAGAAAATTGTTGGTATTTTAGAGGGCAAACAGTGCAATTTTCTAGGGTTTAGAACTTTGATTCAGCTAGAGAAAATCTCATTTCAGGAGGGGACCATTGGTGTGATTTTTTTTCAGAAATCGAAATAAATTCGCCAATGTATCAGGGGCTTGGTTGAGCTGAGTGTGAACCTCTGTATAACAGCGTCTGGGTGAGGTGAACTTATGTGTCACGGCTCATCTAACACAATTTCACGGTTTAGCGTAGCCTTCAAAATAAAACTGGATTTTTTTTTTTTCAAGTAAAAAAGAAGAAAAAAGAAGAAAATGGTATGGTATTTCAAAAAATGTGCATTGGAACACTGGAAATAGGACCAAAATTGCCATATAGCTTTATTTTGATGGTGCTAACAAACACATTATGCTGCATGGGCGCGAATGGGTGAGGTTTTTAGATGATCAAAAAAAAAAATAATAATAATAATAAATAAAATAAAATAAAATAAAATAAAATAAAATAAAATAGAAAGAGTAGAAAGCGAAAATAAATGCATGCACCGGTGTCGTGATGCGAGGTGGGGGTTATTGGATTGACGTGAAATTTAAGTTTATATTTCACCAAACACATTTTAGTTAGAAACTGTTTTAGTTTGATTTGCCGTTTACTATTAGATCGAGTGGAGTCGTATTTTTGATAATTTAAATGTCTTCCTACAGTTACATCATTACTATTGTTTACATATGCAGTTGTGAAAATCCAGTGGCGGATTTAGAGGGGGGTCAGGGGGGTCCTGTCTCCCTCTTCGATTTCTGAAAAAAATCAAATCACACCACACTGCTCTTACGCCATAAGCTCGAATAAGCAAATTCTCTCGTTTTTTTTTTTTTTTCTTTTGAGGCGCCAGCAATACCACATAACATGCTGATTTTTATTTTCACATTATCCAAGTGCATTAAGAAACAAGACAGCAAAGCTGTCAAATGTACAGACAAAAAGCAGAAAATAATAATACACAAAATAGGCAACTATCAATTCTGACACAATAATACATTATACAATAATACACTGCAGTCAACATCAAATTTTAAATATGCACAACAGGTAATACCAATGTAAGTAAAGTGTGTAACAAGGATAAGGCTTCAGGCCCATGAGATTTCAAGTCCACACTTTGAAAATGCCAAAATGAGAAAAGTGAAAATTTCAAAACAAATTACATAAATTCAATAAAAAATGATATTCCAATAGAGCTGTATGTCAATCATAAGAATCATTCTTGTAAGTAAAAAACATAAGAAATATGGTTTCTTTTTATAACATTTGGCAATAGACAAAGTAGGTTTTTTGTCAATTTTGATGCAATATTATATAATGATTAATGGTATAATTACCACCAATTTTAATTATCTCCTTTAAATAATATGGACATTTAAAATTTTTGATTATCATTCAGCTTCATGCTCAAAGACCCACACTGAAAATGCCAATATGTGAAATATGAAAATTTCACAAAAAAATGTATAACTTCCAGAAAGAGAAGACTTCTTATCCTTTTAAAAGCATAATAACCATCAATTTTTAATGATAAAATGTATCATGGATATTCAGAAAATGTGACTAGCAAAGGTCTTCAAGCCCATGGAGGTTCCAAGTCCCACCTTGAAAATGCCAATATGTGAAAAATTTAATTTTCTCAATAAAATAAACCAATTAGACTGGTTTTCTAAAGCTGTATTTTAGTCCTATGTTTCTTTCCTGTAAGTTTGAGAAGGCTCCAAACCCATCTGCATCCTACTTGTACATGTTAATGTCCCCATGGTAGCTAATGTGGAGAAAACATGTGGTCATCCCACCAGTATAAATCAGTGCTATAGCCAGGGGGGTTTGGGGTGTTCAAAAGAACCCACATTTGTGGGGAAAAGGTTCCATCTGAGTAATATTTTATCTAGGTACATGGGGGTTTCGGGGCAAAAAGACCACTTTTTCAGAAAAAGAACCCCCTATTGAAATTGCTAGTTAGGAGCCTGCAACTTTTCAGGTTGTTTTTTTTTAATGAAATAACATTCCCGAACAAGATAGACTGTACAATCATTTATTAACTATCATATTAAAATTTAAAATTCACTGAAATATAATTTCAGAACGTACAACAGACCAGTGTACAGGCTGAAATCTGCATGTTTATTCTGGGTATTAATAATCAATATAGTCATATTACTGATACCATGATATTAGCATATTTCTCAATGATATACCAGTATCATAATATGATACATTAAATGTTAACACTTCAAAAATTATAACCACAACTTAGATAAAGAGCAATTCATTTTTAGTATGCATTTGCTTATTCAAAAGTTCATGTACAATGTTATTTATGCAAACAATATTTTGGGAACACTTTTTTTTTCTTCACGCATTACACATAACAGTCTTCACAAAAATACAGTTAAGATACTGAGCATATTTCTTGATCAGTATGCCACCTTGAATTTCATTAGAAAAATCTGGCTTACTGCAGATAACAGATTCTTTAATAATTCCATATTAATTGTTACAAAAATGTCTAGGCTCCCCTAATATCATAGCTAAAGCTGCCATATGCAAATGCATTTAAGTTTATAAGAATAAAGTAATTTTTTCATCAATCAATAGCTAAATATTGAAATTGTTTACCTCCAATATTCAATGTCCGTCAAGGCATCATGTAAATACTTCCTCACACACACTATCTTTATAATAAATATGAACATAGTTTGAAAAAACAGCTGTTTAATGACAAAGTACCAGTATTTGTGCAGTATATGGTTAAACACCCTAACAGAGTTGTGATGTCTTATCTACAGAAAGTCATCAAGATTCTTTTATGTGTATTCACATTTGATGATGTAAACTTTGGTGAGTCAATTACAATACATTCAATGTACTGACAATATTATTAATTGGATGAAATAAAAGCAGCAATGTTTGCCTTTTCATCAGTAATTTACAAACACAGCTGAAATGACATAATATCAGGTACATTTTAGTTACATTTTCAAATGCAATATGACTCTGAAAATGCTACATTATTTTACATTATTTAGAGTATTTTTAACTGGCAAGAACACAACATATCTTTTAAGAAGGAGTTTCAAACATACATATCTACATATTATGCAAATGAAAAAATCATTTGGCCCTCAGAAAATTTCAACTTGAAAATACATACAAATAACCAAATATGCAAACATAACATTTGTTACGAAAAAAAAAAGTCAAGCACAAAACCACAATATTATTTATTTCAAATACAGTGTTAAATAACTGAAGACCAATATACAGGATTGTCACGGTCTTTTTTTTCTTTTTAGATGGCTTATACTTGCAATTTCCTTTTTTACCTTTCTCGCCCAAATCCTGTTTACTATGTACTTAGTTCTTTTTGCATAACCACATTTATCAGTATTAATTGTGTATTTTTATAATGGCTGAAAATAAGTGAATATCATTAACTTGAATATTTTTTAACATCTGACTGTGAGTATAATGTATAGTTACCATAGATTAAACATAAGAATGTACATTACCCCCCCTCCCTCTCCCTTAGCATCAACTAAACAAATCTCCATACCCTACTATGTGTGGGCAAAGGACAAACCAGCCATTATGATATATCCTAAGAAAACAAATAAAACCTTCACCATGGGATACTGATTACTGTGAATCTCAACTGGAAGCATTTCTAAAAAGATCACATTGATGAAAGTCCCTGCAGCTATGCCCTGTAGTATAGCAGAAATGGTCAAGCCCACTTGTCCATGTATCTGACCCAGGGCCATGCCTATGCCCATGCCAGCAGGGATCACTGCGGCCAGTGCCACGGCAAGCTTCACAATAGTCCAGCTTTGCAAGTCTTGCTTGGCTAGAGTGATACCCATTGCTAGAGCACACAGGCTTTCATGAGAGATTATAGCAATAAATAAACTTATCAGTTTATCTATTGATTGCTGTAGTGCCAGTGCCATTCCTTCAAACAGGCCATGGACACTAAGGGCCAGGAGGAGAGAGATACAGCCTATTATGGACTCCTGGTCTGAGATTTCTACATGATGACTGTGTCCTGCATGACTATGATGATCATGTGACATGTGACTATTATGTAAATGGTTTACTTGGGGATGGCTCACAAACTTCCGAGACTTTGTGTGAGAGTGGCGCTTTGGTTTGCACAACTTTTGGCTTTCATTTGAATTTTCCCAATCAACAGATTCAGCAGAGCTTTCCTCTGAGGCAGTATAGCCATCTAATTCCTCCTCAGGAAGATCCAAGTTCAAAGCAGTCATCTCATGGCCATGAGAATGCGTCATTGGTTTCTTCTGACACATCATTATCAGTTTTTCCAGTGTCAAAATCAAGAAAAATCCCATAATCACAGTGAACTCTGTAGCAGAACTGGAATCATGATGCCATCTTGCATTTGAGAATATACCATCAAACTTCTCTCTCACATGTGGTATAAATGCATTGAAACAAGTTCCTAGGAAGACACCAGCAGACAGACAGTTGCAGAGACTCATAATGAGTTTTGATTTGGGACTTACACCAATTTGGCTGTGCCTTGGTATAATCTTTAGTGGAACTAGACAGCAGCCAATGGTGATGATGAAGATGCACACAAGGCATCCAATCTTTACACCCAGTAGTGTGGAGTCAAATGTGTTGGTATTCCCACTTCCAGTCATTGTAGAATTGGTGGCCATAACTGATCAAAGTGACTTCTTACACACACACAATGACCCTGAAATATAACCAATGTTATATAAGTTTAATATAACAGCATCCGAGAAAGAGCGAAAAAGGACCAATTCTAAATTAATATGAATTAAAACTATCGGTCATTTTTCCTCCTACCTTACTGGACAAGACTTACACTACAATGCTGACTATAGTGCAGAATATCATATATCAATTTACTATTTTATACAACATGAGAATAATATATACAATGCTTAGATTTGCCCCATGCCAAGATCTGCTCCACAACACTTTCTGTACACCCACCATTAAATAATGATGATATTCTCTACAAAAAAAAAAAAAAAAAAAAAAAAAAAAATCAGCCACAGGCTTTCTATTAGCCTTCCTGTTACTTGGTGCAAGCCCACATATATTGTAGATAATTAAAGGTAAAATTCCACATATGCCAATCCTCAGATTAGGTGCTCAAAAGTGTAACAAGCACTTTCATCCAAGTCTCTCAACCTTGCTTTGCTAAATTTGCCATAATGTTCTTAAGATACATGCCACATTCACGTGAAGAATTAATTGATTTCTTAAAATAAAAAATCATAATAAAGTCAATTTACTTATGCTAAATTAAAAAAATACGACATAAAACATCTAAAACAAAATAATTATAAAGTGCAAAGAGCTTCAAATTTTGATCCAACTGTATTTTCATCATAGGTCAGACAACACCTCTGTTATATTACTCCTACCTTACATTTATATAAAATGGTTATATGTCAGAGCATTTACTATTCTAAATTCGGTAAGGATTATGCTTCTGTATTTCTGTGGAAAGGAACAAAGGTGCCACTGACCTGAGTTTGGCCTCACAGCCTGCTAACAAAATAGGACTGAAGAAACCTACACCTTAGTGCTTTTCATAAAAACTATGTTACTTCAAATAGTCTCAACTTACATTTAGGTCTGGTTTAAATACAGGTTTGATGAGCTTATCTGATGCAAGAAATAAGATTTACAAAGTCAAATCGAGAGCTGCACATTATATTACTGTCATTCAGTCTGTCATGTTTTGGTTTAAGGTGATAGTCAATGGTTACTTTATGACATCACAGATTGATACAATATAACACATATTCTTTGTGGCATCACACAATAATGCACTGTATCACCATCTTTGTGACATCATAGAAAGTAATAATCTATCACATGGTATCAGTAACCTCTTTTGTGAGGTCACAATTCTGATTGTATATTGTTTTTTTAAAACATTTTCAATTTATCACAAAATTCTTTGAAAAAGGAAGTATGCACAAAATATGTTTGATGAATCAGATATAAATGATCAATTTTTGATGTTTTTCTGATCCTATCCTATACTATCCCGTAATTTGGTCGACTGTGGGGGTACCACTAGGATTTTGCGACCAGGGCTCGGAATCTCGAAAGGTTCGCTATGTTGCACACACGCTCTAGCATGGCTAGCGTGCGCTATCCCGTATCTCGAAAGAATCGCTATTTTGAGCGCCTGCGCTAGCATGGCTAGCGTGCGCTATCCCATATCTCGAAAGCTTCGCAAATCCCGGCCGTGCGCTAATGTCCAAATCGCCATTAGTTTCGAGGCTATTATTTGCGGCGATACAAACTAGTCGCAAAGGCCTCTGCGTATGCAAAATTCGTCATTTTAATGTGTCTTTCATGTAATTAAACATGGTGGCAAGTTTGGGTTGCTAGTCATAATAGCATATGATAAAACATATAACAAAAACATGGAAGCTTTTAATTGATTGAATCACTGGTACCTCTGATAGAAAAACTTGCGGTAAATATTCACGTGAAGAATGCCAAAGTCATATTTTATTATGCAGAAAAATTTCAAAATTAAACATTTCATACATCATTTTATATTTTCTGGTGAATTTCATTCATCTGTGTAGTCTATTGATAATAATAATAAATTTAAAAGTGTCATTTTCCACACAAAATGAAAAAGCAGAAACAAAGCATTCGGCCGCACCGTGACCTTCTTCAATGTCTATTATTGTGAGACTGAACACTACTCACCATTGTGTCAGTAATTGTGTCAGTCCAAGCTTCGCTTATTGAATTGTTTTTTGACATTTTATTGGTGTCAAATACTTCAAATATCAGTATTTGTAATTATGATATTCCTATAAATAAAAACAACCTCTTGATTTGCGTCATGGTGAAAAAAATTGCATTTTGTGTAATTGTGTTATGACGTCTTCACTTTATGCGGCAATCGAATATTAGTAGAGTTTGAGGTTATAATTGCGTTGCGTCTGCTAAGGCTTCGAGATAGCAGGTGGGTGCAATCGCACTAGCAAATAGCGCACGCTAGCTATGCTATAGCGCGTGCGCAACATAGCAAACCTTTCGAGATTCCGAGCCCAGCTCTCTCCACTCCCATCTCTTGTTTGCTTTTCTGAGGATGCTGCTCACCTTCATTTGGGTATTTTCGCGCCTTTTCCTAATAAAATGCTACAGTTTTCCAATGAATTCACAAGAAATTGACATCGTGTATGTCAGTTTGTATAAATTGCAGTGTAAATGCTATGCTGCTAATACCCAATTTCAAGTCTTCCTATCATGATTTCCAATAAAAACTCAGCTAGAGGTCTATATAAATATAATGCTAGATAGCACAAAAATTTGCATGCTAGCACTCCAGCTTTATATTTTCTGATATGTACTAACTGTAGCATATACACATATCTGAAAACTTAAATATAAATTCTTTAGCATGAACTTTTTGCGAAATGGTAGAATACTGTTTTCATTGAATAATTTGATAACAACAAACATTACGAAGTAGCATATATAATATGCTAATTTACCTTTAGTCACTTGAAGTGACCATGCATTTAGATCTGCAGCTCTGAAACCTCACCAGGCTTTATAGTAATCACACTCAGTTTTCACCTTAATGAACATTTAAGAACCTAAAAACAAGAGGAATTTTTGAAATGACCATGACAATATACCGGTATGTGAGTATAATATACCCTCTACCAGGGCCAAAGCTTGACTTTTCACAGGATATTCACAGATATGTCTTTAGATAAATAGACGTCCATTTTACTATATATGGGATTTTCCGATTTTCCCTACAGACTCTGCCACCCTGGTAGAGGGAAAGTATAATATACTGTATATGGTTACAAATAATACAATGCCTCACAAGTATACTAAGTGTGAAAAACTAAACAAATGACAAAAAATCGATTTTGTATTTAAACGAATTCCACTTGTCCCACAGAGTCAACCAAATAATGACATAATACAGACTATATATAGTAATGATGCTTAATTTGGGCTTGGGCCCTAGAAAGGCTAGATTGAGTGAGTGAAATTTTAAAATCAAGTGACAAACTTAAATTCAAAAGCTTCAAATTTTTTCATTATAATTATCGCATAATCACGACATCATTTTTATACAACCGACAAACCCCTGAATGGAAGTTACCTTGCGTGTTGAAGGAAATGCTTGTGGCAGCTGCCAGAATATGTAAACCTTGCAAGTTAAAATTACCAAGACACGCACTAACCGGATGTTGATAGCGCGCACAGCGGAAGCTGTGAAATAAACATGGTGGTAAGTACGAACGCGTCATCTCTAGCACCCCTGAACGCGTTTTCTCGAAAATATTTAATATGTAGTGGTCCAAGTGTTCATTAAATGTGAAAAACGTAAAGTTTAGTTTATAGTATGGTGTGGATTTATCATCAAAAAGTCCCAAAATGCGTCATTTTCGGGCGAAAGTTTCAACACAAACACTACATGTAGACGTCAATGAGTAATAAATGTGCTCTTGGCAGAATGTTTTACGACTTTCAGTCTTTACAAGGCCATTTAGTGTTAAGTAATTTCAGCTTTAATGACACTCCAGTGTTTTCCTTCTTCGTTGCATTCATGATTTTCCCTGATAGATTATGGAACGACCCCAGATTATCGAACAAACTTGGTCTACTTTGCTTCCTGATGTTTTTACTTCCATGGGATGTTTTACCTTTTTTATTGTCCATTTTGGGTAGTTACAGTGTTTTAGTGCCTCTTGTATGAGGTTCTCTTCTTTGATTCTTCTTCTTCGATTATAGTGGATCTGTCATAAATGAAAACTTTTAAACTATGATTTGGAGTTGTCACTGATGTTGTGTGGTGACAACTCCAAATCAGTTAACCTAGAAATGGTCTTGTGATAGGGTTTAAATGTCATGATCTCCATTTCAGTGCAAGATCCAGTATTGGATTTTATTTTTGTTATTTTCAGTATAATATAAGTGGATGATTAAAAACATTCACTTTGATATTAATACTCACATTTTGGTAGTAAAAGGGATTAAGTACATGTAGCACGAAAATTCATGCATTAGCACTCCCATTTACGGTTCTGATATGTACTGTCTGCACAGACTACATATCAGAACTGTCAATAGGAGTGTTAACGCATGAATTTTCGTGCTAGGGGTTAAAGTGAGCCTTATTTCATCTCTTACAGAGCACAAATTTTATAAAATATATGAATTTGATAAATGGTTTAAGATAACACACATGCACACACACACACACACAAACACACATACACACACACACACACACACACACACAGTGTGAGAGAGAGAAGACTTATGTTATAATTTTTTTCAGAAAATAGGGCTGCAAATAAAAGCAGATCTTGAGCACGTTTCCAACCTGCTGGCAAGTGGAGATGATTTTAGGTGGTACCTAAAGGTGAGCATTGACTTGATGTTGGTACTTAGTATCATGTTAACTTAATGAAAAGGCTGTGAAATTGTAACAAAATCTTCTACGTCTGTTTAACCCTTCTTAATGATTGAGGTTTCTGAATTAATGTAAATTTAAACCATGATTTCCTGGTATTATTGTAAAAATCCTGGTTGTAAGTATCACATAATTTACTACAAACTGCAAGTCCCCACACCTGCCAGTTCAGCTGGTTACGTATTTGCCGAAGATTTGAAGACTGCATTGCTCCTGTATTGATAAGTAGTAGGAAAAGTACAATATGGGAATAAAGTTATTGAAAACAGTTATTGAATTAATTTTTTTACCTATTTGCCACTGGCAGAGCACCATTATTTATGTGTTTGTGAAAAGCTACAGGATGACAAATGTTGATGCTGTATACTCTGCAAGTTTTTAAATGCTTCTGCAAGAATCTTCCACAATTATATTGAAAATATTTTTTTTTAAATCCTGTATGTAAAGAGCAAGAGACCCAGATAGAACCCAGCCAAAACCCCACAAATTGTTTGCAGTTTATAATGCATTACTTGCACCCAGTATTTTTACAATGGAACCATGAAACAACAGTTTAAGTCATTAATTTGGTGTTCATAATCACTTATCTGAGCAAAGATAAACTGTGGAGCCAGATTCCAGATTACTGGCTGCCACTTCACCTGTGAATAATAATAATAATAATAATAATAATAATAATAA